TGTTAGGGATCCCCAGTGGGTAAATCAAATTATATATACATATTTGTACATAGATAATTCAGAAACTATTAGAATTGTAATTACAATTCTATGCAGGTTTCCTGAAATGGAGGTACCCCCAAATCATCCAAGATTTTTCACCATTTTAGTACTGGAAAAGCTTTTGGGGATCCAACATTTTAAGAAACCACCATTGTCTTAGAGATCCATTGATTATCACGATATATCACAATACAATTGTCAATATCATATACATCATAACAAAAAATGCATTAGATTTATTGGCGCATCTTTTGTATGTAATAAAATCATAAATTATAAAATTATAGAACCACAACTGTGTTTTATTGGATTGAAGTAAGCATATTTCAGGCAATCTAAGGTTATTCAGCCATGGAATTTTTACCATGTAACATCTCACAACACAATGTTTTTCCATGGATTGATTCAAGGGAAAACCTGATGTTTTCACCAGCAATGCTGGGGATTTCAGCAATGGGATGAATACACCACAACCCACTGATTCATTCTTGGGGGAAAACTGTACTGAAGAGCATATGGTTCTCATTCTTGAACATGAGGGGGGGTGGCTGCAAGTCTTGATTAAAACCTAAGTCTGGGATTGGTGCACTTCTGTACCCTGGTGGAAAATAATAGCAAGTGATGTTGATCTATGATTAAATAAAGTTACTAATTATCTAATGAGAGCTGCCTGACACTTTGGATGCGGAAGAAAAAACAAAACAGGGTTCAACCCCATAGAATGTGTTCACCTTGTTAACAAGTGGGGGGAGGCAGGTAGGGGAGAGGGAGGGCTTTACTAAATAATCAAAGTTCCAAAATGTTCCAATCATGCATTCGATAATGTATTGGCAATCCTAACTTCACGCAGTGGGGTGGGTGGGTTATTAATCAGAGGTCAACGTTATCTGAAACCAGAAACCAGAAACAACAATTTGAATGAAACGTAATCTGGCTAAAACTCGTGTTGAAACATTGAATTAACATTTCACCGCATGCCCTCCATGTAATATCCAAAGAATCAGCCGAAGTGCTACAGCCACCGCAGCAGCTGCAAAGCCAGCCAACGCTTTTCCTGCAGTCAGGCTAGCACTCCCTACCGTCAAGGGATTTCAGCAACACTGAAAGGTCAAAGTACAGATGGAAAAGCAGTGATTTCAGTGGGTGAGCATCAAACAACTGGGCGATGTTGCATTATTATGATCTACTATGGTCGTTTGCTGCCTAGTTTACCAAAGAGATCCAAACAGTCAAAGTAAGTCCTTTAACAAACAAAGTGAATATTGGCAGTTTACATGCTTATAAATGGGCTTATCATTCCATAGGGAAAAAACAAACAAACATATCATTAACTATACATAATTAATTAATTAAATGGTGACTTATAACTGACTTTTCACTGGTATTTCGGGCCATCATTGTGGTTGACTATCCATTCTCGGCATCCACTTTTCGCTTCCGCCTTTTCCAGAATGCTGAGATTCGGAGCTTGACGAGGCAGTGCCTGTGCGAAACGTTATATTTCACCGTGGGAAGGTTGGGAGCAGGCATTATTATGATTCAATTGTGATGATTACAGTGACCCTTTTTCACCCAAAAAAGCATTCCTCGGTTCCAAAAACGTTGTGAACCATGGGAGAAGAGTTTTTCAAGCCACCTGGTCTGTGCCTGGAAGTGATCGACTAGGGACCTTTAAGCGCAAGTTGCGCTGAAGCCCATTGTTGCCTGGATCGCGCTGCGGGATTGACGAAGGTATACCACATCCCATGAAACGATATGGAAAACCCAAGCATGGACACAAGTGTTAGCGTCGTTTACTTGTCTCCTGTAGAGATCAACAAATTGTCATACAATGTAATATATTGTTGATTTACAGCAAACTCCAGGAATCGACACATCATGGAAAGAACTTCGGAACTTGTCAAACATATCCTTGTTGAAACCTTGAAACCATGACACTCGGATGCAGTTGGATGCATCAATGAATCAATGTGTTCCAAAGTTGGGGAAACTGTCTTGGTAGGGGGTACCTTGCATTGCTGTACATCCCGTCATTTCCTGGCAAAAGTTGCGACGATTTTCTCCAAAAGCAAAGCGTGGTTTTTGGTTTGACCCATACCCCCTCATTTTCGTTGGCTTTGCACACAATTTTTGCTGATGAACATCCACGTGGTTCAACTTATAATCCAATATGTGGGCTTTGCCAACATGTTTAAGCAGCATTTTAATTAGTGGTAAATCCCGGTCCCAACTTACGAAATATAGGTCCCAACAATGTCAACCCCAGATTGATGAATTGGGGGGTCCAAAAAATAGTAATACATTATAATTATACTGGCAAACCTGTATGATTATCTTGGGCATTCTCATTGGGCTTATAGTTTATGTTTTTTTTTAAAATAGTTATCAACTTGTCACTAAGGTGATAAACAATGGTATATTGCAAGTAAACCGATATATAAAATTATATATATACACTGATAATTACTTATAAACATTTTCCAGAACGATTAAAGCGGCTAAATCATAATGGTAAATCATCAATAAATACATATATAATCATATATATATTGTATTACATTATTACATAGTAATTAACACCCAACAGAGATAACAACTCATTTTCCAGTACCACCAATCTATGAAACGTAGGATTCTGTAGGATTTAACTTGTCCATCCCTTTTGGGGGTTACTGTACTATAAACCAGTAACAAACCAGCACCCAAGGGGACTTAGCTTCCCCGCGTCCCGTCAACGTCCGGGCGAGGCCCAGGTCGCTCGACGCTCCAGCGTTGCCCACGGCAAAGGCCAAATCCATCCTGGAAGGCGAATTAATAATTGTCCCTATGATAATGCACTATCCCATTTTGAAATGCATATTATTAACCTATTTTCATGGTTGTGTATCCCGATGATGATATGGCTTCTCATAGTCCCCGATAGGTTTATTTGAAGGTACACAACCCCCTATCATATTCGATCAGCAATAGTAATGTGGGCAACCCGGCTGCCAGAAATCGGATCTATGACTGGGGATGGTTGAAATGAAATCCAACCCCCATTAAAAATGGTGATGACTTGGGGATGGTTTATGAAATTGGATGAATCTCACATGAAACAACACCTAGACAAATGGGCCAATTAATGTAGCCATTTTGGGACATTTATTTTTTGCAGAGAGGAGTCCGCAGAGGATGTAAACATAAACAGAAAATTGCTACAGGGATTGGATGGATCTTAGATCGATGGATCTTGGATGGATTTGATAGGTAAACATAAGGACTAAGATATAGGTAGATTGTATAGATAGGTAGTTAGAGATGTGAGATGTCAGCATAATACAAATATGATTCAGAATCTATATCATCTATCATTCTGGCATGTACATGTGACTATACTGCAAAGCACATCAAATGTGTAAATGCGTAGTATTTGTTGTGGATTATGTGATGTAGCTATCTGAAACGGTTCAAGGACTTGGAAACATGAACCGAAACGGTTGTCACTGGAATCGCTGGGTCACTCACTTCCACAGCCTTTAAACCAGGGATCAACCACTATTCAAACTCTTTACAACATCCTCCTTGTTTGGTTGGTTTCATCTTCATTATTGGATTCTATTTCAGATTGTCAAAAGATGTAAAAAGTGTGTCTGTGTTCAGAGTGTATATGTTTAGAAAGGATTAGAAAGGTGTATATGTTTCGAACGGTGTGAATTTCGAGAACAGCGTTTATATATATTGTATATATATATATATATATGTTTCAAGAATTTGAGCCTCATCAGTTTCCATAAATGATCTTTGAGTGTCTAATCCTTTTCACAGTTTCCAATCTTTGAGAGATATTTTCCAATCTTTGAGAGATATTGTCCAATCATTGTCCATTGAAACATTGTTCCAGACTTGCCATCTACTGTCCCAAAGCCTTCCCCTTCCTGGCGGCGCGGCGCGGGTTTCGCGTTGCGGTGTGCGCTCAGGGCCAGTTGAGCTCGACGGGGCCGAGGTAGGAGAACTCTTGGGGGCTCCGTTGTGAAATCTCTGCGAAAAATCATTGAAAATCCTTCAAGATAGAACATCACAAAAAAAACATACCCAGAAAAAGAATCAGCCAAGCATGGGTCAATTTCTTCCCCATTTTTTGAAGGGATCATATGCCAGTGATACCCCAAATCTGAATCATCGGCAAAAGGACCAACATCTGTGGTTCCTGACGTTTCACGTATCCCAAACCCGAAGTCATGTCAAAAAAAGACATACGCGACCACACATACTTGAGATATAGTGACTATAGTGGATGTAGATCAAAGAATGTGGATCTTGTATCCTATGTTCACGTGTCGCAAAATTGTCTGCCTCAAACATGGGAGGCATCTAGCAGCATCCTTGAATTCCTCCTTGGACATTTGACAAGACAACTGTGGCCTTCAAGAAATGTGGGAGGGGGAATTTCTACCATTTTTGAGGCTAACATACATAATATGACTGTGGGTCAAAAGCATGGTATTCTGATGAAGCCCCGAAAAGCCGGTATTTTGAGGTGATCATCCCCATCAAACATGGCATTCGAATGCATTCGATAGGTATTGATCCATCCACATTACATGACTAAGTTCTCGGCCCAAATGCCCCCAAGGCAGCCCATTTTTAAGGCGCTCACCGTGCGGAGCTTGTTGACAGGGGGGGAGAGGGAGAGGTTTTATTTATCTGGTTTTGCCACTATCCTATGTTTACTAATTACAGTAATTATCATATTTGCTATACTATGCTATACTGTCATCCACTGTCAATAACCACTGTGCCACTATGATCTTCTTTCATCTACTGGCATTCCTCCAAGCATCCACTACCATCCACCACAAGTCTAGGATAATAGACCAGTTTCTTGGGATATCCTGGGTACCAAAAATCTACCAAAATCTATTAGCTGTTCTGGACATTACCTTCCCTTTTTTGGTGATGGTTCCTTGTTGATGTCTGTGGAGAGTCTCCTATTGATACAACTTCAGCGCCCGGCGCGGCGCGTTGCTTTCGGTGAAACCGTTCAGTGTCGAGAAATCGGGAAGGCCTGCAGCTCTGAAAGCAGCTGCTTGAAGGAGATCAAACACGTCAAGGGAATATACACCCCTACAACTCCAAATGTTGCTGCGCACACACACAGATTTGTTGGTCATTTGAGCTATAGACTATCCGACTATCCTTTTTGGAAATCAACACTTTTGACTTTTGACCTGGTATGTCACTCTGAAATTCTTGACCGACCAAGAATTTAAACAGGCAACACATAACTGGGAACTGAGACTAGAATCTAAGCTTCATATTCAGCTTCACTTTCTTTCTTTCTTTCTTGAGCATGGGGAATGTGACAAACATAGATGTCCTTTTCCCATTGGTTGGTTGATTAATAGAAGGGTTTGTTTACCCCTTTAACAACAGGTAAATGATGATAGATAGAATACCAAACCGGCCCCTCTATTGCTAGCGAAATGCAGGGGCACCCAGCCAGGCTGGTGATCCTCATATCATCAAGGCCACCGAGGCCGCACCAGATCTCCTGGCGACTCACCGTTTGAGAAACGTGAGTCACTGCTGCTTGAGGTGGTTCAAGTGTTTCAACAACAGGGGGTGGTAAACCATGTAAACCTTTGAATTGAACATCACCCATAGTTACTGGGGATAGAAGAAATCTCCAACAGATACTTCAAAGTGATGTTCAAAATCCCACAGGACAGGACATTCACCAAGCCCTGAACAAAGAAAGTAAAAGAAGACCAGACCCGAGAAGATCATCCAAGCAATATACTAATCCAAGGCTCCAACGCTCCAACGCTCTGGGCTTACCCCCATGTTTTCCCAACCACCCTCCACCCGCCTCTCATTCATGTCGGGTAAGGGGCTCCAGGTATTCAGCGTCGGATCAAAACGTTCCGAGGACAGCAAGCACTGGCCGCGTGCCGCAACGCAGACCGGCTGTGGAAGGCAACAGGTTCCATTTATATACACAGTAATAGACAATGAACATATGAGGGGTATGTATATAGTCCTCTCCCCCTAATACTAAACCGGGGTCCTCCCCCTAATAATCACCACCTGGAGGAGTTTTTTGTATTTAGAGGTACTTAGTATTAAGGTGCGCCAGTCTTTAAACGAAGACGTAGCTCATCACGGGTTATCTTTCTAGGTGATCATAATCTCCAAGCGTTAGCATAATCCCCCATTGCAAAATAAGCCTGAGCCATCATTTATCAATAAGCACATATGTTTGATAGTTAACACCTCATCTAATCCCTAGAATTCATGATTAAATCCTCACCAATTAAGAGGTTTTTCTTCAATGGCTGAAACAATCCCAAATGGATCATGCATGATCTAACTGTCCAAGCCTGGCCCCCATCACTGCCGCCAAAGACGTGAATGGTGCCAGCGATGGTTGCCGCAGCCACGTATGCGCGGCCTTCAAGAGATTCAGAGGCAGCAAGAGGAGGCATCAGGTTGTTTCCGCAGGAAATCTATCTTATAATTTGAAGAAAGACATCTTAATTAAGCTATTAAACTTTATTGGACGATCTGTTAAAAAATCATTCGGGTTGTGAAAGGAATCTGAAATCATCTGAAATAATAGAGCTAAATCATTGTTTTGAAAACATCCGCTGGCAGCTTAGGCCTGGAATGCTGCCAAGACTGGGCCCCAGGCGTGCCGTCATTGGAGGTAACGTTTCCCAAGTTCCAACCTGGCTGTTCAATACATTCGCCACCTGACACGTGTCACAGTACCTAAAGACATTTAGATAATTTGGGAGAGTAACCATGATTAAGAAACATATTTAATTATCGATATATTATATTAATTCAATACTAATATTATATAGTACAAAATAAACGCATATTCATGCATATTCCACACATTTCCCCAATGTAGCGCTTGACGACTCTTCCATCCCAGGTTCTCCATTGGAATTCCAGCCTTTGGGTCGAAGCGCTCGACCGAATTCAACATCTGAGCACCAAAGGCGCCACCACAAACATAAAGCCTCCACCCAGAGCCACAGATTGAGGTGTTCCATGGCCGAGTTTTCCTGTTGTTTTTCGTTGATCAATTGTTGATCCACTGGTGGAGATGGTCTGAGTGATACAGGAGAATAGATATAATTATTATATATTATATGATAGTAGAATATAGTAGATAGTCCTACACCTTCCTACCTTGAAGGGACTGAACCTCACCTTACATTAGTGGTGTTCAACCTTGTCTGCAGCCCGAAGCATTTGATCCACCCAGCCTCCCTCCGCAGGCCGCAGCAGAAGCACCTGGCGACTGGGTAACATCCCCGACATTTTGGGAATGGTGATCCTAAAAACCAAGGGAAAGATAGGGAAAGCTGTCACCAACACTACTTTCAACATATCTTTCAGCCAAACACGCAGAATCACTGGCGGTGCTTCAGCGTTGTTTCTTTGATCCACTCCCTGTCGCATCTTTTCAGGCGCGACATGGACATGTTTTGTTCCATTCATTGTAGCCAAAAAAACCCTCAAGTATCATGAATCATTCTGAAATGGAGTGATTTTCACTGGACTGTCGATAACATAGTTGTCATTCTCTAAACGATAGTATGTAATAATAGTATGTAAGAGTATCTATAGTGGATCATTGATGACGTATATGTCATGAAAAGGCAGTAATTTCCATATGGATATTATAGGGTCAAATCCCTTGAATCTCCTGGTTTGGACACCAAACTAGTTGGTAAATGGATATGGTGATATGGATTGATATGGTATCATAGAATATCAAATGAATATCATAGATCTTGATCAACAACCACAACATACCACAACCGTTCAACCTCTCTTCTCAACATTTCCCAACTCCACCTGCGCGTTGGGATGACATTGCCGGAAGCCTCAGATCGAAATCAGCGCAACTCCGCAAATTTTCATTTTTGTCGACGGCAGCTGAGGCGCAAACGGAAGCCAAATGCTCGGGAAATGATTCAAGCGTTCCACACCTCAGCGAGTGGAATGTTTTTGGACAGTCATCATGCCTGGACTGGCAAGGAGAACTTAAAGATACTTAAAGGCCTTTTGAAGGACAAGAAGCCAATCATGAGCGCTTTTTCGAACATATGCGACGACAAAGGGACAAGGTAAACCATTGTAAAACATTGTAAAACTGAGAGCAGCCGGTGTTTTTCCCTGAGATCCAGGCTACTCAGGGGTTCACGTTGTTCGTCTCTTCCACCACAAACATACAGAAGTCCTTGCCACAGAAGGGGCTGGCCATTTCTTGGGGCGTCAGGATGTTCCCAGGCTAGGAATCCATCGGGTTTCTCCCAACGCCGATCTGGGTGAAAATTTTGGCCGCTCCACGAAGTCGTTAAACTTTTGGTACGAGTAGTTAAACTGTTCAACATCAGAACATATCATAACATCATTGTAAAAGATGACGAAGCAATTTCAAAGTCCCCTTCGCCAAAAATTGCGAAAACAGAGGATGGTCGGGACCTGGCGTGGTTCAATTCCACATCACTTGGCTCTTGGTTCTTCAAAATAGAGGCCTGCATCAACCGCATCAACCGCTGATCCACCTGCCTTGTAAGGATACGGCCGCGGGCCAGCCCCGTCTCTCTGCCATGGCAGGCATTACCTCCCACAGGTTCACATCAAAAGGAACCTCGACTGTTCACCAAAAGGGCCTTTAAGACTCTTCAGCTTCTGGAAAACATAACCCATAGGATCCATGTATGGTATATATGCTAACATTGGGGGTATATTGATGGTACATGTTACCATATATATATATAGATAGCAGCACCATGGATCCTATGGGTAAGAAAGGAAGGAAACTCAGCAAATCTCTGCAAGATTAAACATGTCACATGTCCGTGACATCATACAAAGCATTTCTTACTCATCTGACCAACCATCGACACCATCCTGGATGGCCCGCTTGGGCCTGCCAGTTGCCGTTCCCAGCTGCAGCCTCATGGCGCAATTGGATGATGGCTTAGTCTTTTGATGAATGACTGCCTTGGTTTGAGTGTCATTTAGAGGGAACTCAAGTTTTGATCATCGGTTTTGGTATGTTCCTAGCTCATTTCAGACAAAACCTGTCGTTTTGGGGGGTTGCTCTGTATCTAGGTCCAGTCAACAACTGTGATGAGCAACTCTCCAGTTGCCATCCCATCCCCAAAGTGACTTCCCAATTCCAAGCGCTTTCCATCGACACTGCGCTTTCCATTTCTGTTCCAGTTCCAACATTGAATAATCAAGGTACGTATATCAAGCTAAAATGGAGGTTTCCTGAAATAGGGGTAGCCCTATATCATCCATCTTAATAAAGGATTTTCCGCTTTTCCCTTATACACCAAGCATTTTGAGGATACCCTCATTTATGGAAACCTCCAGTTTTGATCATGGTCTGCAAAGAGGTATGCCATGCCAGACTTCAGACCGCAAAGATCGCCATTCCAGGACATCACATTTGTGGCCTGTCTTTCCCGTGGAGTGCAGTGGGGCATTTGCACCGAGACTCCTGGCGGCCGAGACCGAAACGGAAGATGTAAAAGTACTTTTGACAAATCTGGGAGAGATGCAAACAATGGCAAATAGATTCAGATTCAAAGATGCAAACAATGATTCATAGATGCAAATAGTTTTGGATATCCAGAAGGGACGATTGGTCGTGTTGAGTCTTTGCATTCCATTGCAAAACTTATGCTGAATCGCACATGCTAAAAACAAGCTGTCCGGGAAAAACAGGGTTTCCTGCAGAAACGATTAAGAAAAAAAAGGCACGACAACAAGGAGCCAGTCGACGATCCAAACAACATGTGGTACTGAATCCTCCATGCAGGGCGCTGATACATGACCCACCAGTCAGGTGTGTCAAAAAGCGAATTCTGTCTCAAGGACGCAACTTTTTGAGGCATTCAATTTTCTTGCGATATCAACTCTGCACTCTAGCGTTTAGATTTAAACTCTGTGTTTTGATGTTTCAATCCCCATTCCCCATAGTCTAAGGATGTCAAAGGTTTGCAGGGGGAAATCCCAATAAGAATCTGGAAGAGAAAGGAGGACTGCCCTAACTTGGTTATCCATTGTTATCCATTGATATATGTGATATTTATCCATTGATATCCCGGCGATATCCCCTATAGTCGCCCTCACCCAGCGCCGATCCCGGATATCCCGGACCTGGTGGAGTGAAGGCCTCCACTGAATTCAAAGGTTGCCTGATGGCATCCCGATGCTTCAAACGTGTCCTGATTCCTCTTTCTTGAACATGACGGCAATGATGATGGTGATGGTGATGGTGATGATGGTGGTGATGATGATGATGATGATGATGATGTGATGGTGATGGTGATGATGATGGTGATGGTGATGATGGTGCTGATGACGACGACAATGAGGTTGAAGATGATGTTGAATACGTTGAATACCCAACGAGTATGTCTGTCTGTATTTCCCACACAAATATCCTGAAAACCGAAGTTCAAGACACAATTTGCATCCATTTGCTGATTGACAGTTTCAAGAAATGCCAAAAAATATTGAGGGTCTTTGGGGAATATCCCAAATATAGTTGTAAAATGTTGTAAAATAATGTGGATGAAAAACATGAAACATTTTGAAACCAGCAGCCAGTAGTTGGATGTGCCAAAAACGGTTGGGGACCAGAATCGACTTCCCAGTGCCTGCTTTCATCCAACCCACCACAAATGTAGAGCCGCTTGTTGATGACACCTGCAATTAGCAATTTATCACCCTTCACTGCCAGCAATCTTCGAAGAAGTTTTAAAAAACTGAACTGCCAGAGTGGTCAATACTTCCTTAAAATGCTGGAATGCTATGGAATACCCGTAGAATTTTTCTCGCTTGCGTACCATTCCCCGGGTTGTTGCGGCGATCCGAGATGATCCGAGCCGCCCAACAACTGCCATAATCTCAGCGGAGTCACTATGGCCAATCTTGTGCTTTCAGATTGAAGCCAAGCAGCTTTCCAGGGTGAAACCGGTGCTGCCTTTGCAGTACCATCAGCTGTTAAGCTGTGCCAGATCTCATAGTCTCATCTTCGGAAAAAAACTCACTATCTGGTGCTGTTGGGGGTTGCTCCCCTTTCGACCTACACTTTCGCAGGACAGCTCTAAAGCTCCATGTCAGCAGCCTGGCGATAGAACTGCACCGATGATTCGGTATGGCGTCGTGTCTGGGACACGTGCAAGGAAGATCAGCCAATACTCCGCCCCTGGGCCAAGATGTCAAATGTCAGATGATTCTTGTTCAGGTCAACTGGTAGACCTGGTAGACTTCACGTCCTGATGACCAGGACGAGATCATCAGGACGTGAGGTCTACCATCCAAGGACTGTCCCCTGGGAGGGCCTTGTGGCAGTGACGATCTTTCCTCGGGATTGATTTGTGACATTCTGGCATACTCTGACCATAAGAAACGCGAGTATATACGAGTGTATACTTGTGTGGTAATATGATGAAATCATGTTATACAATGTTATACGTACTGTACCAGTATATCAGCAAGAAGGAAAGTATTGATCAAAAGATAAACATACAGCGAGAAAAATAACAAATAAAACACCGTATTAAAGTCAGTTAAAGTCAGTTAAATTAAAGTACGAAACAAGCTGTCGGAGGTCTACCCGGATTGGATTTGCTGTCTTACCTGGATGGATACATTTGATTCCTCTTTCCTCCATTCAATGCATTCAACTCTCTATACTCAATCCAATTTATACCAATTTGATGTCTACAAGCAATATAGCTGATATAATCTGAGATAACCATTGATGTAACTGAGACAACTGATATACTATATAGTGACTGATATAACATGATATCACTGTATCATATTGGATCCAAGCGGCCACTTCTATCGACAACCTGCTGGACAATCGAAGATCGCACTCCTACGGCTGCTCTCAGCATGCACCGAGGATGATAACATGGACAGTTGGTCAAGTTGGTCACGAAAAAAGTGGGTAGAATTGTGATCAATTGTGTAGAGGTCATGCTACTTGCTGAGAAAGATTTCATTACAACTGCCATCAGCTTAGAGACTCTCAAACTTGTTGATCACCATTGATCGCCTGATATATTATAATCAATCCTGATATTCTTCTGATAACAAACAGTAGGTCGGCTGATGTTTCAATTGTGCTGGTGCTTTTTTTTTGGCAGAAATATCCCCACTTATACCAGCCACGTCCTGCTGAGTTTGACAGTGTTGCTGCTCGGCCACAGCTCTGGAATGAGATGCTGTTCCTCAGGCGAGCGAACAGAACAAAAGGAAACAAAAGGAACAACCGCAACGGAAACACAAAAACCAAAAGCAAACAATCAAACAATCAGCTTTGTACAATCAGCATCATACTTAGGAGATAAAGGCCCCACATATCATCAAATCCGCAGCAGAACTGGAGTATCAGTCTCTCCATGTCTCTGTTGACTGAGGGTCATTTCTTGCCTTTCCTGTTCAAGAATCGAACTGGCTGGCGACCTTCACTTCTTCCTCCAGGGGCAGGCCCTGCTTCAGGGGCTCCTACTCAGCGCGGCCCTTTTGGGACAGCTCCACCAATTGCGATGCGCATAAATGGCGACCTCGCTGGCATCACTGGGTACTCAGTTGTTTCAAGGATGGGACATGGGAATGGATTGAAGTTCAAACCCTATCAACAAGTCTTTGTTGCGGATGTGAATAAGGACATATAAGGACCCAAGTTTGGGGATCCGTCCATCTTGAGTATTAGCCTTTGGCCCTAGCCATACATTCCTAACACAATTGGCTCACCATAAATCCCCCGTCCCCCGGATGCTCACCATCGACAGGATGCTGTGTTCCACTGCCCTCGGCATAGCCACCTGCCGCGGCCATGGTGCCACCGCGTGGCTGTGGGAGAAAAATGGGAAACAAAACATCAAATTTGTGGGTGAAAAATGGTGAAACTGGAATATCAATAGCCAGAAGTGAGAGCCATGGATAGCCATGGGGGTACCCGAGTAGCTGGATGGTTTATTTCATGGAAAATCCATGAAAATCCATGATAACATGGATGATCACTGCAAGTGAGATGAAAAGTCTTGCAAAGATTTGCAAAGTACCTTTTTCATCCTTTTTCTCCAGTTGTTGGAGTCAAGGCATGTCAAGGCAAGCTCATCTCAGGCACATCCTCATCTCCAATGTAAAACTGCTGCACGGTGCCTTGCTGATCTTGCTCTTGGGTACTGTTGAAGACTTCAGTGACTTCAGTGACTTCAGTGACTTCCACCTCGTCACCAATGTAGAAATGTGAACACTGGGCGCTCATGGGTGGCCCCTTGGGATTTTTGGCGCCTTTCGGCTTGGCGAAGCAGTCCAGCAGTTTCTGAACCTGCGGCATCATCTCAGCACCGTTGCAGAGATCTTCGTCCAGGGCAAGCCAGAAACTGTCGAATTCCTGCTCCTCCTCGGCATCAAATGACTCACCAATGAAAAAGTGAGTGGTGGTTTTCTTCTCATCACGAGATGAAAGCTTTCCTTTGGGCATACACAAGGACACAAACTTGCGAGCCTGCTCTTCCAGGGTTGCACCCTGGTCTTCCAATTCCTCCATCTGAGCCCAAAGATCAGCAGTGTCGTCACTTTGCTCAGACAAAGCTTCCTCCTGGACCTCAAGCGGATTTCGGCTCATCACGGACATCATGTCCTGCAATGCTTTTGCGTCATCTCCATCAAAGGCTGACGCTGCACTTGCAGGTTCACTAAGCATTGGCTCTGGCTCTGGCACGTTCTTTGCCTCACATGGTTTTCGGGACATCACGGCCATCATTTCCTGCAACGCCTTTTCATCATCTTCAAGGATTGATGCTGCATTCACAGATTCTGTGGTGGCACTGGAGGCACTGGAGGCACTGGAGTCACTGGACGCACTGGTGCTGTCGCTCCATTTGCCTCAAACGGCTTTCGGTTCATCACAGCCAGCATCTCCTGCAACGCTTTCGCATCTTCTTCCTCCAGTTCTGATTCTGGGATCGCTGGTTGACTCATGGCGACTGGTGGCACCTGCACTGGTGTTGGTTCACCATTTACCTCTGCCAGCATCTCTTGCAGGGCTCTTGCATCTTCTTCCTCCAGTTCTGATGCTGGAATGTTTGGTTCTCTTGTCGGTGCCGCAGGCACTGGCAGGACTGTTGCGGCTTGTGCGCCATTTCCGGCGTCCCCGGGTTTTCGATTCATCACCGCCAGCATCTCCTGCAACGCTTCTGCGTCATCCTCCTCGAGGGCTGCAGCTGTTTTTTGTTGCCACTGCTGTGCCGCTGGCACGGCACCAACATTGGCTTCCGTGGGCTGGGTCTCATTTGGTCCCTGACCATCGATGGCTTGCATCATGGCCTGCCAAGCCCTGAAGTCTTCATCCTCCTCTTCAGCAGATTTCTGACAGGTTGTGTGAAACTTCGCCACTTCTTCCTTCATCATCACCTCCTCCGTAATACGCCTCATGTCGTTCTTCGACACGACGTTGCGCAGAATTTTCCTGAGCTTCAGGATGAAGGCCTCATTCTGACAGTAGCGTTCCACCGCAGAGGGCCCTTCATTCTTCAGGTCCTCCACCATCGTTCGAATGTCTGAATCCCATTCCACTGCCCAAAGCAACACAGGGTTTGGATGTGGCAATGGAACCAGCTGGTCCAAAGTCGGCACCAGGGTGGATGAAAACACCACTCCTTTGCGCCAATGGAGAAAGGCTCTCCACATTTTGTACAGTAGCAGCAATGCAATCAGCATCAGCTGCAAAGTGATAGAAATGATCATCAAATCATGGCAAAGAGGGACAAAGAGTGACATGGCTTCCATGGACTCGGCCCTCAACTCCAACAAATGCAAGCGAATCGGAAAGTACATGGCTCCAGCTAGCTAGCAGAACCAATTTGAAAAGAAACTCTCCTTTGAGCGCTTGAGCCAAAACCCAAGTTGACCCAACCTTCAATAGTTCACCATTCGCGTGCTGAGATGGACTTTCCTCGACTGGCGCTCAATTTTTCTTGGTTTTGCTCAGTTTTGCTCATACGTTCCCCAGTTGTTTCAAGGATGGGACATGGGAATGGATTGAAGTTCAAACCCTATCAACAAGTCTTTGTTGCGGATGTGAATAAGGACATATAAGGACCCAAGTTTGGGGATCCGTCCATCTTGAGTATTAGCCTTTGGCCCTAACCATACATTCCTAACACAATTGGCTCACCATAAATCCCCCGTCCCCCGGATGCTCACCATCGACAGGATGCTGTGTCCTCGGCATAGCCACCTGCCGCGGCCATGGTGCCACCGCGTGGCTGTGGGAGAAAATGGGAAACAAAACATCAAATTTGTGGGTGAAAAATGGTGAAACTGGAATATCAATAGCCAGAAGTGAGAGCCATGGATAGCCATGGGGGTACCCGAGTAGCTGGATGGTTTATTTCATGGAAAATCCATGAAAATCCATGATAACATGGATGATCACTGCAAGTGAGATGAAAAGTCTTGCAAAGATTTGCAAAGTACCTTTTTCATCCTTTTTCTCCAGTTGTTGGAGTCAAGGCATGTCAAGGCAAGCTCATCTCAGGCACATCCTCATCTCCAATGTAAAACTGCTGCACGGTGCCTTGCTGATCTTGCTCTTGGGTACTGTTGAAGACTTCAGTGACTTCAGTGACTTCAGTGACTTCCACCTCGTCACCAATGTAGAAATGTGAACACTGGGCGCTCATGGGTGGCCCCTTGGGATTTTTGGCGCCTTTCGGCTTGGCGAAGCAGTCCAGCAGTTTCTGAACCTGCGGCATCATCTCAGCACCGTTGCAGAGATCTTCGTCCAGGGCAAGCCAGAAACTGTCGAATTCCTGCTCCTCCTCGGCATCAAATGACTCACCAATGAAAAAGTGAGTGGTGGTTTTCTTCTCATCACGAGATGAAAGCTTTCCTTTGGGCATACACAAGGACACAAACTTGCGAGCCTGCTCTTCCAGGGTTGCACCCTGGTCTTCCAATTCCTCCATCTGAGCCCAAAGATCAGCAGTGTCGTCACTTTGCTCAGACAAAGCTTCCTCCTGGACCTCAAGCGGATTTCGGCTCATCACGGACATCATGTCCTGCAATGCTTTTGCGTCATCTCCATCAAAGGCTGACGCTGCACTTGCAGGTTCACTGAGCATTGGCTCTGGCTCTGGCACGTTCTTTGCCTCACATGGTTTTCGGGACATCACGGCCATCATTTCCTGCAACGCCTTTTCATCATCTTCAAGGATTGATGCTGCATTCACAGATTCTGTGGCACTGGAGGCACTGGAGGCACTGGAGTCACTGGACGCACTGGTGCTGTCGCTCCATTTGCCTCAAACGGCTTTCGGTTCATCACAGCCAGCATCTCCTGCAACGCTTTCGCATCTTCTTCCTCCAGTTCTGATTCTGGGATCGCTGGTTGACTCATGGCGACTGGTGGCACCTGCACTGGTGTTGGTTCACCATTTACCTCTGCCAGCATCTCTTGCAGGGCTCTTGCATCTTCTTCCTCCAGTTCTGACGCTGGAATGTTTGGTTCTCTTGTCGGTGCCGCAGGCACTGGCAGGACTGTTGCGGCTTGTGCGCCATTTCCGGCATCCCCGGGTTTTCGATTCATCACCGCCAGCATCTCCTGCAACGCTTCTGCATCATCCTCCTCGAGGGCTGCAGCTGTTTTTTGTTGCCACTGCTGTGCCGCTGGCACGGCACCAACATTGGCTTCAGTGGGCTGGGTCCCATTTGGTCCCTGACCATCGATGGCTTGCATCATGGCCTGCCAAGCCCTGAAGTCTTCATCCTCCTCTTTAGCAGATTTCTGACAGGTCGTGTGAAACTTCGCCACTTCTTCCTTCATCATCACCTCCTCCGTAATACGCCTCATGTCGTTCTTCGACACGACGTTGCGCAGAATTTTCCTGAGCTTCAGGATGAAGGCCTCATTCTGACAGTAGCGTTCCACCGCAGAGGGCCCTTCATTCTTCAGGTCCTCCACCATCGTTCGAATGTCTGAATCCCATTCCACTGCCCAAAGCAACACAGGGTTTGGATGTGGCAATGGAACCAGCTGGTCCAAAGTCGGCACCAGGGTGGATGAAAACACCACTCCTTTGCGCCAATGGAGAAAGGCTCTCCACATTTTGTACAGTAGCAGCAATGCAATCAGCATCAGCTGCAAAGTGATAGAAATGATCATCAAATCATGGCAAAGAGGGACAAAGAGTGACATGGCTTCCATGGACTCGGCCCTCAACTCCAACAAATGCAAGCGAATCGGAAAGTACATGGCTCCAGCTAGCTAGCAGAACCAATTTGAAAAGAAACTCTCCTTTGAGCGCTTGAGCCAAAACCCAAGTTGACCCAACCTTCAATAGTTCACCATTGGCGTGCTGAGATGGACTTTCCTCGACTGGCGCTCAATTTTTCTTGGTTTTGCTCAGTTTTGCTCATACGTTTCCCAGCTTTCTGCAAGCGACATCAAGCGACTTTCTGCAACCCCACCTGTGAATCCAACAAGTGGTGGCTGCAGTAGGATCCTGCTCACCCGCCATCCGGGCGCGTTTCTAAAACGGCTGCGATGATCACCTTTGAGGTCCATGGCAGGCTTTAAGGGTAAACCGGTTAACTTACTACGAGTAACTGGGGAAACACATGACAAAAAAACATGGCAAAACTCATGGCAAAACTGATCCAACGACCAGAAGTTTTATGCCTTAAATTATGTCAATTGACACCTCCTCTCCACACTTTTCATCACTTTTCCACACTTTTCCTTCTTCCTCCACCCCGTTCAACCCATTTTTGGCGCCAGTGAAACTGCCCCGGCCGGGCACCTGCACCTGCTCCCCACCTGGAACAACGCTTCAACTGACCCTGTTATCGGAGATGGTGATGGTGTGGTTAGTAATGGTTAGTACTAGATATTAATGGTTGATGATGATGATGATGATGATCAACGATGAACGATGACCAACGATGAACGACAGAAGACCATGAAGTTCTCCACAGACACTTCCCCAAGATTCCCATGGCCACAGCCGAGGGCAGCACCTCGCCACCAACATGGGAGGCATCGGTGACCACCTGGCTGGTCGATCCCATAGCCATGGGGATAAAACAGTGATTTTTTTTCCGAATTTTATGGTGATGTCATGGGGATTTTATAGGGTTTTAATGGTGATTTTATGGTGATTGTATGGGGATATGATGACAGTGATATACAACTAATACATCCTTCTTCATTGGATAGAAACATGTGCTTTCACTGATATGTCTTTGAACTCAGCTTGCACAAAGCTCCTAGGTGAATGGTGCATTTGTATGCATTTGTTTGATTTCTCATCATTTCTCGAAACACTTGTTTGTACGTATCCATCTCCCAGGACGGCTCGTCAATCCATCTCAATCTTCAGCATCACTCTGAACCAGCACACTTGAAATGGCTTTGTCTGAAAATCATTGAAAATGTCGCAGCCCTAAATCCATTCGATAATTTTCAATTAATCATAGTCCCTCCAAACAAAATGCATTTTTTTTTCGGCGTTTTCCATTTTCAGAGAAAGCCCTCCATGGATGTCGCAGCCCTCCATTCAGCCATTTTTTAACATCCGCGACTCGCGCCTATCAACTGTGGGGTCGTAACACTCGACGCTGCGCACAGGCTGTGGCCCGGCCCAACCTCGAGGTGATTTTTGTTGTCTGCGGCGTCTGATTTCAATCAACCCCAAGTTTAACCTGAAAAATGATGGGTGTTGATTGATGATCAATGATAGGTTACTTTTTTAGTAACTCAACACTACTTAGTTGATTTGATATGTTTTGATGACTATATTTGAAGTATGAATGGGATATCATTAAATAACAACAACATTACCTGAAACCATCAACCTGTTGGAAATAATTGGTGCTAGAACCATTCTTCGTGATGGCTGGAGCAAAGGGCTTGATCCGAGAATTCCATACAATTCCGACATCGCCGGAAACCATTCAGGGGTCTCACTTCGGACTATTGCCATCTACAAGCAGCACCATTCGGATTTGACCCAAAAATCCAATGCCCAGACATTGATCAAACATTGCGAAAATCTCGTAATTAAGTTCAATGAGGAACCTCCATTTTTCCAGCGGAAATGGATGGAAATGGCCATAGCAACCCCAAGTCATCCATCGAATCCATCCTCTCCTGGATCTTGAGCTCCTCACCGCCACAAACAAAGATCTTTCCACCAATCACTCCTGGCCCCGGGGGCACACAACGGGTCCCCTGGAACGTTGTGATCGATTAAAGGGTGGATGATGTTGGATGGTTAAAGTTCCATATGTGGCTACAATGGCTATAATATGCTATAATCCAGGAAGGCTATATTTACCGCCTGCACCGAATCTAAGTGTTATTTCTTGGTTACGTGACAGGTGCAGGTAAACATACCATAACATACCATACATGGATGTGGATGTGAGATGTCTAAGACCCTCGCTGTATGCCTGTTTTGTTTCAGCCAGGATGATCCCCACTCCTGCGGAAGTGTATTGCCGCGCTTCCATCATGGGAGGAAGCACCTGAAAAGCTTTCAGAGGGGCAAATCCAAAGCTACCCAACTACCTAAAATTACAAATATCAAATATCATCAAATAATACCCTCTGGTAATTTAACATAGCTATTGAAAATGGCCATTTATAGTTGATTTTCCCATTGAAAATGGTGATTGTCCATAGTTATGTATAGTTATGTTAGTTTACCAGAGGGTAATATCAAATACAAGGAGTTTGGACCATCATACCAGTCCAAGGGGGCTGATGGTTGACGAATCAGCCATTTTTGAAGCACCCAAGCTTCCAGCCTCCCACTGGCCAGCCTTGGTGGTCACAACTTGGATTTCTGGTGACGCTTCCCCGGCCAAACTATCCAGTATTGATCATATCCAGTGGTTAATTACGTTCATTACACAGCAAATGGCTATTCAAAGTGGTTCATATCGATGCTATTCAGAATATTCATGATGTATTGATGGATACAATATGGATACGATTTATGGGGGCCCTACATGGATGTCAATGAGGATGATGTATGGACATGGATACTTACCTGCCATGAAGCGAAACCATGAACCAATGCTCCACACGGCCTGGTACTGTGCCCTGTTGGGTGACTTTGAAACAAACTAAGTTGGTTCTGTCCCGCCAGTGGCTGAATCTGCAATTTCTGCTCTTCCCTGTGTGTCAATGGACTGGATTGAGGGAAAATCTTAATCGGAAACCATGGTTTTTAACCATCTTTTACTATCAAATAATGATGTTCTTCTCAAATTTCCCTTAAACCACTCCATTCAGTTTTTGATTCACAAATCTTCCAAGCATTTACCTGCCCTTTTTGCGAGACACGTGGGGATCCAATCGCTCCACAGAGCTCAAAGCCAGTTGTCCTGGAAGGAACTGGCAAACAGCAAGTGGTCAACTAACCAACCAGGGGTTTGTCTCAAAATGGTGGATAGCCCAATGCATTGTCACTGAAAGGTGGGCAAAAAAAACAGATGTAATATTTATATTATATTTAATTTATATTATATTATATTATATTATAATGGGATGTTGCTTGGCTCAAATCCATGGGAGTTTTCTTGTTTCCAAAAAAATGAGACAACCTGATACAACCCCAAAGATCTTGCAAGCAATCACAGTTGTAGCGCCCTGCCTTCAAAGCCACCACACAGGTAGAGGTGGCCTGGAAGTCCCACCGTTGAAGATTCACCCCTTGAAATCCCTTGGTCGCCGGCATATCACGTGGATCCAAGGTACAAAAAATCTGGGATCATTGAAATTGCAGTGACACTTGAAATATTGAAATAACATCATATAAAATCGACAATTCCAGGCTATTCAGTTCAACATGGTGGGTCTGTCTCAAACCTGGAGACACACCCTATAGTTAAACAGATGTTTTAAAACCGAGACTATCCAAGACGTATAGATTGATGTTCCAAGAACTACCAGAATATGTGTCCATGTCCCAAGTTTCAAACACCTATATAATATAATATAATATCATGTCATATAATAATAATATAATATAATATGATATAATATGATATAATATGATATAATATAATATCATATCATATAATATAATACAATATGATATAATCTAATAATATAATATATAGCATAATATCATATAATATTATAATATAGTATAATATAATATAATATAATATACTATAATACAGTATAATATAATATAATATACTATAATATAATATACTATAATATAATATAATACACTATAATATAATATAATATAGTATAATATCATATAACATAACATAATATAATATAGCATAAGATAATTTAAAAATATTTAATATAATAATATATATATATATATTATCATAATATCATATAATATACAATACAATTATATACCATTGTATACCCATTGATACCCATTGTATACATCCCATCTACCAATTGCCACTAGCAAACCCAATGTCTAGAGCTTGCCGCAACCAATCGCCTGGAGAAAGTCGTTCCAATGCATCAGCAGCTGCTGGAGCTGTTGATTGACAGACCTAGGCGCAGAACCAGCTGTGGCGCAAACTGGGATTTGCAAACAGATTTTGGTATATTGGCTGAACATGGTTGAACTATCAACTGAAATACCTATAGTTAGAATTCTGAATACACTTGGAATATTTGGTTAGTAATTGTTGAAATATCTGGGCTGCTATCTTACCAACAAACCTGCCGAAGAGCAGGTTGTACCGGTACAGTACATTGTTGCCTGTTACGCACGTTGACACCCATAAAGACTACAAACCAACTCGCACCATGTCCAGTCCGACGATCCCTGTCTACTGATTGCTGTTGGTGGTTGCAACCCAAACAAAATATAAACATATCCCAGCTTTTGAAAATTGTTGAAATTTCTGGACACTACAAGTATATCAACAGGACAAATCACAAAGCAGTTCTTGATTTCATCCCGACTCTTGCGAAATAAATCCCCAAAATCCTTGGTAGGTCATTCCATCATTCCCGTACCATCCCAAGCCTTTCTACATTCCCAAGAGTGCAAAGTGTCAAGTCAATCCCCATCTTGGTAAACATCACCAGGTTTGGCTGGCCTCACGCAAAGCCCGCATGGCAGAGTATCCTGCAAAGCTGCCCACGGCCATAGCCACAGCCTGGAATGGCCGTGGCAAAACTAGGCGAAATTGGGTGAAACCACCATCAACAATTGGTAAATATTGGGTAAACTTGAGATAGTTAACAATTTACCAGCGAATCATAAACTCAGAGAATTGACTTCTATTAACTTACAATGTCGTGACTAACAACTATTAGGCTAACTGACAAAGTTGGGTCACTCAAAAAGGTGCACCGAGCGCCAGGCCCTGATGTCAATTACGAAATCCAGGGGCAACTGAGCGGCGGAGGGGAGGCCCATGGAGGCCCCCAGGGGCCACAGGGAACGCTGGGAATCAGGAGATGATGGATCACTCATTGGGACTTAATGGGACTAGGCCGTAGATGGATCAATCACGATTAATCCCTCAAACTTATGCAACGCATCTCACCAATTCTGGATTGTTGAAGGATAAAAAAGTAACTTTGTTTGCCATGGGGGCAACGATCAGGTTTCAAGCAGCATCACTTGGATCCAGGCCGGTGGACCAAGACCATAGGCAGCACCTCAAGAGACAAGCTCTTTGGACAAGCAAACTTCATGCGAAGCCGTGAAGGAGCTGGATTTTGCTGGATTTTTATAGATTTTGGGGTGAGAAAAATTCAAGACCTTGTGCATCCCGATACATTCCTACAATTCTGTCCATGGACCATGCTGGATCAACGGGTGATCCGCTCTGGAAAAGCAATCGATGGTGGATGGGCCAATGGAATTTCCAGGTTTGCCCATAGTCGCCCCAACACGGGCGACTGAGTCTTCCATTTTCTCAGACAACGCTTAAATGCAATATGGAAAGCACACGTGATCTCCAACTATCATCAAATATCATGATGTGTCGCGATTTTCTGGGGTCACATTGCATGATAGGAAGAGATAGTGAAACCATGTGAAACCCTCTAGACACGATGAAGTTTTTCCACCATCAATTTGTCAATGCCCAACAATACCCAGCACAAGTTGTGGCACAAGGGACATGCTGATTCGAATTTGTGTCGATGTAGGTGCACAAGGAAGCGCATGCCGTCCACAACCTCAGCCAATGCAGAGCTGATCAGGTGGAAACCCATTGCCGGTCTGAACATGGGGTACCCCATTCCATCCTCTGGTTTATAAAACCGCATTTTTCCTATTGCAGTAGCCAACAAATATTGGGGGTAAGTCCCCCATTTCCATTGCCACGCCCATATATCCCATATCCACTATTCATTGTTGAAAAAAATCCCATTAAATCCCCATCAAATCCCCATCGAATTTTGATCCCATTAAATCCCCCAGTAAGTCCCATTGGACTTCGCGACTGAACCGCTGCAAAGCGACACCATTGCTGTGCAGGCAATCGCGCAATGCGGCGACCTGGTCCTTGCAGCTCTCCACATCTTGACGCAAGGCCGCAATTAGGCCCTGCGAGGCGTCGCAAGGCGATGAAGCGATGAAGTTTCACAGGGGAAAGTGATGGGGGAAATATATGAAATATGATGCTATCATGGGTAACATATGGGGTATATGATTGGGGATATGTAGCCACATTGATATGGATATTATGGTGAATGGAGTGGTTTTGTTGGGGAACATCTAGGGTTGAAACCAGAGTCTTGCCATCAAATTGATTGGAGTTTCTGGCTCAAATTGTCCCTGAAACCAAGTCTGGGAGATGAAACTCAGAAAACATGGTGGTGTTGGGATGATGTCTTTAAGATTTTGGTAGTTGGATGATGCAAATGGATGCAAATGGATGCAAATGGACCTTCGAAAATACACCAAATGGTGGGTCTGGGGTATATACACCCCTCTATTTTCGGATAGTCCCATCGTATATCAATCACTATGGATCGACTTAGACAATGCCGGGCACCGGATGCAGGTTCTGGTCTCTGCTATTGGCAAAATGATCTGTCTCTGACCTTTGACCTTGGTGTCTACGAATTTGGCTCTTCTACACCATGGCTATGTCTCAAAAAGGCCCATGTTCCATTATGGCCTTAAATTGGGGAACCATTCCCCATTTTTCGAACAAAACATGACAAGACTATCTCCATTTGTCAATTCATGGATAAAGTCCCAATGTTTCATGGCCAAAGCACCATGTTTCATCATCTTCGATGGTTCAAATCATGTGAAATCCATCTATAAATCCCTCTGGGGCAGATTCTGGGGCGATTTTTTCCCATTGATCATGATTTCACCAGTGTTAAATCCCATGTTTTCACCATTGGCTGGGTAAATCACCTCTTTCCATCGATGCCTGGCCTGTTGGTAGATCACCTCATGGCTCAAGCGATTCAAATGTTCCTGCCATGGAGAATTTGGTCGGTTTTTCCGAGGGAAAATCCACCAAAAACTGGGAAATCATGGGAAAATCTTGATTTGGATATGTTGGATTGAGGGAAAATCCCTGATTTTGAAGCTGATAATCTGATAATCCTGATTTTGGACCAGGAAAATCACTAGGATTATGAATATCGTGAATTGAACGGAAGATCTTGATGTGCAAATGAGTGACCTCCATCTTAATGGAAAGTATTGGAAACATCCACTCTTCTTAACGGGAAACAGCATTTGGGCAATTGATGAGTAGCTCCTTTGGTTTCTCCTGGAACCAACTGGATGGCTCCAAGCAAAGCTGCATGCCACGTGTAAGGATCAGCCGCTTCTGGCATCGTACCTACCTTCCACTAATCGTTCTAACCTGGCTGGGAACTCCTCTTTGATGTATGGTTCCTGTTAGCTTAAATAGGTTTTTAGTGGTTTTTCACCGTAGGGTTCACCTATATAGACTCCTATACCGATACCCCTTGTGCCAATCAGACACTGTGGCACACAAGCTTCGCCATCAGTTTCCCGATCTACAGCTGACAGATTTCACCCGGTGCCTGAGTGCTGTCTATGACCACCTCCTCCATTGCTACAACAAGGTGGGTTGAAAAAGTCTCAGCTCGGACCTTCCCTCAGGGTCAGCCTTGTGACAACATCTCAAAAGACACGTATGGATTAGTCATCCCAAAGAAAAGTGTTCATCCCATTCTGGAGATAGAATATAATATTATATATATATATTTATTGAATAAATAATTATACAGCTGAGAATTTAGATCATTCGCAACAAGGACATCTTCTGAAATTCATTCAATTCTCTCAATGTCTGAAATTTTGGATATGGCTCCCAGTTTTTAACCCAGGGGTCTAATATGGGCATCCAACTTGCCCCATGTTTGCGTTCCGTTTAGTGTGTTGCTGCAAGCGAATTGATGGAACATGATGGAATTAGAATATCATCCGTTTCCATCTGCTGACTGATCTGACTGCGTTGATTCCATCGATCTGCAGTCACTCTGCATGTGGATCTTTACAGACTTGTTTCCAGCGGCTGCGGGTGTTGACAGCAGAAGCACCCTCACTACTGTGGGAAGTGAACTCGAAAACAGCCAGCAATGATTAGATCCTCCAGATTTGTGCTAAAACGTTTGTGGAAATCACCTTTAGTGTTTGAATCATTGGGATTTAGTTCTTCTGATACAGTGGATCCCCTCTAGGTCCCCTAAATGTGACAGTGACATCCCGCGTAGATAACTCCCAGAAAAATCGTCAGCCCCCTGGAAACTTTTCTTTGGAATCGGTTTCTTCGCCTGAACCGCTTTGGGTTCCACCATCGGTTGGCACCGGTGGTTCCTCTCTTTCGCAATATCCAGTGGCAGCTGCGTAATTGCTACTTTTGCCCATGACTTCAAGCTGGCATTCCGCTTTGTTGATGTCTCTGCTTTTGTTTAGTTTCATGCCCTTCTTCTTTGCCCCCTGTGCGAAACGCACAAACCTGCCACTGGAATCCTTGAGATCTCATTAACGTGGCCAGTTTGGCCAGCGACATGGCATACTTTGAGCCAAAGTGAAACACCCAAGCACCAGTTTTAGATGCGGGGTTGGTTAAGCAGGAGAGGCACATTGGCCCCCCATATTGGAGAAAAAAATGGATTGAGTGTTGCTGCAAAGCTGGCTCCCAAAACTAGGATGGTTTTCTCTTATCCAAGTTAACCAAAATCAACAAATGCCCGAATGTAGTGAAACTATCCAACACAAAAGACTCTTCAACTAAGAGGCCTCACCAGAGGCCGCCCAAGCCCTTGCACGTGAAAAAAAGGGACATGAATGACTGATAACCCCAAAAATCCTTAACCAAGTTGCAAAGAATGCGCCGAGCATACAGAAACATGGGTGCTCTTGTGAAAAACAAAAAACAAAAACAATCGGATAAACACGGCAAAAGGCGAAAAATGTGTTTGTTCCACAAGTCCAAGCAATAGCAACCTGATCATCCTCTCCCGCAAGATGCGACCTTCAGCTTTCAGGCGGCTTTGCGCTCAGAACGGTCACGCTGCTTGGGTGTGATAAGTGTCGGCAAACCTGGTCTAACGGATTATCATCAAACTTACAAAGTTCCGAACCGTTTAATCACGTTCTGACTGGGATTGGTCACCCTAGTACAACATCAACAAAGGCCATGCATTTTTTGCAGCTCTGTTGTCTATCTCAATGCAGAATGTCTCTGAAGCAGCCTGTGGGCGACCAAGCGCGCTGCTCAGTAGACCTTTGGAAAATCTTCATGCTGGGCCATGACTCACGGCTCAGATTTGGGCGGGCTGATAACTGCCCACTCGGTTTCTTGACATTCCTGGCACAATGATGGCAAACCAGAACTTTCAGGAAGATCCACAAAAAACTGGGAGTACACAAACTCCTGCTTGCACTTTCCGCAAGTTGTCTTCTTCTCTGCATCTCGTGATTTCTTCATGCAAGCTTCACACATCGCCAGCTGACCTTCTTTGATGTACTCCTGGTGGTCCTTTGGCACCATGGTGCCACACATTCCTTTGCACAGGAAAGAGCTCTTTCGGGCCATGCGAGTTCCCTGGGATTTAAAGCGCTCCAAGGCCTCTTGCCCCTCAACTTGCCGAAGTTCCCTCAAAGAGTGCTTACGCACCATGAGAAGAGGATCAATGGGTTTCAAAGAAGCTGGCACTTTTGGATCCTCCTTGGGTTCAGCAGGTGGTAGAGGCAATTCACAGGCAGCAGCGCTGGCTCGGCGTTCCTGGTCAGGGCGCAAAAAAAGGTGCTTGGCCTCAAGATTTACAGCCTCACAGCTGCCATCCATCAGCACGGACCAGAGCGGAAGAGCACCTGAGGAGGTCGAGGTCAAAGCGGTGACCAAGCCCAGTTGCCCATCCAACTGCTTCTTGCCTGTTCCAATGACCACCACAGTGGAACCTTCGCTGATCTTGGGAGCCACAGGTGCATCACTGGGAGTTGTCCCTGGAAAATCTTGAACTGCGAACTTGTGCGCAGGTGAATGGGCATGGGCACGGCCCTTGAAGCAAGCACTGCAGTAATGCGTTGCGCAATTCTTGCACGTGAAGTTTGCTCCGACCAAAGGCTTGTGGCCACAACCCGAGCATCGGACACCAAGGTGAACGGGGACTTTTTCTGTTTTGAGGCAATGCCTAATGCCTTCTCTGTGGCCAGGCAAATCTTCAAGGAGAGTCATCTTAAACACAGAAGCCATCTCAAACCCAGAGTCTGGTGACTCTGGCGAATTTTCAACCAACTCAATCATCTTCTGTTTGGGCATGCCAAAGACCCTCTTGCCGTTGATGGCCAGAAGCACCTGGGGGACAGGCTCTTCGCCGAGAACCATAGGTGGGTCAGACCATGTGACAGCCACTGGTCCCAGGGTACTTGTCTCCAAACCTGTTTGGCCATCAAATCCTGCAGGAAATTCTTTGTGCGGTTTGCGCTCTCGCTTCTGCATCTGCATGCTGGAGCAGCCTTGCAACTTCTTCAAAATTTGTTCACGCGTAAGGGACTTGACATTCATATGGTCAACTTCATGAAGAATTTCACCTGCGCGGTGTTGCACCACCCAAAGTACAAACAAACAAAAGGTGCCACACATGCGGTGCAAAGGAAAATATGTAGTAAGGGATCACGCATACACAACCTTATTCGTTCATACAACGAGCACAACTACCCCACCCCAAACCAACACTGATTCCCTCTGATTCCCTGCAACTTGCCTTCTGAGACGAGCCCATCCGCAAGCGAACCAGGTACAATTGCTGTGACCTGAGGTGGGGACGTCCAGGCAAATGTTGCTCCGGCCAAGGTGTCACACGTTACAGCACGCTGCTCATCCCATCCATCTGCAGCTTCTGGCGTCTGAACTCGTTTGGCCGCGTCATCGCGAACTGCATCCAAGAAGAAATGCTTTTGGACTTCCACTTTGTGCTCCTCAGAAGTCTCCTCCTCCAACTCCTTCACAAGGGCCCTCAAGCCTTGCCATGGACTGGCTCTTGATAGATGCCGATCAAGGTCCAATGCAAGCCTACTCTGCAGCTCTTGCAAAGCCAGCAAAGCTCCCAACCCACCATGCCTTCGTTCCTGTAACTTGCGCCTCTCAAACATTGCCTGCATCTTCTGAACAGTTGCCACGCAAAGAATCATGTTGTTTTTTGCCGCAAGGAGTTGCAGGATTTCTTGCTTTGGCATCTGTGCCACAGGCTGGCCGCCCACGAGCTTCAGCATCACACCAGATTCGCACCCAGCTTTCTCTGCCGGTGAGTCCTTCTTGACCTCTATAATCTGAGGGCCTCCTTCGCCTTTCCAGCAAACAACTGCGCCCCCTAGACAAGAACATTCTTGAGGCCCTGAGTTCTGTACCGCTCCATGCAGGAAAGAAGCCAGCTTGGAACCCAGAGAGGAACTCTCTGTCTCTGAAGCCGCATGGCTAGCCAAGTCTTCAGCATCCTTTCTGACTGCATCCAAGAAAGCAGCCAGCTTGGAGTCAGGCATTGGCATCCAATCAACCTGAAGTTCTGGGCCTCCGAGAGTTTCATCATTTTGCACCTCATCTTCGAGAATGGATTGAAGATGCTGAGGAGGTTCATGTGGAGCGGATCCTGGCTGATGGGGATGAGGTTCGAGCTTCAAAGTTCGACAGATGTCATTGCACACATGGTTCATGAAGAAAGCATCCATGCCCTTGCAGGACAGGTTTCCACGGCCAAAGCGGTCCGTGTCCAGGGAATGGATCTGTGGGTCCGTAAGGGTGTTCCCAACTCCTTGAATGTCAACGACCATGAGTTCACCACTTGTGAAGTCCCAGGTGTAATGGCTGTAGGCTTGCGCCACATGGGAATCCTTGGTAATATGCCCAGCATTGGAAGTGTATTTCTCGTATTTTCCCGGGATCCACGGCTCTACTGCCATGAATCGAAAAGGAAACGCGCTGGAAGCACCCAAGTCCAACAGCTGAGCTGGAACGAATTCAATGGGACTCTCAGGGTATCGGAGAGAGAATTCCTTGGCTAGGTAGGAGGCCACTGCCTGCGACCCCATGTCCCCTTCATAAGTGGACTTCTGTTGAAATGCAATGTCGTCAAACTGGTACACTTTGCCCACATACTTCCGGTTGGGATTCTCTTCATCCACCATGTGGAAGGCAAATCGCATGGCACCCTTACCAAAAGGTTTGGGAGCAATCAAGGCCCGGAAGGCTTTGCAGCTTTTCTTCGGAGGTTCATCCACGTCTTCAATGAAGTAGGTGTAGAGATGGGCATCCACAGATTGCCATTCATGCACTTTGTCCCAGTCAGGGGGAGCATCATCCACTGGAAGCTTCAATTTTTCCCGAAGAATCGTTGGCGCCTGACTCATTTTCAAGATTGAAGTTCCATACGAGGCTACTGACGAAGAAGACACTATGAAGCGCAGCTGCCTTGCATCCTGCTTGGCATCATAGACTTGCAATTTCAAGGCATTTGGCTTGCTGTTCTGGTACTTCTGCCTAAAGACCTCAATCATCTTCTCAGTTATTGAGCCCAGCCGCAACACGACCATCTGGACACCCTTTGCTTGAAGCTCCTGCAGGAGGCTTCATGCCAGGCGAGGTTGGGATGTGGAGATCTTATTTGGGAGCTTGAGGTAGTATAGTCCGAATATATGTAGACATGTATAGATGCTCTTTATATTGCGTATTAAAGTCACCCAAGGTCATGCCAGCAACTTGCATGCGTGGTGGGGTCGACGAGTGTTGAATTGTTCTGTTACATCCGTAACAGAGACACAAGGGCTCACATCAAATACGTCTATTATTGTCTTTGGGCACCACATGTTGATCAAGTTCGATCATTCTACTGCGAGCACATGCGATGCACTGATGTAGGGGGCATCCCAGCTACATAACTGACTTTAAAAGCCCGAGACAGACACAGCAAAACCAACAGAGCAGGCTGCCAAATGTGTATAATTTAGCATGGTGCTTCAACATATTTTATTTGGAGCTAGTTTTCCAAGTTGGGTAATTATTATCCCTAAGTTTGGGTACTTACTGTCCCTAAGTTTGGATAATTAAGTCCCTAAATTTGGTAATTATTGTCCCTAAGTCTGGGAATATGTGTTTTTAAGTTTTTTGTTAGGGACACAAATTGCCCAAACTTAGGGACAATAATTAGGGCAATAATTGCAAAACCGATTCTTAAGAGATAAACCAAAACTCGTGGTAGAGAGACATGCTAATGTACAATTACAATCAATTATATGGCATTCACTGCATCTCTGCAGCTCATCAAAAGACTGATCTTTGTCACAGTTCACCCATCTTAACTCAAACAAATTGCAATGCAAACAGAACACGTGCTCAGGGAGCAGAAGGTCAAGCTGTTCGCCAGTCCTGAACAGCCTTATCCATGGGGTCCCACTGACGTGGATCCTCTGCATACAGGTCGTAGAACCGAGTGCTCAACCATTTCTGGGCTTCCTCAGCTGCCACAGCAGCTCGGATGGTCTGCAGATCTGCTGCCACCTGCGCAGCAGTCGAAGCTCGACTGCAAAGAAAATGAATGACCCCCCAAGCGAGCTCGCCATGTCTGGTGCTACGCCCATGTTTTTATGTACAATGTTTGTTTGTGCTGTATATCTTACACACTGTGCGTTGCTGATTGTTTGGGATACCTACCTCATAGACCTCTCTCTTTGGGGGGCCTTCTGCCATTTCTGGCCTGAAAGTCCTGTTGAAAGCGCCAGCCATGATGAGGTGTCTGGCTCAGCAGGCACAAGACCCTGGCAGTCGATGACCACTCAAGCTGTACAGCCTTCTCCAGCCCTGTCAGCAGGTGGGCTTGGTTCACGACTGGTGCAGAATCATTCACTGGAACCAAGACTTGGTAATGCTCTGTATCTATGTTCTTTATTTTTTTGCGGGTCAGTCAGTCACTTTGTTCATATTTGGACATAGTCGCCTGCCAGCACATCTTCGCACTGATCACCACCACCTTCAGCTTCCAACTTCCGCAAGAAAGCTTTCATTTCGTTCACATCCGTTGTGAAGGGATGAACCAAGTTCTGAGACTCATCCTCATAATCCCTGTAGCCAACGAATCCCACGTTGACCTTTGCGAGGTCACCTGGTTGATGATTGAGCCACCATCACAAATATACGCAACTCAAATTGAATCCTCCCAGTTTAGGGGGTGGAAAATGAAGATAAACCACCAACCAGTCACCCATGCTTTGCAGGTTGTCCTGGATGATCTCCTCCATTTTTTCAATCAAGGTCTGTAGCCACCAGTGCATGGAGGCAGTCAAATCCACCACGAAGCAAAGGTCCAAGGTTTTGGCCTCCCAGGGAATGAAAATCATGCTGTCACTGTATCACCAAACATGGCATCCTGGGTAGTCTCAGTGGGTGAGATTGGATCCTCCATTAGTGAGACCATCTATTGAATTATTGAGGGATTTTGCTTCTTCAGCTCCTGCAAGCCAACAATGGTACCGCAACCAGTCGCAGTACATGAGCATTACCGAAAACCCTCCGCCTTCTTGGCACGTTTGGTCGCCAAGGCCAACTGCGTCTTCATCTTGGCTTCACGAGAACCTCGTTGAAGTAAGTCACGGCGTTCTTGCTCAGCCCGCAGGCGATCATCCCGGACCTTCTTTACCGCTTTCTCTACCTCCTCAGCCTGTCCCATGTCGGACGGGAATCTCACTAAAGCGGTGCAACCGAGATGGATGTCTAAGTCTACTGATGTCCACTGGCCACAACAGCTGCAACGGCCAGACTGGTGCAAAAGTTGCATAGCCAGCACAGGTTGCCTGCATCTTCTCACAGGATGCACAATCAAGAATGTATCACGACCGAAAGAAGTGGAAATTTCCTTCTTTCTTGTAGGCTGCTATATTTTACCCATGTCAATGTTGATGATCAATCGTGATATGTTTGACCGTGGTAAACCGCCATCCATCCCTGATCACACTGAGTGATATCTCAGGTTCGAGCCCGTAGCCTGCCATGCTTTATGGCCCTTGCAGTTGGGGATGATGGCTGGAAATCAGCTACTAGTAGAAACTTCACGCCAGTTGCCCAGTTGGAGAAACATATTTTTTGATAACAGCAATCATGGGGATTCCTTTTTCAACAGCAAAATCTCACCCCCTTGTGGCTGGGCTTTATCCCGCCTGGGAGACTTCTACCCTCAGTCCCAACCAGGGCTGCATGAGCGAGGACGAGGGACCTGAAAGGCATGCGGAGCCCGGCATGGCTTGGCATGGCTTCAGAAGCCATGGGTTTTGGACTCTGAGTTGGAAAATGTTGGAGAAATGAGGAAGATTTGTCTTGACAGTGCAACACTTGGGACCATGATGACAACTTTATAAGTATCTGCCGCAGTTGGCATGGCCCTCTCACACCGGCGGCATGGTTGGAATTGTTTGAAGCAGTCAGAAAATGAACATGGGACTGAGATTGAAGGAAAGAACTGGAACCTCAAAGGAGATGAGAACGCAGCATGACATGGTACACTAGCATGCAATCTGTGCAATCTACAGTATACATCTGAAGGATGTTACCCTTTTGTTCACGTCCCAAACAGGAACCCCACAAAATGAGATATCTATTCACCATTATTCACCCAAGTGAATTCACACCAATCCGACCCAACTAGACTATGCAACTCACATGGTTGGGTCAGTCCCTAAGGATGGGGAGGCAGATTGGAACTACCATGTACTGCCCCAAACTGTGAGATGGATTTTGCTTGGAAAACTGACATGACTTGAACGATGATGAAGCATTTCACAATATTTTTTACGGCTAAACACTGCCATTTTTGTGGGACCGTGGGGTTCGATCTCAGAGTCTTAGATTTTGGGGCAGCAACGAAGTTTGGCACATGCCGCCCAAACCCCCTTGAATATCGCACCACCAATTTGCCTCGTGGTTGGAGTTCCTTTCTCTCAAGGAAGTTCGGCGTTTGGCTGTGGGATCACCTTAGATCGGATCAGGGTTCCCTGAAATTTGGGCAAACCGGGTAAACCTGCACATCCAAAATTTGAGGGCATCAAGATTTGAAAGTAAACCTCATAATAAAACCAAATAGTCCCAGAAAAAAACATCAAACAAACATAAACAAACAATGTCAACCAATGAACATCAACCCCAGGACCCCATTTTTAAAGGGTCCCAAGACGTCGGACCTATCCCAATCCCTCCAGGTGGCAACCTCTTAAGGATCCGGCCAAGGTCCACGGATGCAGCCAGGCCTTTGGGGATCCTAAACTAGGGGTATCATCCATTTTTATAGGATGTTCCATTATAAATCCTCCATTGGATTACCCTCATGGCTGTGGAAATCTCATGAAATCTCCATCTGTGGTTATGTCGTTGCACCATCCAATGATCCACGACATCCAATCTGTTGCTTCTTCAGATTCCTAATTCCGGCGCCTTCCGCGGACTCCTCTCTTTCTGCCTCCGCACGGGCGTGCTGCACCTAGGCTGAATGACAAGTTCGATAGGAATCAAATCAGGATCATGTAGGTATATGATATATGATGCCATAATTTGTATAATGAATCAAAATTAACATTGTATGTTTGACCAATTTTGATAAATTGTGTGGATGTTGGAAGCTCTTGAATTGCAAAATCAAGCTGCATTGCAAGTGACTGAGAACAGATTAGCAAATAATTAAATAAAGATCTCAAGAAATCTGTCAGTTCTGAGCTGTGCTGAGTTCTGGGCAAAGGCCTTGATCGAAGCAATTTTCACTTCGAGTGCCCTGTCCAAATTGAGGGACACAAACTGCAGGAAGCAGAGGAAAAATGAAGAAAGTAGCAGAGTACATGCGCATCACCGCATCATACACGTCCCCAAGTGGTGATGCGAATTCTCATTGTTGGTGAATGAACCAAAGGAAGGCGCAAAACAAATATGCACAGCTATCCAAGCATCATATAAGAGATGGCCTGTTCCTTCTGAGCAAATCATCATAATATGTCTGCGCCTGGGTCAAGATCAGCTGCATTACCCATCGATGCTCTGTTGGGCCAATCAAGAAATATCAAAAATCATCTTGCTTTCAACTTGAATTGAAGAAAACACCCTGGAGTTTCGCAGGAAATGTGTTTGAGAGAGCAAACACGTCTGCATCACAGCCAGTGCATGTCTCAATGATACCCGTTGATCACAAATCAAAGGAATAATTTGCTCATGTCAATTGACCTGTCAAATTATGTCAAATTTCATCACTATCCTTGTAGCAATCTGCTTTCGCCTATGGACCAGTACTCAATCTACTCCATGCGAGTCGATTGCGAGAAATTCATGAACTTAATTAATTCCCCTTCAAAACCATTGTTATAACATGTCGTGATAACCTTGCTTCTTCCCATATCTTCCCATGTTGTTTCCCCCACCATAGCCGCATTGCTCCAAGGCACCCGTTGCCGGGACCTCTCCTTGGGCGATAGCTCCAGAGCCGGTGCAGCCCCCGGCAGCGGCGTCCGCGGCAGCGGCGTGGTGGGCGTCAACGGCGTGGGCGGCTGCGAGGGCGGCGGCGGCGACGGCGTGCCCTTGGCGGAGGGCACCACGGACATCGCGGAGATCCGGGAGATGCGCGACTCGGTGGTGGCCACCTGGCGGTGGTTTTTTCTTGGGGTTGGTGGTGAAGTGTTTCTATCTCATTAGTAAGAATTATATAAAATAATAATAATCATCATGAATAGTTTAAGATAGTCTACAATATTATGGTTCAGGATAGTTCAGGTGTGGTTGAAGGACATCGAGTCGTTAGGAGCCCTGAATTACTACGACAAACAAATGCGGTTTTCTGGATTCACGTCCGTGTGAATACCGAGAGGACATAAGGTTTTCATAGGTTTCCTGGAAACTAGGCCAGTGGGTGAAGCTACAGGGAGAGAATCAAGAATTGTTGGAGTCTGGGGTTAGAAGATGCTTGGCACTATTCATCCTCATTGTCAGGAGGTTTTGCCCCCCTCAAGTTCGTAAATCGCTAGGAACTTGCGTGGTATGTTCACTATGTCCCAGTCATACAGGTTCGGTCCTGATCATTGACTAACCTCCACGATCCGAGCTACGATCCCCAATGGCTTTTGAGGACAAAATGGTGCTCTTTAGCTCCTCATCTACTTATGACTCCCTGGTTCCCCGAAGGGACCTACTGAACCAGGGCTCTATGAGGTGCCACCTGAGCATCTGCTTCTGCCGCATCCACCACTTCTACCTGCTGTGGCCAGTTGCAACAAACCGCTTGGGCGGGGTTCTCTTCAAGAAGTATGATTCTTGACATTTCTTGGAACCACCAAGACAAATCGGAGAATATCGGAGACCTCCAAGTTCTCGGTTCCCTTCCAGCTTCAATCACTTGAATTCAATTGTCATCCCAACCCCCCAGCTCCTCCCGCAACTTTTCGGCAATCCCTCGGAAACAGTCCTGACACCTCAGTGCAGGGAAGGACTTCCCATTTCACCGGATCATTGGGAAGCGTTGCTTCTGGGTGGATTTTGCATCATTCCTCACCTTTACCATCCTTTACATGCCAACTGGATGTTCTTATTGAATATGACCAGGAATTCCCAGGATTTCCCAAGTCATTCTGACCCACATCCATCACCTATCCAGCCAGGGCTTGCCCGGCCTCACGCTGTTGGTGGCAAGATCTTCAACCTGAAAGCAGTGCATCATCATCATCATCATCATCATCATCACTAGTAATGTGGCTAAAACAATAATAAACCATCCCCAAATGGGTTGTTTATTATTGTTTTACCTACATTATTATTATTTAGTATGATGACTATTATCATGATAGTCATTATCACTACAGTAATCAGCACAATGTTTCTTATGTATACCAGTTACTATCTAGTTGTCATGGTTGTTCTATTACTACTAGTCTGTCACCACTGTTCTCATTAATGACTATTATTATGTTTTATCATTATTCCCATTACCACGTATTAAACATTATCATAATTTTTACTACTATTGTTATTCCCCACCTGCCAGGTGAGGGTTGTTAGATTTTATGTCAGTTGCCTCCTCCTGCCTCGTCCTCCTCCTCCTCCTCTCCTCCTCTCCTCCTCGTCCTCCTCGTCCTCCTTGTCATCCTTGTCGTCCTCGTCGTCCTCGTCGTCCTCGTCGTCCTCGTCGTCCTCGTCGTCCTCGTCCAACTGCGACCAGCGATCCACAGTGTTCTCTGCCGGACCTCAACCACGACCATCCACGCCCAGTGTTCCCTGCCGGACCTCAACCACGACCATCCACGCCCAGTGTTCCCTGCCGGACCTCAACCACGACCATCCACGCCCAGTGTTCCCTGCCGGACCTCAACCACGACCATCCACGCCCAGTGTTCCCTGCCGGACCTCAACCACGCCAAGTGTTCCCTGCCGGACCTCATGTAGGAAGATATGGGACAAAGAATGTGCAGAAGAAAGTTAGAAAGAATGTCAGAAAGAATGTCAGAAGATATGCCAGAAGATATGCCAGATAGAATGCCAAATAGAATGCCAGATAGAATGCCAGAAGATATGTCAAAATATATGCCAGAAGATATGCCAGATAGAATGCCAGATAGAATGCCAGAATATGCCAGAAGATATGCCAGATAGAATTCCAGATAGAATGCCAGAAGATTTGCCAGAAGATATGCCAGATAGAATGCCAGAAGATATGCCAGATAGATATGTCAGAAGATATGCCAGAAGATATGCCAGAAGATATGCCAGAAGATATGTCAGAATATATGCCAGAAGATATGTCAGATAGAATGCCAGAAGATATGTCAGAATATATGCCAGAAGATATGCCAGATAGAATGCCAGAAGATATGTCAGATAGAGTGCCAGAAGATATGCCAGATAGAATGCCAGAAGATTTGCCAGATAGAATGCCAGAAGATATGCCAGAAGATATGCCAGATCATATGCCAGAAGATATGCCAGATAGAATGCCAAATAGAATGTCAGAAGATATGTCAGATAGAATGCCAGAAGATTTGCCAGTAAGAAAATGTATAAATGTCATGGTGGGGATCACACGAAGTAAAGTAATTATGATTGTTCTCCCTTTTTGATGCTGCTTTAGAAGAACCATTGTCAATTGTTGATGTCCAAAAGATAATTACTAGTCAAAAATGCAGGTGACTATGTCTTTATTCATAACAAGTATGGCTACTACTGTATTGGTCTTTCTATCCGGTAGTAATTACTATTCTTAACTTCATGATTACTAATTGTAATACGTAGTAGTAATAACAGTTTCCATCAGTTTCCAATATTTGATAACTTATCGTATTGTGATTATAGTCTCCAATATTACGATAGTTCTCCAACAATCGTCTCTATATAATAGTACTAACAATAACAATTGTCACAGCCTATCACAGTAAGATAATGCAATATGATATAATGATAATGATAATAATTGGTTAGTACATGTTATTACCAATAACAATTTTATGTACCATCGCTGATAGTAAACATATAATCGATAATAACTCTTATGAAAACTATATTGATAATCTAATATTAGTGATAATATTCATAGTAATAATGACAATCTACCAGCAATGATAATCTAATAATAGTAATAATGATTACTGTCACTAAAAATCTTATCATCGTCTCTAATGATAATACTTTAATAATAGCAATTAGTAGGAATAATTTGTGATGCTCTTCTAATCATTATTGTCTTACTTCTAATTATAGATATTAATAATAGTAATACTACTGATATCACGGTATCAATAGAATATAAGAATACTTCTAATGACAGTAATACTACGATCAACTCCCATATACATAATGATATCAATAATATTAGAAGTATTCATGCTAGTGATACAATACTAGCTACTAGTCATCACTAATAGGATGATAAAAATAAATATTAGTATTAATCGATGTGAATAATAGTAATGCTAATAATTCACAATAGTAAAATGGTCACAGTGCATTGATACATATTAATACCTATATTAATAATTAACATTATACTATTGTTAATAATGAACTGTTACCATTATAATTAAGAGTGTATATATATATAGTATCATTAGAAATGACATTTTTTTATCATCTATTAATAATCTATTCATATCTATTGGTAGTAATTACCATTAACACTACTAGAATATCATATATCAATTACCATTATATAATGGTATTAACTATCTATTATCTATATTAATAATACGTAATGATATATAATCACCATGTGTTACCATGAGAAAACAATGGTAAAATTAACACCATTGGTAATTTTCTAATGGTATTAACACATCTTAACACCATTACCATCTGGTTATTTAATATAGCCATGGAAAATCCACCCATTTTTAAGAACGGTAAACCATCTAGAAATAGGCCATCTATACCATGGCTATGTTAGTCATAACCAGAGGGTACCATTGATGTCATACCTCATACGTATCTCGTCCCCCGCCTCCAGGATCAAGCGCCGCATAAGGCTTTTGGCCACCGCCACATCCAGGCCCTGCACTGGACGCCTAGCAGAGATGATCGGTGCCATGGGGGGCGAAAAATGGCTGGTGCCATGGGGATTTATGGCGATTTATAGCGTTTATAAGCTACCAAAACGTAAATTAAACTATTTAAAGATGTGGGCTGTTTGAACTGTTGGAACATGTGGATTTCAACCAAAAATGAGGAAAATGGATGAAAGTTAGTGGCTATTGGTGCTGTAAGCAGCAACAATGAGGGATTTCATCAAGGAAAATGATAAAATACAGTGAGCAACTGGGATTGAACCCGTAAAATCCGACCCATAAAATCATAAAGAATCAGATTTTACACTCCAGAATAGGAATTTCACCAATGAAATACATATCATGGAAATGGGTATGTCTGAACATCGGGCCCAAAGTTGATGCTTGAGAAAATCATTTTCGGTGGACTTGGGAGTGACAGGTTTGGAGACTAAAATTTGGGTGGTTACAAGAGCTTTCAAAGCCTAAACATCAAGAGGCAGCAGGTATGGGTGAAATTTGGGTATCTCAAACTGGGATTGTTATCTCTGTTCCATTTCACTATATTATATTCAAAATAGCTCAACTTCTCGATTTTGGTCAACTATGGTCAAACAGCGTGGCATATCATCATGAGGTTGGGCTTCTGGTTTATCCCTGTCATCAAAAATCCTCGTGTCGTTTCAGGTCAAGGAGCCAGTATCTAATATCAATACAATGGTTTTGTCCATATCATTTCAGATCAAATAAACCATGGTGATATTATTGAACAGCCATTCTGGCCATTCTGATATTTATTATCAATTTATATCACCATGATTTTGTTCATTTTTGGTGATCAAAGTGATTCTATCAGTTCATCTCAGTTCATATCCCATCTAATTTCACTGAGGGCCCCGGCTTCATCCTCATGATGGCCTCAATGAAGTCGTGAACCTGCGATCAGTGATCTGATGGCATGGTGGGATCTCACTTTTAGATACTTTTAGTGGGTTGATTTCAGGAACATCCATGGAAATCCTTGGTGTTACATGTTTTTTTAACATGTTTTTACCCACGCATGTCCAATTCTTAATACACCAATTCCTTTCAACCAATTCTGTCAACCATCTTGGACTTAGAATGATATGGGTTTGTCTCAAACATGCAGGATACCCAATTCATGGCCATTTTGACAACCTGATGATCGACCATGCATCGGATTTGGAGGGTCGCAATTTTGAGACAGCCTTCCTATGGCATTTCTTGTGTGGTGACGCTGGTTCCAAATTGGAGGTGCTATTGATTATGACCGCAAAAATGGCAGCATTGCGTTTCCAACAACTTGATACAACTTGCAGCAAATTTAATCCGACAGGGTCTGAAATGTCCTTCAACTGAAGGTATTGGACCCAACTTTCGAATGCTACTTCGAGGTGCTTAGGGGTGGCCTTGCGTCGTGACTTACAAAGTGGAAACCGGATGCTACGTCTGGACAAATCGCACCAAAGCGTTTTGATCATCCTTGATGATCTTGATAACTTGAGCAAATAGAACAGAGATGTTTCATGTTCAAGGTCCCTTTAAGATCCTTTAAGATCTTTCAATCTCACATATTACAACACAAAGTTTCGTGGTCCTTGGTGTCACCAACCTACCTGTCGAAGGTAGCCACCCCAAACAGCAAAGTTTCTCAAACCTCTGCAACTCAGAGGAGTTTCTACACATCCGGGGGCCAATTCTGATATGGAACGGGGAATTGACAGGACATAAAAAGATCTGCGCCAGCGCAGTCTTTGCACAAATCAAAATCACATTGCCGGCAGCCCACTGTGAATGTTTCTGTGACTGTAAGCTGACAGTCATCGCAAATGATATAATTCTCGAGCATACCTGGAAGCAATTCATGTCCCGATGGACATCTGATTGTCCTTCCACGTGCTTCCACGAAGAGGGAGAAATGAGATGCACCGCGAGGAACAAACACCGCAAACACGTCTGTCAAGCACGGATCTGTTTCTTCAATTGGCCGAGTCATCTGGGACCAGCTCTCAACTGTCACTACTCGGGAAAGGGCACATGCAGCGTAAACTGCGAGTGTTTCAAGTTTGATTGTGTCACTACAACGGTACAAGCGGTCTGGCTGCATAATGTCTTCTATGGCCAATCCAGTAATTCCATCTCCTCTCCAGTTGAACAATGCATACTTACAGTTCTTTATGAAATCGTGGACCACGTGAGAGTTTCAATGCAAAATCCGTGTCAAAGCTCACCAGGATCAGCAAATCTACCCGTGAGGAACTGAGCAGCTGCCACGTACGCCCGCACAGCTCAAGAGCAGATTCCGAAGGACAACTTTGGTGCAAAGCCGCAATAACCACTGTCAGCGCGTGCTTGTTGATTTTGATCTCTAGATCCTCCATGGTTCGGCTATCCCGTTCTTCCATGCACATCGAAGCTGTCAATTCTTGATGGCACACGGCACGAGCCCACAACTTCATCAATCTGGCAGCATGTCGAACAACTTCTGGCTGACGTGCCACCCACTGAGTCTTGGCTACATTTAAGCTATAGGTTTTGATCCAAACACCTGGCTCATCCATGCGTAAATCCTCAAATGAAAGGCTCTCCGGAGGAAGTGCTGGCAAAACATCGGCTGATGCTCCTTTCACGCAGCAACTGATTCTGTTCTTGTGTGGAAATGTATCTAAGACTTCAATTCCTTCTGCCCTGCGAAGACATTCGAACAATGATTGGCAAAGCTCCCGGTGGCCAAAGCTTAAAAAGTGTTCCTTCATCTGTTGCACATGTCCAGAACCCTCCAAACGCACAATCGCAACGATGTCAGTGTCTGAATCAGTCAACTGCGTGCCCTGACCACGTGACCCCACCAGCTCTACCCTGGTGACCTTCACTGTGTATTGAGGACAGGGCAGTGACGTGTCTCTCACAAACTGGCAGCGATCGTTCTCGATCTGCACATTGAATGCATTGGGCCACGGCGGATCCTCTTCAATGACACAAGTGTGCTGAACCAGTGCGTCACGTAGAATTCCCAAGACTTGCTCTTCCTGCATGCTGGAGAGTTCATCAATCTCCCTGCAGATTTTGGAAACATCAGCTGACAACTCTGGTTTGATGCTATGTTTCAAGGCTGGAATGTTCCATGGTTCCAGTATATCAGGTAGAAAATCGCCAATCTCCGTTGGGGGTCTTTTCCAGCCATCGTTTGAAAAAGGACTTTGCGCCATTGGATATGGGGCCAAATTCCAAAGTAGGCAGGTGTTCTACAAACGTTGGTGAAAGCACAGTTGTCTTGCTAGTCGGCTGAACTTTTGGGATCAAAAAGTGACCCTGAGATGCAAAAGTGACCCTGGTCTGAATGCATGACTCAGCATATATGGTGCTTTGCGCACTGATATCTTCGTTCAACAACTCAGGACCAATTTTGGCCCAAAGCTGTTTGTTTCTGGTCTGGGAACCCTAGATTTTCATGAGAATAGCTCGAAAAACAAAAAGAAATGAAGGAATGTATCCTAGAGGGTTTTCAGTTTTCCGGTGGACAAAGCACCCTAGAACTTTTGTGGATCTTACCCCTGACCTCCCCATTCCTTGAGCCGGTGTCGCAGGCCGAGTGGAAAATCCGATGTGCTATACCCAACGGGAAACCTCCGATGGGGAAGAGTTCATACAAGCAGGTTACACGCACGGACATGGCAAACATGTCTGGCATTGATTCAAATTGAATGGTTTATTGTGTTTACCAGATCAGATTGAGCAGCAGGGATTACCATACAATGTCATAGCTGCGCATCTCTACTAGCGTGGAAAGGCCATGTGTGATCCTGCAGCCACAGAACAATCTGCCGAAGATGATGGTTCATCCTACTGCAACGTTATGCTGGTATGACATTTTTTGAAAGCAACGCCAATAGTATATTGTTTTCAAAAATGTCATACCAGCATAATGTAATAATTAATGATTGACTCTACTGATATGACATATATTGACATATATTGACATGATATGTAATAATTAATGATTGGCTCAAAATTAATTATAATTACACCTGACTGATACTTCAGAAATTGGCAAAAAGTGTTGGCATGATTGGTTTGGTGAATGCAGCTATCTTATATTCGTACATATTCGTACCTCAAGAGGATGTTGCAGGTACTCAGGGACAAACACCATGGGTATGAGCCAAGCCAGTGGGTCTCCCCCAGGGTCGCAAATGTCTGACCATACTTAGAAAAGGGACACTTGCGGACACCAGTCAGCATCAACGCTTTAAGAAGAAACACACGGTTTCAACCAACAACCATATGGTGGTATGTCAATAATTGTATTCATATATACATGGGCAAATAAACCAAGAAACATGCAACATACAAAAGGGCATACAAAATCAAGCAAGCACCATGATGTTTTGAGCGACAACAATACAGTAGAGCAGTTGAACATGATTGGACCGATATTAGATCGGTCAAATTGCAATTGGCCATCGGCGATGCAGAACCCCAATCTTGACACATCACCGGATGACAAGGTCATGTTGGGGTAGCACGGTGACCGAAGGTAACGTCCACATCCTGCCTTGACCCTCTCTGTGTTGGTCAGATTTAGCCTCGGTTTCTGGCAGGTGAAGATTGAAGGCGTGTCTCTTCCAGTGAGCCAAGTGGGTATATGGCACTGGCAACCTTTTAAACACAGGTACGGTGTATATATATATATATAACATTATATTATATAACATTATATTATATTATATTAATATCATATTATATTATATTATATTATAGTATATTATATTATATGTATTATATTAAGATAGTCAGAAATTGGGTCTCCATGACCTGGTCCATCAACTATGTCTTGGCCATGCGCAGAGATGGCCCAAGGGTGGCCTACATCTTTTCGATTTTGGATGTCTCCCATTGAAAGATACCCAGCTTGAGAATGTCACAGCTCCCCCCCCCGAAGGCAGGCAGTTTTCCCTTCGAAATGTTTCTGGCACGGTCTTTAGAGTCCTACTTGGCTCCACGACGACACACATGCGTGGCCAGTGTTGCTCCTCGTCACCATTTCTACATCTTTCTAAACGCTTCCAGGGCCGGCGTTTTGAGGTTCCACTTAAATGACACTGCACTGGAATCAGCTGGGTTCCCCCTGTCGCAGGGACCCGTCCGCACCCATATTCACCAAGGTGCACTGAAGCATGAACTTGTGAAATGTAGCTCTTGAAATCCAAATATGAACAAACAATTCAGTTGAGACTTCAAAGGCTTTGATCCAATAGTAGGCTTACAGTACATGTACCTCTCCGCACAGTCTTCAGTATGTGGGAACCTCTGCCTGATGTTTTTCGTGGCCCTTGGGCCAAAGTCAGCAAAAAAAGCAGGAGAGCATTGCACGACTGAATACGCATAATACAAATACATGCAAATGTTCAAATTACACAATGTGATTATCAAAATGGATGAAAAATGAAAAATCACTGTTCTTGCATAGCTCTTGCACAGAGTGCATGTAGGCCAGGAAGCATCATAATCAAGCACTTGTGATCGGGCTGAATTCCAAAATGAGCCGTACGGTGCGCCTGTACAAAATAAAACACTTTCAAACCGACTTGCTATTGAGAGATCACATGCATCAAGCTGCCGCTTAAAAACAAAGAGTGCAAAGATGTGCAAGCTACCACTACCAGGACTGGCTTAGCTGTTCCACACTTCTTATTGGTAGGAGTTTCTTCCCACCTGCCATTCGTATATCTCCCCTTTGACAAGTTGGATAGTAGTATAGTAGGCCTCCAGCTACTACATCTGATCTACATGTCATCTGTTTAAGGCCTCCAATAGCAGCCGGTCAACTGCATGGGGTCTGCAGCGCTGGAAGCGCGACCGAGTACCTGCCTACCCCAGCAGTTCGGGTGCGTCCTCCCAGTCCATGACCTCATCATCTGTAGCATCTTCCATGCCTCGTCTTCGGGACGATGGGACTTCAAAAAGAGACCAAACCCTGGAACGGTCCAAGTATGTCGAAGTCTTGCAACATAAGAAGGATATATATATATTATATAATATATATATTATATATATATAGAAGGATGCCATTCAACTCATGCAAAGTATCAAATCCAGAAGTTTGCTGTCGAGGGATGAGCGTCTCAAGGCAATCCGCTCTGTGCCAATCCTCTCATGGGATACTTTATTATGTTTATCCTGTTGCTCGGAGAAAATCTATAGCTAGCCCAAGGGCCCAAGGCCAGATGAGAGATTGATTGAGGAGTATCGAATTCCTAATGGGTTATCTGATTTTGTTATCTGACCCACAAACTACTTTCCAAATATGGAAACCACTTCCTTTCCCCACTTCCTTTCTGAGGGCTGAGATACTGGGCGATGGGTCCACGGTGGATGGACTGAAATGCTCTTCGTCGCCACGCGCATAGGAAGGGATGCTCTTTTTGTCTACAAACCTCGATTTCAGCGCCGTGGGAGATGTGGGTCACTTAGGAACTGCAGATTTTTAGGCGCTAGTCACTAGCTCGGAGGTGTGGATTCAGGACGAGTTAGGACGATTTAGGATGAATCAGGACGATTTAGGATGATTTCTAGGATGATTAGGCTGATTTAGGATGATTTCTAGTTTCTATAGGATGACTTAGTATGAGTATGTATGAGTTATATCGTATAGGATTATTATGGTGGATTCAGTACGTTTTGACTTGATGCGGGAGATTCTTGCACTGAAGTGACTTGTTGTACCCCAACAGGCCTAATGATGAGTCGAACCAACCTCCAACCATCCACAAACACCGCCTGGCAATAGCTAAATATGTGGTGCAAATTATTGCAAACTTCTGGACGTCGTTCCTACTTCTGCCGCATTTTCAATCAAGGATCTCAAGCTTTATCTCCTCTTGGGCTGCACAGGGTCGCTCCAAATACTTCACTGCCGAAACCATCATGAGCAGTTCGCCCGTTTCAGAGAGGAAATAGGCAGTGCCTAGCAGCTGCGATGGTGAAAACATGGGGAAAAAAACAGGTCTGAGTGCATCACCATGGTCATTACTACAGAGAGACATCACCATTGCTTTCAGTGAAAGTGTATGATGATTTCCCATTTTGAAGTCCATCAATCCACAGCTTGGAAGCGATGAACCATACTGCAAAAAGAGGCTTTTTGAGGGTATCAATGTCACCCCTGTCTTTGTTGCGGGCGTTGTGCAACTGTGTAACTAACAATCTTCATAGCTCATCACAACCCATAGGATCCATGGTGCTTCTATATATGGTAACATGGATGCCATCAATATACCCCAGTCATGTTAGCATATATACCAGCACCATGGATCCTATGGGCAATGGTTTGATTCAAGGGTGCCCTTTCATCAAATTAAGCCACTGAACCATCGATTGTAATCCACCTGATCTGCATCTCTACATCCCACGCCTGATTCGTCAGTGTGCCATTTCCAGTGTCCCAGTGTCCCGCATTTTTTGTGCAACCCAAGAATAAAACCCCAAAGTTCTACAGTTCCTGACCCTGCACCATCTTTGAAAACATGAAACCTAATTCATTGATGAACTGTGATGGGTTTTTTTTCCACATGAATCCAGTTTTTTTGGGTCAAAATATGGTTCCATCATGGTCCATCCATCCAAAACATATACGGTAAATCCATCTAACCCATTCTTATGCCCCAAAAGGCCAAAAAACAAACAGCAAGTTTGGGGCTACAATGAATCCATTCTAATCCATCATTCTAACCCCTGAAAAAGCTGAAACCCTGAGTTTGAGGCCATAATCAATGCTGCAGCTGGGAAAATGATCGAGCTAAATGGGACATGTTCCAGGCCACCTTTGATTACCAGAGGCTATTCCACGACTATTCCATTAATTTTCCAGTAATAGTATCGTACAGTAACCTACCCATATATAGTTGGCTAGTTATGATACGAGTATCATCTACCCAGTGATTGTATAATATATGTATATATATATACAGTCCATTATATCCTATAATATGTCCATTATTTCCATTATATGTCCATTCTTTCCCCACTATTGCCATCCAGAAAATAGTCCATTAAATTCCATCGCCATCCAGTCATTGTTCATGGATAATTGCTATTAATGAATGCTTAATAGCTATTGAATGGCTAGTTAATGGATGGTTAATGGATATTTAATGGATGTTACCAATGGATACACAAACTGGGAATTCATCCACCGGTCATTCTTCATTCCATGATTCTTCCGTAAGCTATTAACAAACACAATATATAGTTGGTTAGTTATATCATATTGTATCATCATGTATCATAGATCATCCATCCTATTCCATATAGTTTCCGGTTTCCACAACTGGGGGTACTCCATTTATTCTCCATGGTATTTTCATGGATCCAACCATCCGAGGGCTACCGTAGCCATCCAAAAATTCATCCAGGCCTTTGGAGTCCAAGGCAACCTTCGCCACCCGCGCCAGTCGGCCAGACGAGTTCACGATGGGTTGCCATCCGCGCGGCAGCTCCGTCAACCTGCGTGAAAAGAGTCCGATGGGTTTCGATTTTTACGTTTTCAAAAAATATCACCCCCTCCACCTCCCCCAAAAAAATGAAGAGTCATGTGTTATCTCTGTTTTAGCAGAAGTTTACGTTTCTATACTGTTCTATCTTCTTGGGGTTACCTATGGTTACCTAGAACATAGTTGACCGTAAGGAACACCACAATATAAAACCATAAGAAATCATAAGACACCTAGGTGGCGGAATTTCACATTCACGTATCTCATTTCAGTTTGAGGTCAAAATCAGATGTTGAAACTGGAAGCATCTGGAAATCAGAGCGGAATCGCATGCAATCACAATGCCGTTGGTTGGATTTGATTGGATTATATATATATACACTGTATACTGTCTTGTACCAGTGATTGGCTTAATTATTTTGGTGAACAACAAGGTCCCAAAAGTATGTCAGTCAAGAGGAACAAATATCCACCCGCAAAGAACAAGTCCAGTTCAAGGCTCTAAACAAAAAAAAACAAACAACAGCAACGCTTGCCATGCAAATTTTGCTGAACATAAAGCCCTGGTCATAAACCTCGAACATGATGCCGTGCGAGTCTATGGTCACTTGTCTCAATCCCGTGGCACCCGATAGAAGCAGCTGCACAGTACTGGGTCCCAAGCTGCTCCCTCCTTGGGTCACCTGGGACATAGGATCTGACCTGAACGGGAGGAGCTGTGTTTGCATCGACCTCGGTTATCGTTGCTCAATTGGGCCGCCAGGAAGCATAGGAAGCACAGCAACATTCACCCTGGTTTCCCCATGGCAGATCTTTGCTGGACACAAACAAAACATAACATCCATCAGCAAAAAAAGTCGCCTCCCAAAAATCAAAACATCAAACAACATTTTTTAGTCAACTCAAACAAGAAATTAATATATAGAAAATTATAGAAATATTTTCCGAAGATCCAAGCAACTCCTGTACCTCCGGAACTTTTAGCACTGGCACCTGGCCACTTGGCGTCCAAATCCTTCGTCGCTTCATGGCGTCGCAGCTCACCAAGTCCTGCGCGTCGCGCTTCGGTCGATCCGGCAACGCGGGCAACGAGACGCGTCGCGGCTTGTCGACCTGGACGGCGCCGGGGGTTAGGGGGGGATGTTCACCCATGAAAAATGAGGAAACAATAGGACACATGTAGCTGAAAAATACATTGAACATACTTGATTCATGTTGATTAAATTTCCAGTGTTCAGATTTTACATGTTATAAGATTTTATAAGCATTTAGAGGGTTCACCTCAACCTTTTGGATGGTTAAAGTATGTAAAAGCACTTGGTTTCCTGGAGATGTTGGGTGGAAAAAGGATAACACAAAAACTCATGGAAGAAATACTACATCGATGAGCTTGGCTTCTCACTCTACAGACTGGGATGAGCGAAAATCTGTGGCTGCCGGTAAGATTCCAGAAGCGTTGACCATCTTAATCTACCATCTGGTTATTTAACATAGCCATGGAAAATCACCATGTTTAATAGGTAAACCATCTATAAATGGGCCATTTCCCATGGCTATGTTAAATAACCAGAGGGTACGTAGTTTTTGTTAACACATCATCCCCCAACCTCCTGAACAAAGGATAGCGCCGGCTGCGTCAACCCGGCGTGACTCAGCTCTTGTACCACCTGCTCCAGCGGAATTCGACGGCGTTTCTTCTCACCCTCCACGCCATCGGTCAGCTGACGCTTGGGCCATCGTGAACTCAGCGCCATGACGAACCCGGCCCGGCCCGGGGTGACACAAATGGATGAAGCCTGAGCCCAAAATGGTCCCATTTTATGACAGTACCCTCTGGCAATGACTAACATAGCTATTGAAAATGACCATTTATAGTGGATTTTCCCATTAAAAATGGTGATTTTCCATAGTTATGTTAGTTTACCAGAGGGTATTCCAGCATCATCAAGATACAGTCCAAAAGTCAAGAACGCTGTGAATCAGAAGTGAAAAACCCAACTGGCACTGAGGGTAATTATTACACATCCCTTTTTTTGTCACCGTTCATCCGATTCATCATATATCCTAATTCTAACCATTTCTAACCTCTCATGGTTTCCCCACAAAAATCTTGGTTTCCTGCGGCTGGTCCTCAGGTTTCCACTTTTGATACACCATCAAGGCTTGATCCGGCCGCAAGTCGATCAAGTCCAAACTGTCGCGGCAGTTTGGATTCAAAGGGATGCCTCCTATGGATATGGATAATGATCTTCCCAAAATATATTGGATATAGTACTGTATAACATAGACATGTAAAACCATGCAAAACCCCAACCTTCATCATCACCCAACAGGGCTCTCAAGAGCTGTTCCTTTTCGTTTTTAAAGCGCCTGCGAGCAAACATCCGATCTGACAGCAGGTAGTTCAACTCACGGATGGTGATCAAATTCCGATCCACTTGAGTTAGGTCCTGGCGGTGGATTTCCTGGTGGATTCTCTTCTGAAATCGACATTTGCGACACATGGGGATCATGGTACTACCATGAGTTGATAATTGTGAATACTCAGAATATATACTAAACTTATCTAAACTTAGTAACAGAACATACAAAAAAGTGGATGAATGATGATGAATGATCAACTGGAATCACTGGCAACTGCTGAAGATCACCATTCCTCGTGTAGTGAGTGACTCCTCGACGGCACCCGGGTCGCTCGGTCCTCCAGTTCGCTCTCCTTCTTGAACTTCATGTTGGGCACGCTGCCCGAACGTACCTGGCCATGGCAGTCGTTCCCCAGGCCGATCAACTTTCGTTTCGGACAAATCCGAAAGCTCAGCTCAGCATGGCTCAGCCACCTTGGAGGTACTTCAGAAAATTCTTCAGATATCTTCAGATACAGTATCTTCAGGTCCTTTGAGATTACTTCGAGGTCATTTGAGGTCGTTCGGTCTCTGGTGGTTTACCTGACCTCCCCATCCCCCTGCGTTCCCCTGCGTCCCCCTGCGTCCCCTGGGCACTTGAACAAATGTGAAGTTGCCGCCATACCTCCATCGCACGGGCGGGCACCACTGCTTCAGCCATAGCGACCACCATTGTTATTGTTTCATATTGTTTCGTCTTCTTGCGCAGTGGCAAGGCAGCACATCTCCAAGACATCCCAAAACATCCCAAAAGATTTTTTGAGATACATGCAAAACTACCAGCCTGTCCAGTTGGCTTTACCTCAGAATACGAAAACCCTGTACTTGACATCGCCATTTCGTCAGCCATCACCGATGGAGATGTGACGCCACCAGCCACAATCCCCCCACCTGAAGTGGAAGACCTCAACAGCATGGCACAGGAGGCCTTCTTCACACGGATGTTGGGGGTTGTTGGCATCAACAGCTGGGTGAATGCCTCCACAGGTTAAAAACCACCAGTGATCTGGTGCTGTCAAATTCCCGATCACCATGGGAAAAATATGTCATGACATGTCATGACCCCATAGCCTTGACTGACCTCCGCTATCCAGTGACCGGGTCCACTACCTTGGAAAGAGCCACAGGTCTGAAGATCATGGTTCTCAGAATGGTCCTGCAGAAAAGGTTGAAGACCATTGGCAGAATGATATTTACAGTAGTTTCATGATAGTTAATGGATACATATCCAATACGAACATTCATGGTCTTGACACAGGAAAAACATGAACTGAACAATCTACACGCCATCTGGCTCACTTGGCATTTACTCACATCAAGAATCCTCCCAGTAACTCAGAGACAGCGCCGTCTCCTGCTTCGTCGCGCAGCCTCACCGTGACCATCATCCTCATCCTGGTCGTCCTTGCTGGGAGGCTCCTGCTCGATGACCTGCAGCTGGAAGGCTGGACGTTTGCACAGCACCAAACACCAATCTGCCTGAAGAGTCCATTTTGATCCATTTTGGGGTGATTCACCCAAATAGATATCCACCATAGATATCCATGGAATATCCATAGAATATCCAGAATGATTCCCCCTGATTTTTTGGAACCCATGTTATAACCCAATAGGAACCAATATATGAGCAGGTCCACTTAAGGCCTGCGAACAGACCCAGCCGTCCAAAGGCGACGGCTCGGCATAGAAAACTCGAAAATCAGAACTGACCCAAGCCGCTCAAGCGGCCAATGATCAGATTCACACTTCGATATCATTTGATCAAATGTGGCCAATGAACACCTGTCACGAACACAACCCAAAACATCCCAAAACTGGTTAGTGCTCAAACCCATTCGGAAAATGTGGAAGTTGTCATTGGAATCCTTAAGCAAGTTTTGAGGAACGGAACATATCGATACTTGGAACATCTTGGAACCATCAAGCAGCAAACATCTTTTTCTGTCCGAACCCCTTCCAGTTGCATGTCCGAGGGACATAGCAAGGCCACGCCTTTCCTGGCTGTGTGATTTGGCTCCGCCCTCCCAGCATGGCATGGTCTGCATGGCATGGCATCAATGGCCATGTCAGGAACCAAAATTGGAGGTACCTACCATATATAAGGCCTGTGTAAGGGAATATCCCAGCAAAATATGGCCTTATATATCCTTATATGGTACAGATTGGTACAGTAGTTTCATTTTAGGATCCTGAAATTCCCATTGATCAATTAGCCACCTCCCTCACCTGCAAAGTACCCAAAATTCACCCAAACACAGGACGGATCCACCACCACCGTCCCACATCAGCTGGCTCTGCCTCAGCACACGTGGGAAGCATATCGATGCCTGGGGTATCCTGGGGTACCCTCTGGTAATGACTAACAGTTTGCTATTGAAAATGGCCATTTATAATATATATAGTTCGTTGATTTTCCCATGAAACATGGTGATGTTCCATGGTTTTTTCTTCGTTTACCAGGCCGGGTATCCTGGGCTTTTCTGGTCCAAGGAGCCAAGGATCATTCTGCGCTTCCGGAGACATGCTGGGATTCTGCGCAGGAAAAGTGGCTGGGCTGAAGATTGGGGAAATCGGGATCTCCGGGATCTGCAAGACTCATTGGTTTCCTCCTTTATATATATATATAACTATATATATATGTATATATATATATATACATTGTACATATATATATATATATTATGTATATATATATATTATGTGTATATTTATATATATATATATTATGTATATATATATAATGTATATATGTATATATAATGTATATATGTATATATATATATTATGTATATATATATATATTATGTATATATATATATACACTCTGGAAATTTCGCATAGCTATATGGAAAATGAACATGATTAAAATTTTCAGGTACGTATATCTAAGCTATAAATGGGCCATGGCTTACCGGAGAGTGCCAAACCAGCGAGCCAGGCCAGCGTCAGCAGTGCATCCACGGCAACTTCACAGTCAGACACCTCCAGTGCGGCTAGGCATCGGGTAGCCATGAAATACGGGGCTTCAATCAGTTCAATCCAATAAAGATTCTGCGGATATTCTATGGATATTCTATGGCAATGCATTACAAAATCACGTGATTGACAGTGATTGATATATTGTTTCTATAGATATTCAATATGTGAAAAACATACAAATCCTCCTTGACTTAGGCTGCACACTTGTGGATGGTGCCACTCCCATCGTTCTAAGTTCACGGGGATCATAGAGTGCTCACGACAGAAGGATTCGCGGTCAACGTCACCAAACCCATAGGATCCATGTATGGTATATATATGCTAACATTGGGGATATATATTAATGGTATAAATATGGTAACATTAAATTAATGGTATATTACTGTAATATTAATCACCATTGGGGGTATATTCATGGTAAATGTTACCATTAATGGTATATTAATGGTTATATTATGGATCCTATGGGAAAGTCTATGTCTATCCTCTTGGAAGATCTTGGAAGGCCGTTTCGGAATGTCTCAACGATTCCAGCTCGTTGCGTAGCGAAGAAAATCATGACGTCCATGAAGTTCAGTTTTTGAAATGTGAAAATATATGACTGAAACCTAGAAGATGAAAATCAAAGTGTAATAAAGTAACTATATAGACTATTAGGAAACATACAATAAGTATATATATATATTATACATATATATATATATATCCGAATATATATATATGTGATTTCATTGAAGTCTATCTATAGCAAAACATATTGTTTCAGGCTGGTTATCCCCAAGCCATCCGAGTCCCAGACCCAAACGCATCGCGTCACCTGGCAACGTGCCCAGGGGCTGGTGGTGTCGCAGCAGAGAAAACGTGGGAAACAGTGCCGATGGAGATGAGGATCATCATAGTGAATAAATATATATATATGTGATGGTATATTATATACATGTATATATATACATGTATATATATATGTATATATGATATGTTTATATTATAGCATGATGATGATGATGATGATGATGAGGTGCAGGAAGAGGATGATATGTAGGTATATACATATATTGCAATGATGAGTGTGTATATATATATGTATACTTAGAGAGATGATGATGGTGGTGGTGGTGGTGATGATGATGATGATGATGATGAAATAACAAAGTGTCTAATCATGTCATAAGCACATTGCAGTCAGATATCATGGCAGTATGATCAGTACATCAGTCTATATTATCATGGATCATGCAGTCTCCTAAAATCAACAAACACGCTTGAAACCACCAACTGGTTCACTTTGTCAAAAATCACTGGTCATGACTAATCCCATTTTTTCTGGTTGCATCCTCCAGTTGTAAATGTAACCCCCGACATATTCAAAGCTACGACCGTGCCAGGCCTCTGCAAAGTTGTCATCATCAAAGGCAGACGCCGACCAGGAAGCCTAGACAAAGAATACTCAGAAACGATGAGGTCCTCAAATTGGCAACATTATTAGGAATATCTTGAGGACCACACCGGCAAGAATCGGGGGCTGCCGGTGCTGCTGCTACTGTGTTGTTTTTTTTCAGTGGCAGTTGGCCATCGTCCCAACCCAGTTTGGGGGCAGTCAGCTGGAGATTAAGCATACTAGTGATGAGCCATTGGTTGCCCCATTGATGTCGACCCCCTCGGAATGAGGTTAGATCCAAATTTCAATGGAACTGGTAACTGGAAGATACCTTTACCAATGCGAGTAAGTCAATATCATCGATACTTTGGAAACACAACTAAGAATGAGGTACATTCACGGAAATGGCTCTTCAGTTAAAAACAAATAGCAATGGACAATCCTTTATACAATTTACAGAGTAATTACCAAGTTTATTATTTTTACTATCCAATTCCTAGGATGATTGTTCCCATAGAAATCGCGGCTTTGCATTGCCATGTTCGACAAACGGCCTCTTCTGGAAGTTGGGTTTTCTCTGGCGTCGTTGGTGCTTCACCTAGAGTACGGCAAAAGCGACCAGAAATGATGGGAATTGATGGGATTTGATGGAATTGATGGGATTTGATGGGATTGATGGATAATCCATTGTTCATATAGTTTTTCTACTGTTTATTCCAATAATTGGATTTATACCGATACTAGATTGGGTTACTCGATGATTATAGATCATGAACTAATGGAATAATCCCATCGAGTATTGTATTATTCATATTTGGATTTAATGGGATTTAGCCAATGAATAGTAGATATGGCATTGACTGCAAAGGGCTGCTGCCCAGTTATCATGGCTTATCATGGTTTATCATTCAACATGTTTCCCATTAAACTAGCCGTGGTTTGAACCAAATCAAACTCAAACACATACATTCTGCATAACAGTCTGTGTATTGTTTCGAAATTATCTACTGCAATTATCGCAACAACAACAACAACAACCACAACCAACACTGTTCTTGCCTTTCGAAAAAGTTTCTGGCTGGTGGTCCAAACAGTTCCTTTGCAGTGCATCCCCCTTTGTCTAAATCACCGTTGAGTATATGCAACATTATGCAACTGAGTGCTAGATCTCATTTTTTCTCACAGTTCCATCTCCATTTCCCCAGTATGTCCCCAGTATGTCCCTAGTATTTCTTGGCTACAAGTACAATTTCATAGATTCCCTTGGGTCTGCAAGCCACCTGGATCAACCACCACTGCCAGGGAAAAAAAGGGCCCCCGCCACCAACTCTCTCGGGCATCGACCTCAGGTTCCACTGCTTGCATCGACATGTGTGCATTGAGCATTGATGATCCTCTTAGTCTGCTAGTATGTATATATATATATATTTATATATCTTGTATATATATATGTATGTATATATATATGTATATATATATATGTATATATATATATGTATATATATATATATGTATGTATATATATATAGATATACCAATTCCATATGTTACTCCCCATATACCTGGATTTTTGGTCCATCCAAAAACTAAACAAATCCTTGATTTTTTTGGTGTTCAAGACAAACAATGAAAAACAAAAAAACGACTCAAGGACGTGTTTGGATTTTGAAACAAAGAAATTACCCTGCAAAAAGCAACAACACCAAAAAACAACAAAAGAACTCAAAGCAAACCAAAGAAAACACAATTTTTGACTTCAGTTAGGAATTCAGTTTGTTTTTTTGTTTTTTTTTGTTTTCCCTTCCATCTGTTTTTTAGACAAAAACCAAAAATACGTCAAAACCAGTAACTATGCGTAGATATGTATATGTTATACGTGTATATTTCCATATATATATATATACGTATATATATATATTGTATGCTAGCACCCTCTCCCCAAACCTACCTTTTTCAATTTTCCTCCAACATATCCAAGACATGAAACATGTACTTTTAAATGTATTGAGAGACACTGCAAATACCGATCATGCTGCCAATTTTGTAGGTACATAGGGGGGTACCTTCTAAATTTATGTTTTGTGTATATATATATATACATATGTATATAATTATTTTGTACACATACAAACATACACACACATATGTATATATAAATATATTATATGTGTGTAAATGTGTATATATATATGTATGAATACATATATATATATATTAATATCATACACTTATACATATACATTTATATATATATACGTATATATTATGACAAGTAAATTATTGTCAACATTCAGTTCACCCATGGCCCGGCCATTTGACCATGGCAGCCAAGCAGCTGTAACATGGCCGTGGCATCACTGTCCAAGGAATCCAAAGTCCCTCGCGATGCCAACGAGGCCAGGGTTGGAATGGCCTGTGGTTTCTGGGCCAAAGAGGAAAACTGGCTGCTTTTACCAACCCAAATAATAATGGTGATGTTCCTGAAACAAATCCCAACATTCCCAACCAATTCTTGGAGTTGGGAAACTCATACCGTTGAACGTAGCTGAAATGCGCAGAATTTACCATGAATTTTAGGATACTAAATGCACAACCGCCTACGGTCCTTTTCACAGTTCCCAGAATTTACACCACCGGATTGCCTCCGTTCGCACGAAGCAAGGCTCGCTGCCTTTCTTCAAGGACTGGGAATGAATTGGGATAGCGGATAGCAATCATTGCTCTCATTGAATTTCTTGAAAAGTGATGATTTTGTTCCTACTTCGTGGTTGATTGATTTTTGATGGGAAACATGAATACATCGATTGTATTGCAATATATTACAGCTATGGCCCTTTACCAGTTATAAGTACTTATAACCCCATTTATGGCTTTATTGCATGTATAATCCCACTTATGACCAGTTATAAGCATAATTAATTGATAATTGGTAAACGGCCATAACTGTATGGCACTGCATGGATATGGAATGGAACTCAAGGTATCTGGACGTCCCCGACTTTGCTCGGCCGTGCAAGACATCGTCGTGTTTGAGACGAATCTGATTCACCCGCTCCTGACGTCGAGTCAGACTGCTGCTGTTATAATTGCATATAACTGCTATAGCGTAAGGACTTGGCAACCCTAAAACGTCAAAACCTCAAGAAGCCCTATAAGCGGCACCATCCATCATAGGACTGTTTGGGTGACCAAAACACGAATATAGCAGAGGATAAGATGGGGGATTCAACGAATATATAATTACCGTAATTACCCAAAGCTCTTTGGTCTGCTTCCTGGTCAGATTTTTACCACCAAATATCAATTGTCTCTGTGGGAATTCCTCGAGCCCCGCAATTCAAATCTCATCATAGCTCCACCCATCGGTGCTTGACAATTTTCTCACGGCAGTGAAACATATCAACATATCCTGAAACAAAGTGAAACACTGTGAAGCAATGTGAGACAGTGTGAGACAATGCGACGAAAGAATGTGAAAGCATTCTGAAACCTGGAGCTGGGGGATGTCTTAGAACTCTCGAAAGGGTTTCGTGCCGGGTCGTAGATGAAGGAGCCACTATCCAACAAATCGTTGAACTCGTCATCATCCAGGTCGTGCACGTAGATGTTGTCACCCATGCTTGTGGCATTGGCCACGTAGTGCCAGTGGTTCTTCCACTCTTTTCCCATCTCATTTCGCGAGATCAACCCAACGTGACACCGTGAATCTTGAGAACAGGGAAAACGAATTTCAGTAAGATCAATGAGTAGGCCAAGTGACTTCCCAGGATGATCTCTGTCTGGACACTCTCCACGACGCCCTCCTTTGTGATGACAAAAAAAGCAAGACACATATCGACCACTATGCCAAGCACAGCAATGCACATCAAGCCTCCCACCGTGAGAATGAACTCACGGTGGTTCAACAGTCCAATCGCATTGTTGAGCCACTTGCAGAAGTGGTCATACCGCCTAATGGGGCGGTGGTATTGAAATGCGTGGTGTGCCCGCAAAGGAATACTTGGCATCCCCCGCTCGATGTCGGCACCCACTTCAACGTTGCGGCTCTTCTTCTCTACCTTCAACTGTCCGGGATCTGCACATGCCGCATACGTCATGCAGGATAACGTCACTCCGAATCCGTTCTGGCATAATAATCAAATCTGTGGCGGTGATGGGAATCTCTGTCAGAATAGCGGCCGTCACCTTTGCGGCCCCACTGCCCCTTGCTGGTCTCTTTCTGCCCATGACGGCCCGCTTCGGCTAGCCATGAGCCACCCAACAGGCACAAAAACACCAAAACCCGCACAGCAGGCTTCATGCTGCTGGCAGTTGGCAAATGCTATTGCGCTACAGCTCAGCCAAAATCTAACTAAGATTAACTAGGGCCACCTGGTAAGTTGGACAAGAGCGAAACCAGCTCACCCCCGAAAAAAACAAATTCTGGATATATAGTGAAGTAACCCCGACTGGGCCTGATCCGGAAATTATCTGGCTAGGAAGTCCAACTTCGCGTGCAGAACCGCCATGTCGAAGGAAAACAGCCAGGCTTATTCAACAAACGGATGGTCCATAAGAAGTTGCAGTTAGCAAAATAAAGAAACCCATTAATTAACCGTGTAACAACAAACAGCTTAGCCCTCAATTTCCTTGTCGACGTAGCAGGGTTCTAACAGCTATTATCTGAGATTAAGAAACACAGTGCTCTGGAATGGTAATGAGTGTACAAGAGCACGCAACAGACTTATAGGGTATCCTTCCAAAATGAGTTCTTGGATCTCTTCAATCATGCAAGCTGTCTGCAATTTCTCGGTCAGCTCAAGTTCGTTTAGTCGAGCTGCTCGGCTTAGCAGCAGCCCTCTGAGAAGCCCAAAAGGGCATTGTAGGCGGTCGAGATAAGGGACCCGGCGCTGCTTCCCCTTATCTCCAGTGCCTAGCAGCCATGGTCTGTTGGGATTCTTCGCTGTCCATGCAATAGCTCCACACATTGGGTCAACCTGAAAAATCACATCCGTAAAGGTTTGCTCACATTCTTCCGCGTTGACAGAAAATTGGACAGAATAAATTTCTGCTAACATTTGTTGCAAACACTTGTGGCATATCGCATATGAGACCATCAGCAGGTCATCTACATATCTCATCCCAAAAAACAGTTCCTCCACCTTCCATCCCTCCGGAAAGTTGATTATTCGATCGTTGGCATGCTGAAGAAATTGCTCCTCCTCATGGCTTAGCAAACACACCGCTGCGATCATTGAAAGCAAGCCTCCAATCATAAGGCCTTTTCCTGCCACCACCAGATCACCGACACTTGCAAACCTCAAAAAGCAGCTAGCCTGCAACATGCGCCGCAAACGCCAGAGTGGAAAGGTGATACATGCGCGAGACCGCGCGTGTTCTGAGCCACCAGGCCAACCCTTGACCAAACGCGCTTTGGCCACTGTAATTGCATCAGCTCCTTTCTCACTTCTCAGTGTAGCAGCCTTAGCATCAAAGGCCTCCAGAACTAAAATTGTGTTGATTTGCTCGTACATCTGCGCTGCATCAGCAATCAAAAGTGATGTAAAGGGCTTACACTTTCCACACATGATGCACTGGCCAGGCTGCTGGGAAACCCGAAGCTTTGCCATGCGGGCTCGAAAAGTTGGAATGATTTGCTTAAGCTGCCAAACTGAAAAACCATCCCCTGTCAATGAGATGAGAACTTGAATAGCTCTTCCTGCCAGCCTCCATGCACGCCTCCAAGGTGATTTGAAAAACGAAACTACTTTCCGCAAACAGCTGTGGTTCGCTTTGCTGCATGTGCGGCCTCCTGTTGCCGAAAAGCATTTGGCTTTGACAAACGGGTACATGTATGGAGCGTATGAACCCTTATGTAGAGGCCCCTTCCGCACAAATGCCGGGATTGCGAACAAAGATACGCCATGCACCAAGACACTAAGACTAGCAGGGGACATTGTTGTCACTTCCCATTGCGGATCCAGCAAGACTAAGCTCATGAAAATGGCTGACAAGCATGCAAAGGACATCGTCCATGTGGCCTTCTTGTCTTTATCATCCTGAAGAAGCACTTCGTTTTGGTGTTGTGTCATGCCAGAAATATAGTCGCTTTCTGCTGCTGGTTGCTCCTGCTCAGGGAACTGAGGAATCTTTGATTGCCGCCAGCAGTGCCGTCCAATGCGGCGAGGGACATGGTGATCACGCAGCCATGCATGCATATCTTGTTGCAAGTTCTTGTGGGACTTGTGTAGTGCTTCCCGATCTTGGATAGACCAATTGCCAGGAAGCCTTCTGACACCTTCCCCTCTTCTGTGGTGCTCAATCTCAAGACAGCCTTGATGCCATACAGATGAAACTGTGATTCGCTTGGATTGCTCAGCTGCATTGCGTCTGTCCAGGACACGAGGAATGGAACCACTGCAGAACTTGACCCTGGCCAAAACCCAATGGAAAACAAACGCCCCATGCATGTATCGACGCAAGATAGCTCGCTGCTCTTCGCACAGCTGCCTGAGCCTGCCGCATGGCCCCGCATCTGGGCATTTGATCCAGCGCATGCGCCTATAGCCCTGCACTAGAGAAACTAAAGCAGCTCGGCGCAAGACGGCTGTTGCAGGCCGCGTGCGCGTCACAAGCAGTCGCGAATCCACATGTGAATGCTTCGTGCATGCCCACAGGGCCAGCAACCCGCCATGATGTGGTGAAAAAATAGAAATTGGGCCTAACTTCCCAGTTTTTGCAAAAAAGGCTTGTTGCTTCTGTCGGTAAGCTTCTTTGAAAGTTTGGACCGACCAGGAAGGTCCCAAATTCCCAAAAGGACATGCCTCTTTTCTCCTGCACTTGCTTACCAACTGCTGGACACATACCAGAGAGCTGCAGAAACATGATTGGCGGCGCCCCTGCCGAAATCGAGGAGGCGGACGATTGCGACGTCTCGGTCGGTTCTTGGACCTGGTGGGTCTACATTGACCTTTAAACTTTGTTGCCAGGAGGCCGCAACGCCCGAATTGCTACTGTTTCAGAAACCCGAATCCAGTCGTGGGCGCTGCGCTTGATCAGAATGAACCCCAAAGTATGAGCAGGACGCTGGTGTAAAAGAACTGCCCGAGTTGAACGTGAAGCTTGCGCATTGCTTTTCAAAAGTCATACCTGCCAGAAATGTGTGAGAAGAGTGTATTTGACAACCAAGCGTGAGGGGACCTGTTCAAGAATCGCTGTAGGACACAAGAACGCAATCACAAATAATCGTATTGATCAAACAACTGTATTATCGAAAGATGAAGGTTGAAAATTGCAAGTTGAAAGTTGCAAGTCGTCAAAGGCCGTAAGCGTCACTGAAGCTGTCTGAACGTTCAGATTCACCCGGATCTCTTTGCCGCGGTATTTTCACAAAGAATTCATCCATCCATTTTCCTCAAGCCCACCGATGTGCGGCCCACAAGGGCCTTAAGCGCTAGCCTAAACCTGAGGAAGGCTTAGAGCCACAAAACTGCAAACCAAGGAGCATCTCAGCTTTCAGGCTAAGCAAAACATGAAGAAAGCATCAACAAGTTTTAAGGGTGTCTTCATCGCCTTGATCGCCTTGATTGCCTGGGAACGATAAACACTGCTTATCTATATCTATATATCTATATCTCTCTTTTATATGGATGAGCTTCTGTTTGCTTGCGACATCTCATGCTTTTTTGCCACCCTTTGCTCACGCAGCCACCAGCCATGGCCCTTTCGTACCAGCGCCGTCCTTCACCTTCTCTTGCTCCGCGCTTAAGTGGAGCTCCATCTCGGTGAAGCACTCGTCCATCACCTGGTGGGATCCGCGCCACCAAAAAAATCGCGGCAGTTGGTTGGTGATGAATTTCATGGCAAATCTATCTTTCTAAATGGTGATATATATATATATATATTGTGATTAATGGTGATTAATGATGGTTAATGGTGATTAATGATGGTTAATGGTGATTAATGATGATATATATATAATTATATATATATGTCTTTCTAAATGGATGGTTAATATGGTGATATTCATGGTGATTAATGGTGGTTTTATATAAGCATCATGGATGATATCCTGATGATATATATATATATATGATATATGGTGAGATTCATGGTGATTAGCCTGGTGGTGCAATTTTCGCATCTTGCAAAATATGAGTTCGTCAATGGGAAGGATTATCCCACCAACCAGTTCACATGGTTTCATATATAATATACTCTTTTGATATAGGGGCCCAAGCAAGGAGCTCCATGGTTTCACTTGGTTTCACCATGTTTTATCTGAACGAAGCTCAGGTCCATCTAATGCTTGCCTCGATGGCAAGTTTGGGTTTGGTTTCAACTCTTGTGGTAGTGGAGGTGAAGGCCACAACCAAAACTGAGTACCAAAGTATTCACGTGGCTTGAGTCTAGCTTCCAGTCACTGTCAAGAAATCGGAAATTGCTCCAATTCTTTACGCTTCGACAGATCCAGACTGGAGACTGCAAATGCCACAGTATGCCACAGTAGATCTTCGCTTTGAATGAATGCTATTTCCATCTGTGCAAGTTTAATGCCATCCCATGATTCATGATTCTTGCCACAAATATTGCTTTGAAATCACTACAGTATGGTAGTGTATAGTATGCCAGAACTGAGGCGCTAAAAAGCGGGCTAGGGCCTCAGGGTGGTGTTTGCATGTATTTACTATCAAGAGTTCGCAGAATCTGTGGTCTTCCTAAACCGCAAATGTCTACTCATACCTCATCCATATGTCCATGTCCCGTTTGCGTTTGTCAAAAAAAAAGCTTTCGTATGCCAAATGTATACCCCCAACATTGTCATTTGTCAAGTAGGTAAAACGATGCCATAAACCTACCATTCCCAGTCATGGGATGTCATGGGTGGTTTATGGCATTGTTTTACCTTCAAAGGTATCATCTGAATCATAATGATAAAAAATAACTATTATCAATCCTTATGACTATTATGATAAGTATCATTGTCATCTACTATGATGATAATTACAAGAGGAATACACCTTAAATGTGTCTTTTCCAGGATTATTATGAAATGATAAGCTTTGATAAGTATCATCAGTATCATCTACTTCAGCACTCTAATCATTTTCCATGGATTTCTTCATACTTCTCTTGGCACCTCGGCTAAACAGCTGCTAAACAGCCGCTGCCTGGTGGATGGCTTTCCGCGCTGTGCGAAGCCGGGACTCCAGTCTCTCAGTGCCTTCCTCCTGGTGGCCAAGGGAGTCCATGGTCCCAAAAAATGGAGGAGTTCAGAATGGATTCACCCGAAAATTCCATGAAAAATACTATGAGAATACCACGAAATACCACCAGTTTCTGCCATGATCAACAAATTGGAACTGGATTTTTGAAGTATTTTGAAGGCCCCCACTGTGGAAAAAAACAAAGAATGGGGATGGGTTGATGAGCAAAGTTGGTTCAACATCTGTCGACATGTAAATGGTTGTGGGTCAAAGCTGCGAGTACCCGCAGCATTCAGATAATTTATGCATTTTTCTACTTCTAATACTAATTACGAAATATTACGAATACTAAGCCTTTGGTTCCAACATTGCCAAATGCAACAAATGGTATCCAAGCCTAGCAGCAGCCAGTATGGAGCCAGATAATTATACAAGCAAGAAATCCAAGTTTCTGTTGAACATTTAAGAAATTTAAGAAAATGACACAGACAAGTGTTCTGCCAATATCTGCCAATCTCGTGTTGCACATGTTTGGGCATGAGTCTACCCTGCAGCTCCTTGAGCAAAGCAAAGGCTGTCTGCACCATGACTCCAGTGACCAAGTTCAGAATTCCTGGCATTCTCGAAATATCTCGACATTGGATTTTCACATGGTAGTCTTATATTGACTTGAGATGACTTGAGTGGTTCTCAGAGATCACAGAAGGAAATGAAATGTGGGCCAAGAAAGAAAGGACAATAAATCGATCTCGATACATCAAACTTCAAGCGTTCCAAGCATCGACTGATAGGCATTGACTGACGCATCTGGGAAGGGGTCAGACCTCGTTTTAACCTGAAGAGTTCCATCAATGAACCCCAAACTCCTCCAAAATCCATGGGATTCCATGGGTCTTCCGTACCTAGGCTGCAGATGGCCAAGAAGAGGATGGTGAAGACCGGCATCACGGTCTCCAGCGATGGATAGACGGCCACGTGCCGCACTTGCTCCGACCAGTCGCTCAATGTGGTCATGGTGAAGAGGGTGATCATGCAATCCGGGATGTGACCCCAGGCCTCCTGGAGAAGTTGGGAGATTGATGGAGATGGGATGGAGATGGGATGGCAATACTGGCAGCCTGGCCTGAACTATGGCATCACTTTGGGTCTCTTCATTGTGGCCCACGAAATCAACCATTAGCACGGAGGAGGCATAGATGAACAACGTCATGATGGATACCTGCAAGTCCAGCAGAAAATAAACAGTCAAAGCGCGGAAAGTGCATCTTGGAATCTGTGATTACTGTCATCTGTCATCATTGGATCTCAAAAAATATTGGAGTTTTTTTTTCAGCAATCGTTGGTTTCTTGCTTGGTTTCTTCATGTTTCTTATCTGCTTGGCAACTCACAGGAAATCCAAGTTGGGACACCAACAGCCAAGACACAGATCGGATGATCAAACGAAAGTTCCTCAGCACTCCCCATGTCACCAGGGGATGAATATGGATGAATGGCGAAGACTGGAAACCGGTCACCATTAGGCTGCTTGCAGCTTGGAAACCTTCACCTGAAAAAAATCATATGCTTCGAAGTGGGGATAGTTTCCAAGCATACATTGCAAGACTCCAAAAACACGATTGCCGTCCACATCCTTCCACCAACTTTACTCCACAGTGGCTTAACAAACCAGCTCCATCCCGAAAAAAACATCCTCATCGCTTCAGCAATCTTCATGTTCAATCATGTTCATCATGTTCATCCAACAAAAACAAATCATTCAACATCTGCATCCCTATAATTATAGTTATAGTAATTTATATATATATATATATATATATATATACGTATCCGTTAGATATCCTTTAAATCCTCCGGATCTCCGCCATCCGCCATCCCGCCCATCCCGGCAGGGCACCCCACGAAGCCTTTCACCATGCGTGCCAGGTCCTTCACCAAATGCAGCAGCCGGATCAGCCGCACCAAGCGGATCAAACCCACTAGGCGCAGCGCGGGGTTGTCGCCACTCCCCATGAAGCGCAGGACGAAGTTGTCGATACCTGGAATCGTTGGGAGCTTTCTGACGTGGGGTACCATGGGGTACCCCAAATCATCCAAAATCTAAAAACAGATTTTAGGATTGAAATATTGAAACCAATGGTCTTGGATGAGGATGCTCCGGTTCAGAAAACCTCCAATTTGGATGGGAGAGGAAGATGTTTGGGGGTTGGGGCGGGTTGACATGGGATTTTTTTGGTGAAATGCTAGGACATTTCCATATCCAATGGCAGGGATTGGAATTTTATGGAAGCTTGTTGGAAAGGGATATGACATGCCCATCAAGGCATCCAAGAAATGAGAGAGGATGGGATAATTGGGCGCTAGCGTAACGCGTAACTCTATAGACAGTGTATATCAGCGTATGATATGTATGACGGACTACCCACCTCGCCAGCGTTTGCCACCGGTTTGCCAATTAAAGATACGAGTGTCAAGTACTACTGTAGCGGATACTGTGAATGCAAGATTCATGATGTCATGATGCCTGCGAGTGTGCAGCAGTGTTGTTGTGTGGGCAGAAAAATCTCCATCGTACCATATCGTACCTCTGTCGAAACGCTTCATCGTGCTGGGGGAGAATGGAAAGGCTAGAGATGGCTAGAGATGACGACAAAAAACAAACTGACTTTAAATGACATGTGCAACACTTCGATATCTTCGATCCTGATCTTGCCACTGATTAAACACATTTAAACACCAAGGTACAGGACACCACAACAGTGACAATGTCGAAGAGAAACATCTTGTCCAAAAGAAGGTTCTTGGAATGGAGGAAGACATTGCACAGTTGAGCCAGTGTCCTTGGAAAGTTCAAAGCACGTGACACCAACTGCACTGCTGGTGAAACGTGAAACATGAGTTTCCACACATCAATCAATGATGGACAGATATGACCATGACATGAATGATTCAGCACACCATACACCACATACACCATAAGTTATGAAAGCTGCATTCAAAAACGGCAGCGATGATGGGCGCCTTCCCATCTCCCTAACCAGGTGGATGTCCAGTGAATTTCTGTTCAAATCTACGGCTGAAAGGAGACTTGGTGGCTTCAACCGCTGAAAAAAATGTCTGGCCAATTCGGTATCATCCCAATAAGGAATGAAGCTAATTATATTTATAGTATGGTATAGTACGGTGGAGTATATCATATCATAATTTCATATCATATACAATTATATTATATATATATAAAACATTATATATAATTATATAATTATATAATTATTATTATTATATATTAGATATTATATACATTACATTCTATATATTTTTATTAGCAAAGTAGGATGTCCCAAACCACCAGCCAGCACCAGCGTCATTGTGGTCACAATCTTGGGAACCACCAGAAAGATGAGCTCATGTTCGCCAAAGACCTCGACTTGATACTTGAAGATTGCACGTAGGAAAAGCTCTGCAGTGAAGGTCAACCTTGCGTGGCCGCGAGGCGACCACTTCGGACAAAATTCAGCCTGTTTTGGTCGTTTGGAAGACACATGTTGTCGGAAAACACTGGGACTGGAAATCCCCTGCAATTCTCAGTATTCAACCATATTCAACCATATTCAACCATCCAATTTGGGGTGTCAACCGACATGAAACTGACTCACCATGATTCGCCTGCTGCCGAGTGGAATTTTGGAACACAACACGGCTCACAGTCTCCCCCATGGTTGTATTTATTGTTGTGCCCATGCTGTTGTTTGAGCAAATCTTTAGTTCCACATAGTTCTGGGCACATTAAAATAATTCTGTACCTGAACTAAGGCTTTATTGAAACAATTCCCCTTACTAACCATGATTCCAGTGAGTCACAGTGAGGCCACTATAATTTGAAGAAATATTGGGCACAGTATAGTATACTAATAGATTCTTCCTTCTGGGATCTCCCCCGAGATCCAACGCAACGACGGTTTTGCCGCTCGGCGACACAAAGATGCTTTCCAAGGTGAACCACGCCATGGCCTTCGGGTGCCATTCTGGCCACTCTGTGGACGCTGCGCCATGCCAAAGTGATCAAGGACTTCCAGCAAATCAACATACACAAATTGTATACAATTTAAGTCAAGTCTTTTGTGGTTTTTTGAGAGATTCCCTCAATGTGAAGCAACAATCGGACTCCAGCGCTTGGTTTTCATTTCAAGTCTTTGAACGAAAAGGATATATGATGATATGGCAGTGTGTCAAAACCTTGTACCCCTGGTGAACATCAAAATAGCTGGTAAATGGATGTTCATCCCACTAAAAATGGTATTAATAGGTATTGATCCATACCCATATGGACTATTCTTCAAATCGCTTATTTTCAAGATCGGGTGATTTCTTCCGAGCAACGGGGCTCGCAAAGCTCTTCGAACTCAGATCACGCAGGTCCGGTGGCCGCAGCTCATTATCCACTCCAAGCTTCACGGCATTCAGAATCTCAATCGCATGGGAAAACCATGGAAAACCCATTGGAAAAAAAATGGGAATGGGGCGCATCAAATCCGCTGAACAACGGAAAAAACCGATGTTTCCACAGATGTTTCAACAGCTTAGGGCCTAGAGGAATCACATGGAATCATGGAATCAGGGAGATCCCGGCGACTTTCACATGGCCGGAGCTCATTCACGAGCATCAGTTTGAATTTGATGATTCCCCAACATGAAATTTGGGTATTTCATGGTAATTATTTCAAATCATGTGAAACATCGTGAAACCAAAAATAGAAGCGCCAAATTTAGATGTGATCATTTCGTGGCCTTTTTGTTGTTTCGATCGCTATTCTACTGCCGAAATTCTTGCTAGCGGGCTCCCAATTCCTCGGGATCCGTCGAGTCACCAGCACCAGTGCGAAGAAAGTGTCAAAGGTAGTCTGACTTTGCTCGATCAGCCGCTGCTCCTCGTCGAAACTGCGACGAGGGGTCATCCATTGAACCAGGTTCACCATTGGTTCACCATTGGTTCACCATTGGTTCACCATTGGTTCACCATTGGTTCACCATTGGTTCACCATTGGTTCACCATGAGTCTCATAGAAATTTTGAAGATAAAAGAACTGCAACAAGCGAGTCTCGCTTTCTTTGCCACTGACTGGCAAGTTTGAGTCCAAGAAATCACGAGCATAGGGTAGCATAGGGTAGCATAAGATATCATTGAAAGGAATCTCTTGTGCAAACATACAGCCATCCCTCCTAAAGTAAACACCCCTTTCAGCAATGTGAGGATCCCCAGTGCCGAAAACATAGATACCAAATCATTCAGTACCTATCAGTAAATAACCAAAATTCCAAATCACCAATTCTCAGTTTTTCTGGATCCCTCTTTTCTTTCTGGCCCATATCATAATATTCTTATAATATAATATATTATTACAATTTTATATGCCAAAAAAGCCAGCAAGTAACGCCCCAACGTCACGTGGGCGTCCTGTTCTTTCAGCAGAAGTTGTTTCTGCTGCGACTCGCCTTCCGTCTTCGTGACCGGACCCGCCGCAGAGCCGTCGGCCGCAACGGTGCTGGGCTTGGTGCCCGGCACCTTAGGAACCAGCACATCCGAGCACCATTCAAAGGAAAACAGTAATGATAGGAATAATGATGATAAGAACAATAAGAAGAACAATATTCAATAACACAATCAATGATCATTACAAAAGCCTAACTTTCATTGATTGATGAAAGAAACAACAGCGATGACAATAATGATGGCGCTGCAGCTTGCGTCCTTGGAGCTAAGCGCAGCAACCACCCAAACTGGCTGAGGCACAGCTTCCGATGGCACAAATCTCCTGAGATGAAAGGTGTGGGTCTGGGTTGGGCCGTTCTCAGCATCAAACCTTATGACGATTCATATTCAGTACAACCACTGGGTGGGTAGTGAAGGTTAATATGATGATACCACACCACTGGAGACGACTTGGGATCCAAGAGGTATCTAAGAGGAACGCGCAGGTTCTGATATGTTTTGGGCATTTTTGGGCTCTTTTGCTTCAGAGGCTCCAACCTGGCTCAAGGAACAGTAATATCATGTAATATCCGCTTTCATTTGTAAAACTCTACTTACTACGAGTGCAAAGAGCGTCTGCTTTCACTATCAAATTCTTTCGACCTTGCCGTCATACATGCCTGAATCCCAGCTTATTAATGCTTATGACATCTTATGACTTATGACTTATGACATACAGTGTCCAAATTCAGCACTTTGTGAAAGTACACGCGTGTCAAAGCTCCAGTTGGCCGAGTGCACGTTTACTCCTTTCTTTGGCATCGCAACTGACATCATTGTTTGTTGCGCATGTGTTTTTCCTTTTGTCCCATGTGCTTGGGAAGCCCCTGCCTGGGTCAAGAAACTGTTACAGAGTAACATTCCGTAACATTCCGTAACATTCCGTATCTGTACAACATCAAAAAAGTGTTAGAGCATGTTAAACAATTGAAACTTCATTCTGATGGTCTTCACCTTCAGCGCTGGGAAGCCTCCACAACATCTTTGAAGGTGTAGAAGCCCTTGGCCGCAGCCACTGCATCCAATGGATTCACCTTCGAGAACATGTTGTTGGTGACAGTGGAATCAACAACGCCGGCCATAGAATTGTACACATCCATCACAGTTGTCTTCGGCACGGATGCCACCAAGCGACCAATGGCTGCATTCACAGCTTCGTAGTCGGCCGCAGACGTCACGCCGGTGGCATCAATGCTGCCAATGGCCTTGTGGTGTGCCTCTGCTGCCGCCTTCAAGAGGTTGCCATCCATCTTGGCGCCCATCACAATCATCTTGTCAATGGCTTTCAGCGTCTCTGGGGCAGTCTTGCCGGGCAGCGGCTTCAGGTAAATGTCCGACAGCCAATCGATGTCCTTGATGAAAGGATAGGATGCATCGGACAACGCCTTTGCAGCTACACCAATTTTGTCCCCGGAAGGCACAACTGCAGGAGCACTGGCGGTGGTCACCTGGTTCTTTTCAACAACATCCTTGAATTCCAGGAATCCTTGGTAGGCCTTCTCGGCATCGGGTCCATTCACCAAGGACTTCATGTAAGCTGGCACTCCGGGGTCCGTGATGGCTTTCACTGAATCGTAAACGGCCATGACCTTTGCTTTGGGGACCGAAGCCACTACACGGCCAAGGGCTGCATTCACGGCATCCCAGTCAGCGCGCGAAGTCACACCATTTGGCCCGCTGATGCTCCCAATGGCCTTGTGATGTGCTTCTGCTGCCTCCTTCAGAAGCTTGGGGTCTGCGGCTGCTCCCATTTCGATCATCTTGTCAATGGCTTTCAAAGCTGACAAGGGCTGAAACTTGCCTGGGGCCTGCAGGAAAATGCCGTTGTTCCAGTCCACTTCCTTGGCGAAAGAGTAGGAGGCATCCCCAAGTTTCTTTGCAGCATCGCCGATCTCATCAGCAAAAGCCGCAGGAGCCATCATCATACTGGCGGCTGCTGCGGCCACTGGAGCAGCATGCCGAGGCCCAGGCACAAAATTCAAGTGCTTCTGGAGACCGCATGCAACTGCCACCGCAACTCCGACAGCAATAGCTTTCTTTGCTCCACGCACCATGGCCACCAAAAAGTTCAATCTTAAAGTGAGCCGGAGTTGCTCAAAAACTAGCCCTAACTAGCCGCTAAAATTGGCTTGAGCCAATGATATTTGAGTTGGTATATTTCCGAGCACAACATGATCTTGACACAAGCATTTGAATCATTTGAATCCCTCACATGTCCGCAATCACATGTAGATCCAGCTTGCTGAAACTGTTTGCGCATCCCACACACACACACCAATTCCATCCAATGGCAGTATCCATTTGTGGAGCTGGGCTGGTGGCACCATCGTGTTGCCAAACATCAATCTGATAAATCAACTGCAACATATACATGTTACATTCTGATACATTCTGTATCAAACTATACTCTACTTACTACAAGGAGTGTCGTTTTGAAACTATCAAACTTACATATCTGCTGTAAGTCACCACAGGTTCTTGAAGAAGGGCTACAGAGAGAAATGATGAGAAATGCACCTCTTTCGACCTTGCGTCATAAATGTCTGAATCCCAGTGTTTTTCAATACTTGTGACTTATGACAGTGTCCAAATTCAGCACTTTGTGAAAGTACACGCGTGTCAAAGCTCCAATTGGCAGAGTGCACGTTTACTCCTTTCTTTGGCATCGTTGTCCCATGTGCTTGGGAAGCCCCTGCCTGGGTCAAGAAACTGTTACAGATGTCCGTAACATTCCGTAACAGTCCGTATCTGTACAACATCAAAAAAGTGTTAGAGCATGTTAAACAATTGAAACTTCATTCTGATGGTCTTCACCTTCAGCGCTGGGAAGCCTCCACAACATCTTTGAAGGTGTAGAAGCCCTTGGCCGCAGCCACTGCATCCAATGGATTCACCTTCGAGAACATGTTGTTGGTGACAGTGGAATCAACAACGCCGGCCATAGAATTGTACACATCCATCACAGTTGTCTTCGGCACGGATGCCACCAAGCGGCCAATGGCTGCATTCACAGCTTCGTAGTCGGCCGCAGACGTCACGCCGGTGGCATCAATGCTGCCAATGGCCTTGTGGTGTGCCTCTGCTGCCGCCTTCAAGAGGTTGCCATCCATCTTGGCGCCCATCACAATCATCTTGTCAATGGCTTTCAGCGTCTCTGGGGCAGTCTTGCCGGGCAGCGGCTTCAGGTAAATGTCCGACAGCCAATCGATGTCCTTGATGAAAGGATAGGATGCATCGGACAACGCCTTTGCAGCTACACCAATTTTGTCCCCGGAAGGCACAACTGCAGGAGCACTGGCGGTGGTCACCTGGTTCTTTTCAACAACATCCTTGAATTCCAGGAATCCTTGGTAGGCCTTCTCGGCATCGGGTCCATTCACCAAGGACTTCATGTAAGCTGGCACTCCGGGGTCCGTGATGGCTTTCACTGAATCGTAAACGGCCATGACCTTTGCTTTGGGGACCGAAGCCACTACACGGCCAAGGGCTGCATTCACGGCATCCCAGTCAGCGCGCGAAGTCACACCATTTGGCCCGCTGACGCTCCCAATGGCCTTGTGATGTGCTTCTGCTGCCTCCTTCAGAAGCTTGGGGTCTGCGGCTGCTCCCATTTCGATCATCTTGTCAATGGCTTTCAAAGCTGACAAGGGCTGAAACTTGCCTGGGGCCTGCAGGAAAATGCCGTTGTTCCAGTCCACTTCCTTGGCGAAAGAGTAGGAGGCATCCCCAAGTTTCTTTGCAGCATCGCCGATCTCATCAGCAAAAGCCGCAGGAGCCATCATCATACTGGCGGCTGCTGCGGCCACTGGAGCAGCATGCCGAGGCCCAGGCACAAAATTCAAGTGCTTCTGGAGACCGCATGCAACTGCCACCGCAACTCCGACAGCAATAGCTTTCTTTGCTCCACGCACCATGGCCACCAAAAAGTTCAATCTTAAAGTGAGCCGGAGTTGCTCAAAAACTAGCCGTAACTAGCCGCTAAAATTGGCTTGAGCCAATGATATTTGAGTTGGTATATTTCCGAGCACAACATGATCTTGACACAAGCATTTGAATCATTTGAATCCCTCACATGTCCGCAATCACATGTAGATCCAGCTTGCTGAAACTGTTTGCGCATCCCACACACACACACACCAATTCCATCCAATGGCAGTATCCATTTGTGGAGCTGGGCTGGTGGCACCATCGTGTTGCCAAACATCAATCTGATAAATCAACTGCAACATATACATGATACATTCTGATACATTCTGTATCAAACTATACTCTACTTACTACAAGGAGTGTCGTTTTGAAACTATCAAACTTACATATCTGCTGTAAGTCACCACAGGTTCTTGAAGAAGGGCTACAGAGAGAATGATGAGAAATGCACCTCTTTCGACCTTGCGTCATAAATGTCTGAATCCCAGTGTTTTTCAATACTTGTGACTTATGACAGTGTCCAAATTCAGCACTTTGTGAAAGTACACGCGTGTCAAAGCTCCAATTGGCAGAGTGCACGTTTACTCCTTTCTTTGGCATCGTTGTCCCATGTGCTTGGGAAGCCCCTGCCTGGGTCAAGAAACTGTTACAGATGTCCGTAACATTCCGTAACATTCCGTAACATTCCGTATCTGTACAACATCAAAAAAGTGTTAGAGCATGTTAAACAATTGAAACTTCATTCTGATGGTCTTCACCTTCAGCGCTGGGAAGCCTCCACAACATCTTTGAAGGTGTAGAAGCCCTTGGCCGCAGCCACTGCATCCAATGGATTCACCTTCGAGAACATGTTGTTGGTGACAGTGGAATCAACAACGCCGGCCATAGAATTGTACACATCCATCACAGTTGTCTTCGGCACGGATGCCACCAAGCGGCCAATGGCTGCATTCACAGCTTCGTAGTCGGCCGCAGACGTCACGCCGGTGGCATCAATGCTGCCAATGGCCTTGTGGTGTGCCTCTGCTGCCGCCTTCAAGAGGTTGCCATCCATCTTGGCGCCCATCACAATCATCTTGTCAATGGCTTTCAGCGTCTCTGGGGCAGTCTTGCCGGGCAGCGGCTTCAGGTAAATGTCCGACAGCCAATCGATGTCCTTGATGAAAGGATAGGATGCATCGGACAACGCCTTTGCAGCTACACCAATTTTGTCCCCGGAAGGCACAACTGCAGGAGCACTGGCGGTGGTCACCTGGTTCTTTTCAACAACATCCTTGAATTCCAGGAATCCTTGGTAGGCCTTCTCGGCATCGGGTCCATTCACCAAGGACTTCATGTAAGCTGGCACTCCGGGGTCCGTGATGGCTTTCACTGAATCGTAAACGGCCATGACCTTTGCTTTGGGGACCGAAGCCACTACACGGCCAAGGGCTGCATTCACGGCATCCCAGTCAGCGCGCGAAGTCACACCATTTGGCCCGCTGATGCTCCCAATGGCCTTGTGATGTGCTTCTGCTGCCTCCTTCAGAAGCTTGGGGTCTGCGGCTGCTCCCATTTCGATCATCTTGTCAATGGCTTTCAAAGCTGACAAGGGCTGAAACTTGCCTGGGGCCTGCAGGAAAATGCCGTTGTTCCAGTCCACTTCCTTGGCGAAAGAGTAGGAGGCATCCCCAAGTTTCTTTGCAGCATCGCCGATCTCATCAGCAAAAGCCGCAGGAGCCATCATCATACTGGCGGCTGCTGCGGCCACTGGAGCAGCATGCCGAGGCCCAGGCACAAAATTCAAGTGCTTCTGGAGACCGCATGCAACTGCCACCGCAACTCCGACAGCAATAGCTTTCTTTGCTCCACGCACCATGGCCACCAAAAAGTTCAATCTTAAAGTGAGCCGGAGTTGCTCAAAAACTAGCCGTAACTAGCCGCTAAAATTGGCTTGAGCCAATGATATTTGAGTTGGTATATTTCCGAGCACAACATGATCTTGACACAAGCATTTGAATCATTTGAATCCCTCACATGTCCGCAATCACATGTAGATCCAGCTTGCTGAAACTGTTTGCGCATCCCACACACACACACACCAATTCCATCCAATGGCAGTATCCATTTGTGGAGCTGGGCTGGTGGCACCATCGTGTTGCCAAACATCAATCTGATAAATCAACTGCAACATATACATGATACATTCTGATACATTCTGTATCAAACTATACTCTACTTACTACAAGGAGTGTCGTTTTGAAACTATCAAACTTACATATCTGCTGTAAGTCACCACAGGTTCTTGAAGAAGGGCTACAGAGAGAATGATGAGAAATGCACCTCTTTCGACCTTGCGTCATAAATGTCTGAATCCCAGTGTTTTTCAATACTTGTGACTTATGACAGTGTCCAAATTCAGCACTTTGTGAAAGTACACGCGTGTCAAAGCTCCAATTGGCAGAGTGCACGTTTACTCCTTTCTTTGGCATCGTTGTCCCATGTGCTTGGGAAGCCCCTGCCTGGGTCAAGAAACTGTTACAGATGTCCGTAACATTCCGTAACATTCCGTAACAGTCCGTATCTGTACAACATCAAAAAAGTGTTAGAGCATGTTAAACAATTGAAACTTCATTCTGATGGTCTTCACCTTCAGCGCTGGGAAGCCTCCACAACATCTTTGAAGGTGTAGAAGCCCTTGGCCGCAGCCACTGCATCCAATGGATTCACCTTCGAGAACATGTTGTTGGTGACAGTGGAATCAACAACGCCGGCCATAGAATTGTACACATCCATCACAGTTGTCTTCGGCACGGATGCCACCAAGCGGCCAATGGCTGCATTCACAGCTTCGTAGTCGGCCGCAGACGTCACGCCGGTGGCATCAATGCTGCCAATGGCCTTGTGGTGTGCCTCTGCTGCCGCCTTCAAGAGGTTGCCATCCATCTTGGCGCCCATCACAATCATCTTGTCAATGGCTTTCAGCGTCTCTGGGGCAGTCTTGCCGGGCAGCGGCTTCAGGTAAATGTCCGACAGCCAATCGATGTCCTTGATGAAAGGATAGGATGCATCGGACAACGCCTTTGCAGCTACACCAATTTTGTCCCCGGAAGGCACAACTGCAGGAGCACTGGCGGTGGTCACCTGGTTCTTTTCAACAACATCCTTGAATTCCAGGAATCCTTGGTAGGCCTTCTCGGCATCGGGTCCATTCACCAAGGACTTCATGTAAGCTGGCACTCCGGGGTCCGTGATGGCTTTCACTGAATCGTAAACGGCCATGACCTTTGCTTTGGGGACCGAAGCCACTACACGGCCAAGGGCTGCATTCACGGCATCCCAGTCAGCGCGCGAAGTCACACCATTTGGCCCGCTGATGCTCCCAATGGCCTTGTGATGTGCTTCTGCTGCCTCCTTCAGAAGCTTGGGGTCTGCGGCTGCTCCCATTTCGATCATCTTGTCAATGGCTTTCAAAGCTTCCAAGGGCTGAAACTTGCCTGGGGCCTGCAGGAAAATGCCGTTGTTCCAGTCCACTTCCTTGGCGAAAGAGTAGGAGGCATCCCCAAGTTTCTTTGCAGCATCGCCGATCTCATCAGCAAAAGCCGCAGGAGCCATCATCATACTGGCGGCTGCTGCGGCCACTGGAGCAGCATGCCGAGGCCCAGGCACAAAATTCAAGTGCTTCTGGAGACCGCATGCAACTGCCACCGCAACTCCGACAGCAATAGCTTTCTTTGCTCCACGCACCATGGCCACCAAAAAGTTCAATCTTAAAGTGAGCCGGAGTTGCTCAAAAACTAGCCGTAACTAGCCGCTAAAATTGGCTTGAGCCAATGATATTTGAGTTGATATATTTCCGGGCAGAACATGATCTCTGACACAAGCATTTGAATCCCTCACATGTCCGCAATCACATGTAGACCCAGCTTGCTGCAACTATTTGCGCAATTCCATCCACTGCAACATCTGTATACATCATGCATCTGTATAACATGTTTAAATTATACTACAAGGATCCACAAAGATCTACAAGGATCTACAAGGAGTGTCGTTTTGAAACTATCAAACTTACATATCTGCTGTAAGTGACCACAGGTTCTTGAAGAAGGGCTACAGAGAGAATGATGAGAAATGCACCTCTTTCGACCTTGCGTCATAAATGTCTGAATCCCAGTGTTTTTCAATACTTGTGACTTGTTACAGTGTCCAAATTCAGCACTTTGTGAAAGTACAAGCATGTCAAAGCTCCAGTTGGCAGAGTGCACGTTTACTCCTTTCTTTGGCATCGCAACTGACATCATTGTTTGTTGCGCATGTGTTTTTCCTTTTTTCCCATGTGCTTGGGAAGCCCCTGCCTGGGTCAAGAAACTGTTACAAATGTCCGTAACATTCTGTATCTGTACAACTGTACAACATCAAAAAAGTGTTAGAGCATGTTAAACAATTGAAACTTCATTCTGATGGTCTTCACCTTCAGCGCTGGGAAGCCTCCACAACATCTTTGAAGGTGTAGAAGCCCTTGGCCGCAGCCACTGCATCCAATGGATTCACCTTCGAGAACATGTTGTTGGTGACAGTGGAATCAACAACGCCGGCCATAGAATTGTACACATCCATCACAGTTGTCTTCGGCACGGATGCCACCAAGCGGCCAATGGCTGCATTCACAGCTTCGTAGTCGGCCGCAGACGTCACGCCGGTGGCATCAATGCTGCCAATGGCCTTGTGGTGTGCCTCTGCTGCCGCCTTCAAGAGGTTGCCATCCATCTTGGCGCCCATCACAATCATCTTGTCAATGGCTTTCAGCGTCTCTGGGGCAGTCTTGCCGGGCAGCGGCTTCAGGTAAATGTCCGACAGCCAATCGATGTCCTTGATGAAAGGATAGGATGCATCGGACAACGCCTTTGCAGCTACACCAATTTTGTCCCCGGAAGGCACAACTGCAGGAGCACTGGCGGTGGTCACCTGGTTCTTTTCAACAACATCCTTGAATTCCAGGAATCCTTGGTAGGCCTTCTCGGCATCGGGTCCATTCACCAAGGACTTCATGTAAGCTGGCACTCCGGGGTCCGTGATGGCTTTCACTGAATCGTAAACGGCCATGACCTTTGCTTTGGGGACCGAAGCCACTACACGGCCAAGGGCTGCATTCACGGCATCCCAGTCAGCGCGCGAAGTCACACCATTTGGCCCGCTGATGCTCCCAATGGCCTTGTGATGTGCTTCTGCTGCCTCCTTCAGAAGCTTGGGGTCTGCGGCTGCTCCCATTTCGATCATCTTGTCAATGGCTTTCAAAGCTTCCAAGGGCTGAAACTTGCCTGGGGCCTGCAGGAAAATGCCGTTGTTCCAGTCCACTTCCTTGGCGAAAGAGTAGGAGGCATCCCCAAGTTTCTTTGCAGCATCGCCGATCTCATCAGCAAAAGCCGCAGGAGCCATCATCATACTGGCTGCTGCTGCGGCCACTGGAGCAGCATGCCGAGGCCCAGGCACAAAATTCAAGTGCTTCTGGAGACCGCATGCAACTGCCACCGCAACTCCGACAGCAATAGCTTTCTTTGCTCCACGCACCATGGCCACCAAAAAGTTCAATCTTAAAGTGAGCCGGAGTTGCTCAAAAACTAGCCGTAACTAGCCGCTAAAATTGGCTTGAGCCAATGATATTTGAGTTGATATATTTCCGGGCAGAACATGATCTCTGACACAAGCATTTGAATCCCTCACATGTCCGCAATCACATGTAGACCCAGCTTGCTGCAACTATTTGCGCAATTCCATCCACTGCAACATCTGTATACATCATGCATCTGTATAACATGTTTAAATTATACTACAAGGATCCACAAAGATCTACAAGGATCTACAAGGAGTGTCGTTTTGAAACTATCAAACTTACATATCTGCTGTAAGTGACCACAGGTTCTTGAAGAAGGGCTACAGAGAGAAATGCACCTCTTTCGACCTTGCGTCATAAATGTCTGAATCCCAGTGTTTTTCAATACTTGTGACTTGTTACAGTGTCCAAATTCAGCACTTTGTGAAAGTACAAGCATGTCAAAGCTCCAGTTGGCAGAGTGCACGTTTACTCCTTTCTTTGGCATCGCAACTGACATCATTGTTTGTTGCGCATGTGTTTTTCCTTTTTTCCCATGTGCTTGGGAAGCCCCTGCCTGGGTCAAGAAACTGTTACAAATGTCCGTAACATTCTGTATCTGTACAACATCAAAAAAGTGTTAGAGCATGTTAAACAATTGAAACTTCATTCTGATGGTCTTCACCTTCAGCGCTGGGAAGCCTCCACAACATCTTTGAAGGTGTAGAAGCCCTTGGCCGCAGCCACTGCATCCAATGGATTCACCTTCGAGAACATGTTGTTGGTGACAGTGGAATCAACAACGCCGGCCATAGAATTGTACACATCCATCACAGTTGTCTTCGGCACGGATGCCACCAAGCGGCCAATGGCTGCATTCACAGCTTCGTAGTCGGCCGCAGACGTCACGCCGGTGGCATCAATGCTGCCAATGGCCTTGTGGTGTGCCTCTGCTGCCGCCTTCAAGAGGTTGCCATCCATCTTGGCGCCCATCACAATCATCTTGTCAATGGCTTTCAGCGTCTCTGGGGCAGTCTTGCCGGGCAGCGGCTTCAGGTAAATGTCCGACAGCCAATCGATGTCCTTGATGAAAGGATAGGATGCATCGGACAACGCCTTTGCAGCTACACCAATTTTGTCCCCGGAAGGCACAACTGCAGGAGCACTGGCGGTGGTCACCTGGTTCTTTTCAACAACATCCTTGAATTCCAGGAATCCTTGGTAGGCCTTCTCGGCATCGGGTCCATTCACCAAGGACTTCATGTAAGCTGGCACTCCGGGGTCCGTGATGGCTTTCACTGAATCGTAAACGGCCATGACCTTTGCTTTGGGGACCGAAGCCACTACACGGCCAAGGGCTGCATTCACGGCATCCCAGTCAGCGCGCGAAGTCACACCATTTGGCCCGCTGATGCTCCCGATGGCCTTGTGATGTGCTTCTGCTGCCTCCTTCAGAAGCTTGGGGTCTGCGGCTGCTCCCATTTCGATCATCTTGTCAATGGCTTTCAAAGCTTCCAAGGGCTGAAACTTGCCAGGGGCCTGCAGGAAAATGCCGTTGTTCCAGTCCACTTCCTTGGCGAAAGAGTAGGAGGCATCCCCAAGTTTCTTTGCAGCATCGCCGATCTCATCAGCAAAAGCCGCAGGAGCCATCATCATACTGGCGGCTGCTGCGGCCACTGGAGCAGCATGCCGAGGCCCAGGCACAAAATTCAAGTGCTTCTGGAGACCGCATGCAACTGCCACCGCAACTCCGACAGCAATAGCTTTCTTTGCTCCACGCACCATGGCCACCAAAAAGTTCAATCTTAAAGTGAGCCGGAGTTGCTCAAAAACTAGCCGTAACTAGCCGCTAAAATTGGCTTGAGCCAATGATATTTGAGTTGATATATTTCCGGGCAGAACATGATCTCTGACACAAACATTTGAATTCTTCACATGTCCGCAATCACATGTAGATCCAGCTTGCTAGCTTTTTATGCAATCGACCCACCCTTCAAGTAGCCTTACGTGTGGAGCAACTGGCAACATGGGCAACATGGTATTCCATGTAAATCAAGCTGGTAAATCAACATACCGAGGTTCTGCAGAAGAGGTGACAGAAAATCTCGACATTCGTCCAGTTGTGCGTTCACCGCCTCGAACATGCCGTGCATGTTGACCATTCGTTCGTAGACCAGCCGCATTCCCCGCATGATGCCCACAATGTCCAGGGGGTGAGCGCGAGATTTCATGAACATCAAGCTCTCAACAAATTCATCGATGGTGATGCCTGGAAGATCATGGAAGATCCAGATGGAAAGAAAAACATATAAAACCTGTACTTTCTTAGCAAGGTCTTTGACAATCTCAGACAAAGCAACGGAACCTGTGATGTTCCTTTCTGAAGTGTATCAATGTGCACAATTAGATCATCTGTAGATCATCTGTAGATCATCTACATTCATCATCATTCATCTACGTAGATCCCCATAAAAAGGATTAAAAGGGCACCTACACAATCTTTGAAATCAAATCCAAGGGAGCGGAGATTCTCGCCTGCATTGTCGCCCATGAGATTCTCCACCTCCTCGCAAACGGAGTCGATATCTTGCAGTGACACTCCAGCATGGTTGAAGAGTCGGGGCAGGATACGGCGTAAATCCTCTTTCTCACCTGGGACCACAGGACAGTATAGCCCAAGGATGTCCAAGGTCTGAGGATATCAGCTGGGCCATTTCATCATGGCGCCAGCTGGGTTTCCCAAACGACAAACAACTCCAGGTGAACTAACAAAAATGATGTCATGAATAGATGTTCTGGTCATTCGATTGCCTACTGAGGCTGGTTTACTCACAATTGCCAAGCCACTGATAGGTTCATCAGCACCTCCATTGTGAGCGTTGAGACTTGGGGTATTGGAGAAGTTAGGACAAGTTAGATCGTAACATGTCGTAACTGTTAGAAAAAAGCGTCTCCAAATAGAGTCCAATGCAATTTCATGGGTTTGTATGCTTTTCTTATGTTTTTTGTGGATCGCTTTTGTTTGGGGCCAGCAGGTGTTGGCAATATAGCCACAACTGCCTGTCCATCTCTTCATTCTGCCGCAAAATGGGGCACAGAGCGGCGCACCTAGGGAGTTTTTTCTCGTGGCTTGGTCTCAAAATAGGAGACCCCCAAAAATCGAACGATTTATCATGATGATCCCCCTTGAAATTTGAAATGCCACTATCCAGAAGTGAAAACGCAATGGGGGTCTTGAACAGAAGACAACTGACACATCGTGATATTCAGAAGAACCCCAGTCAAGAGAGGATTTAACCATCACTCTGAAGTTGTGCAAAACTAAGAATGGAAATTCGCTAGACTATTCCAACAAAAACAAGACACTCTTTTTGCGACTCTGGAAAATGCAGAAAAAACAAGTGCTGGTTGGTGGTTCCAACCCACCTCAAACATCATATATTCAATGCACCTAATTAGTGCTCAACACCCCGGCCCAAGTAGGGAGGATTTCTTTCTCAACCGTTGAAACATGTTGCCAGCAAAAAAACAAACGTATCAACCATGACCAGATCGTGCCAAGTAACAGAGTCGCGAATACAAGGCTCCACAGCAGCGTCCACAAACGCCTTGTTTCTTGATCTTCCTGACGCCAAGGCCTTTTCCTGTCCAGGAAAACTGTGGAAGAACCCCCTTTTTGGGTTGCAGTAGAACCATGTAAAAGCCATGGTTTCCTGATTTTTTGGGATGAATTGTGTCCTTTCAATCCAATGATTTTGACTTTTCTTATCGTTTCTTGCCATGCTAATTTGGAGAGGTTGGATTCTAAGCTGAAACTGCGGCACCTGGTGGGCATTGTTCCCTGCCCTATGGAAATTCAATAGCATCCCCGTGCTTGGCTGGCTCCCAAATCATCACAACGCAGGACAAGAAACTCGCAACTTCAGAGTCAAACCAAAGCCTAAATTCGGCATAGCATGATCATGGCTATAAGATGCTATAGGATCTTATAAGATCTTATAAGCTATAACATCTATAACATTCAACCACTAGTCACAGGACGCTGGGAGCTTGATGGATTGCCATGTTGTTTTTTTTTTTGCAGGCCATCCATTCACGCTGCAGGACATGGTCCTCGCAAGGCGTCCATGTTGGTGTTTCCGGCTTGGATATCTTGGATCTGCTCTTGGACTGTATCGCGGTCCTCATCCTCCGATGACAGAAACTATAACTGTTAGTGTATCTTAGTAAAGCAATAGTAAAAATAAATATACACAAATGGGTAGTATAAAGCAGAAACATGCGGGTATTTATTGGTTTATTATTACTTTCCTAACATTACCGGTCATCAATGGGGTGACTGACTAACTAAACCTGATGCAAGTGGGAGATCTAACCTTCTACCAATCAGTGATGAGGGCATGAAAGTCTGTGGAGCCACCCCAAGAAATCTCAACTTTAGGTTTCCCTATAAAAGCGAAGAAACTTCTGTGGATTTGTCCAACAATGGTGTCTATGATCCCTCGAAGTGACAGGAACCATCATTTTCATAAGTGATCCACACCCAAAACTTACACGATTATCATATCACATGATCATTTTTTGTCACAGCCATAGAAATGAGTGGTTTTTTTTTCTATGGAACTCTCAGCCAGGATTTCCGTCGGTTTCCCGGTCCTCTCCGTGGGTCGATTCATCCTTTTTCAGCTCCACATCTGGTCCTTCCGCCCAGCCCTGAAGGATTCGTCGCGTCACAAGGTGGGAGCCCGGTCCGTCCTGGCGCCAAGCCCGGGGTGCTTTTCGCAACGTGACCCGTGGAACCAACGATGTCATGATATGATGAATTGGATAAATATGATATTCATTGCACTATCATTACACATAATACAATGTTTTTTTTGGAAGTGATTGTCATGAACGACTATATCATTCTGAGTCATCAGAATGTGAATTATTCAGTGAATCGAAATGATACTTGTTAGAACTATGGCACAAATGAGTGGTCATATCATCCACATCGCTTCTTCCTACAATTGGGATCAGGGCTCTTGAAGGATCTGGAACGGAGAGAAAGTGGAAGGACTGTAAAAGAATGTAAAAGAAAAATATTGGTTGGTTGACTACCGGCTTTATTGACCGTCTGATTGGTAAGTCGTTTGATCCAACTATCATCCTCTACCATTTGATAGCTTAGTTTCATACTACAGTAGTGTGACAGCTTGTTGCAGAGTTGTTCAACATGTTTTTCTGCACAGGTTTCTTTCCAACCTTTTACTAAGGATGTTCTTCACAGTTGTGAGACTTGCCAAACCTGGCTCCCTATCTAGAGACCCTTTAGAGACTGTCGCCATCACTAAAATATGGGGGTTATATCCCAACTCACGGTGGGGTCATAATCCCATAACTCCAACTGCGAAACCCGTCCTTCTGTTTCCCAAGGGTCGTGTCCGCATGCAGGGACAAACCATATCGCAATCGTCTCAAGGCTCTGTGCTGTCTCAGCTTCATGATGGTCTGCTCAAACATGTCATCCTGACACCGTTTTTGTGACGACTGGAGATGCCTCTGGGAGCAACTCTCCGAACATTTTGGAGCACTGTGAGCCAAATCGATTTTTTGGACTTGCCACTAGGCATCACGACACTATTGAACGTTGCTCTTTCTTGCCAGGGCAGCTCTAGGCAAAATCAGATTGATCATGATTGATCTCTGATCGAATTTCAATTGTTTAAAACCGCTCTTTCACAGAACGTCGAAAGATTGCAGCTTCGCACAATAATTACCATTGCAAGTGGCTACGGCTATGGGCTATGGGTCAAAATTGGTACTCAAAAATGGAAGGTTGATATCAAATTCATCAAAAAACATATTTTCTCCGTCGCCGGGAAAAACATATTGACCCATTCCCGTGTCTTCGCTGGTCAGCGCGACAACAAACGGCTGATGGCATTGGTGTCACGGGCATCACCCGATGAAAATCCAACAGCCCTCCAGTAAATTCAGCTGGAAATCAAACCGCTGAAGATGTATATGTATATATATATTATATATATATAGTTCACTGGAGGGTAGGACCAGCCTTCAAAATCTGCACCAAGTCGGCTGCAATGCAACCCTGGTTCTAAATCCGAATTCAAAGGGAATTCATTAAAAACGGGGCATCTATTGGATTCCGAGGCGCTTCACCAATCCCTTAACAAGAGACTACCACTGACACGAGAATTGTCAAAGAATGGAATTCACATGTAACGTTCTTGTAAAGAACCTATATTTTGGCTTTTGTTGGATTTGCACAAATTGAACCTAATCGGGTGGATCTGTACGAAATTTCTCCTCATTACATGTAGCAATTTCATACTGACAACTTGTGAAATCTGTCAGACAGAACGCGCGATCGAAACCGAAGCAAGCGTTATCAAACACGACGCGCGCATTCTCCACCAGCTGCAGTTGCCTCCTATGCTGCGAACTTTCCCTTCAGCGGGACTGGAGGTAGTCAAAAAGTCACAATGGATATGCATGGCATTTCAAAAGTCAGCTTTTCAGATATGAACCCAGTAAATTGACAATAGCTCCGGTAATCTGCGTTGTTTTCTTTTTGTCTGGATCGGGCAACTACCGGTTCGATCTTGCAAAACCACAAACGGAGCCTTAAAACTCGACGTCGCGTCGTCAATTCGCAGAGGCAAAAACCCATATTTTGAGTACGGGTTAGTATTGGTTAAATATGAGTTAAATATAGTTTAAATATGGGTTCCAAAACACCTTTTTTTACTATATCAGAATATGGGTTTAGTACGGGTTAAATATGGGTTTAGTTTAGTACGGCTTAGTACAGCTTAAATATGGGGTTTTGGCATTTTTTGGGTACAGACCCTAGAATTGTCATCCGAAATGATTAAAAACTGAAAATTTCGATTGATTTTTCATGATTTTGTTAATTTGTTCGATACTTTTGTTCGACTGTTTCTTGGACTTTTGCAATCCAGAAACATTTTTTCCAAATGAAAAAAATACAGCCATGTTTCAATTTATGCTTCTAGGGGTGGTTCTTGGGAAAAAAATCATACGACTCCAGATTGACTGTGATCACACTTAATGTTGTCCGACATGTTCCAAGAGCATCGGGCCCTTTCTTATGAGAACTGCCAGCCAAAGCCAGCGGGGTGGAAGTATAATCAACATCAAGGGTACTGAGAGGGATAGATCCAAGGCTGGTATCAATAAAGGGGTTTGAATCGTCTAAGGGAACGAATCATGAGATGTCATGACACCAAGTGTGAGAAAAAGTAGGTTTTTTCCCTAGCAAAGAAAAAAAAACTGTTTTCTGAGAAAACCCTTTTTTTTCATAACTGAAGAAGAACCGGGTTTTTGGAAAAATACCTACAAATCTGTGGGTTCTTGATGCGCTAGGTATATTAATATACAATTATAGCTATTATATTTATATATATAATTATACATCTCTCTCTCTCTCTCTCTCATTGACATATAGACTATAAATCAAAATCAACGATTTCCTGCCGATCGTCATTCATCCACTACATTCATTCACAAGCAAGAATCACGCCTCAGAAAATGCCAAGCAAAACCCCGCATCTTTACAGAAGAGGTCAATCCTTGGGAAAAATCGGACCCGAACCACCGCCTGTACAACGCGTTGCCTTCACGATGCAAGGGCTAAGCTGGTCAGGGCTACGGACAGTTGCTGAAGGATTGGTCCAGCACATGTTGCCACCCGGGTCCAATTTGGTTGGATGTTGCAAGGAGATTCAGCCATACCACGCCGGCATGCACGGCGACCGGAAGACCGGTCTCAGCCGAGCAGAGCACTGAGTGATGCATACAACTTTCCCATGTCTCGGGGATAGCTCCAATAAAGACATGTATAAGCCTCAGCAGAGTGGACTGTGACAGCAGGTCATAGGGACAAAGATTTGATTGCTATAAGATGAATCAATAACATTCGCTGATCAACTCGATATTCACAAAACACATTCAGTTACTTTCTTCAAGTGATCCCCGCCCTGAAACACTATTCTGACATATAGTTTCTGAATGTTTCTGACATACCATCTGGGAGTATATATGGCAAATTGATTCTGGCATTTTTTCTGGCATATACTTTGACATTCTATCTGACATGCTATCTATGCTATCTGGCATCTATTCTGTATATTCTGACATTCTCTCTAGCCTCTGGTTTTTCAGTATGGCTTAGGAAACGAACCGTGAACCGGGAACCGAACCGTTCAGGAACCGGCAGGCTAAGAACCGGCACGAACCGAACCGCCAATTATTCTTACGCAAACCGAATCGGCACGAACCGAACCGCCAATTATTCTTACGCAAACCGAATGGAACCGAACCGGTTCCACATTCTCAAAAAAATTATTTTGTCAGCTTCCGGGGGTTCCGAAAATGATTTTCGCGAATTGAAAATCAAATTGGAAAGAGGAATCAACTGTAATGAATGGATTCCTGCGCAACATAATCTGCCAAAGTGCTGCAGGAATTGCAAATGATCAGTGCTGCTACTACTGCTGCTACTACTGCTACTACTGCTACTACTGAAACTACTGCTACTACTGCTACTACTGCTACTAAGAACTGTTGCTATTACTATTACTGTTGCTATCACCAGCACTACTGTTGTATATTATATTACTACCTCTATTACTAGCCTCTCTGCCCGTTCCTGTTCGGCAAAGCCCGGTCGGGACCCATACCTGCTGGGGAACCGCTTACGAGAGGCTACTATTTTTCTTCCTCGTAGTCTTACTAGAACTAGTATTACTTCTTTACTATTATATGTACTAATTCTACTTATCTTGCTGCTACTGCTACTGCTACTGCTACTCCTACTACCTACTACTACTACTACTACTACATCTACTACTACTACTACTACTGCTACTACTACTACTACTAGTACTACTACTACTACTACTACTGCTACCACTACTACTACTACTACTACTACGACTACTACGACTACTACTACACTACTACCTACTACTACCACTACTACCACTACTACTACTACTACTACTACTACTACTACTACTACTACTACTACTACTACTACTACTACTACTTTTTTCCACTTTTTGCCAAAACAACTCCGAAAATGATTTTCGCGCAGTGAAAATAAAGTTAAGGAAAACATCTAATACTATTCGTCCTCGTACGGCTAGACTACTACTGCTGCGCCTATTACTATTACTGTTGCTATCACCACCCCTACTGTTGCATATTATATTGCTACCTCTATTACTAGCCTCTCTGCCCGTTCCTGTTCGGCAAAGCCCGGTCGGGACCCATACCTGCTGGGGAACCGCTTACGAGAGGCTACTATTTTTCTTACTCGTAGTCTTACTAGAACTAGTATTACTTCTTTACTACTACTATTACTAATTCTACTTATATTGCTGCTACTGCTACTGCTACTGCTACTGCTACTACTACTACTACTACTACTACTACTCCTGCTACTACTACTACTACTACTACTACCACTACTACTGCTACTACAACTTTTTTCCACTTTTTGCCAAAACAACTCCGAAACTGATTTTCGCACAATGAAAATAATGTTTGGCTAATATTCGGGTTTTGCAGGCATTGCCTTAATTTCGATGCCTGAAAACGACTTTCGCCATATGAAAATGGAATTTGGCTGCTGATTGAATCTCTGCCGGCCACGACTGGATTTCGACAGCTGAAAGTGATTTTCGCAAAATGAAAATGCCGTTGGCAATGGATCTGTCAATTTCACTGTACACTGGTTAGATGTACGAATTCTAATAGTTGATGATAATGATAATCATTATCCCCAATCCAAGAAACAGCATAAGCACTTTAGTCATCAAAAAACCGTGGTTTTGGACACTGCTTACTTAGATGCTGCAAACACTCGGCCCCACCACCAGTTTGAAACATTCAAAAACCAAATCCCTCTGCTGCAACATAACATTACTATTTGCTATTCATCCAAACCCATTCTGTCAAAGACCTCTCGTCCTGCAACACTACACAACACGAACCGAACCGAACCGAACCGCCATGTCACACGAACCGAACCGAACCGAACCGCCATGTCACGCGAACCGAAACGAACCGGCCTACTGATGAACCGAACCGCCCCTATTTGAGGTTTCCACGAACCGAAACGAACCTAAACGAACCGCAGCCTTCCTGGTTTTTTCAGTGCCGGACCGAGCTCTGGAACTCGGGAAGTAACTCTGACAAAATCTAGAGACCCTCACCTGGCAGGTGGGGAACAACCAACAATGTCAGAAGTTCATTGCCACTTGGAATGACGCGTGTCTAAATCAAAGAGATCACCATAACCTGTCACATCTGAGAGAGGTACAGTATATTATGGGATTGTCCAAAAAAAACGTATCACAAAATCCATTAGGTTTATTTTGTCCCCGAAGAAAATCAGGGGAGGTCAACGCCATTTTTGGACCCATATCGCAATTTACGATTCTCAAACCACTTACGAGGCCCTTTTGGGCATCTGAAGCGTCCGAAGCTTGGGGAGAGCAATGCCGTGCCGAGCTGCCACCATTGCAATCATCCATGGAATGCACATCGTGGCTGCCATTGCCTGCATGGGACTGCGAGTGCCCGTCAGTAAACCAACACTAGTTTGAAATCAACCGTTTTCAGAATGTTTAGTTTGATGACTTTCCCTGAAACCATTGATTTTCCTCTATATGATTTTGAGGGTAAGCATGGATCGTATGAATCAAATCGCTTCACTTTGGACTCTTTGACAGTCGGCTGCTAAAGATCAAGATCTTTCACGTTCCCTCCTGTTTCTGGACAGTGTAAAACCATAATAACACTGTTTTTGGACCATAATAATTTCAACATCAAAAAGGTTTTCAAAAAAAAACTGTCGAAAGAGTAATTTTAAAATAAAAATAATGTGGCAAACCCACGAATGAACTACCCTCTGGCGATGATTTACACTAACCCATGTATGGTAATTTGGTGATTGTTTCTTATTGGGTTTACCACATTATAAACTTGTGCAACCTATCTTCAGATTGCTGAAACCATGTTGGTTCTGGGTCAAAGCCTCCGTGAAACCCAATGAAATCCCCTCTCTGGCGCCTTTCCAAGCGCCCTTGCCCTTTCCAAGTTCAACTCATGTGAGTGCTCCGGGTTGTCGCCAAAACTGTAGCCAAATGCAGACGACAAAACTGAAATCATCGGGGGGCCAACTGCATGGGCCAAGCAATTCCTCGTTTCAAGCGCCGGCGAGGTATCAAGAAAATCCTTCCGGAGATAATATAATATACAATATATTATATATACATAATATATAGTTTATAATGAGTGTATTTAATATAATATAATATAACATAATATAATATCATATAATGTAATATAGTATAATATAATATACTATAGTATAATATCTTATAATATAATAAAATATAATATAATATAATATAATGAATAAAATATAATACCATATAATAAAATATAATATAATATCATATCATATCATATCATATACTATAGTATAATATCCTATAATATATTATAATAAAACACACTATCATAGTGCAATATTATATTTAAAACAAAAACGATAATATATAATAATAGAGAGTGGGACGCCACCAGGTCCCCAAAAATACGTGGGTTTTAAGCGTTCTTTTGAATATTTTATGCTTCCTTTCCCTCTTTTGATCATATATGAAAGGTCAAAGCCCTTGGGAGATGTACTGTTTCTGGTTTGTTAATCCTTAGCTCTATTCTTGGTTGCTTGCTTTTTGTAGCTCTATTGTTTTTTGATAGGTGGTCTTAGTGCATGAATGGCAAAGTTCTTTGCCCAACAACATCTTGAAACATAGGGATTCATTGTGTCAGTTGGTACTTCATGTATATATTATATATTAATGTATAGGTACTACCTAGGTATACAGCTATTGCCAAGACAGTATATATATACATATACATAGCACTTTGTATTTGCATTGGTGGTTTTTGATATTGGATTGCCAGGTCGCCTTTTGGTTGACATCATAGTTCCAAAGGAACTCTTTTAACAAATGAAAGTGCAAATTCCAATCTACTCTCCCTCCTCAAGTAGTTGCATTTTTTTGGCATACTTCATGGTAACTTGCTGCATCAATGCACAAGCAAGGCAGCCATTCTATAGATACAGTTGTTTGGTAAGGTTGCTTAAGTGCTTCCTTTACTTGGTCTTGTGCCCTTCTGGTTACCATGACAAACTTATACTGACATAGTTTAAGTTTTGCCCACAGCCATGAGTACATTTATGGTAATAAAATGTCTGCCGTTATATTTGCAGTGACACAGCAAATTACCATGGAATATGGAGGTAAAAACGCCTTTTCTGAAGCAAGGGGGAAATGGAAGTGCCCCTGGAATTTGCCAACTCTTGTGATCAATCGACATTTTAAGCAAAGATCTGTTACTGCATTGAAACCTGGAAGAATACCATTGCATATGCTGGAAAAATGTAGAAAACTTGTGTCTGTAGGGGCATAGGTGACTTATATGCCACCCATGCCATAACTGTATGTACTATATGAGAAAAATGTATATATAAAATAGTTGCATTCTAAGTGCAAATGCAGCTTTGGATGTGTTGACACAGCAAATGGCTATGGTGAAGCTAGCATGCAGAAACAACCCCTGAAACTGTTTATACAGTTTATAGATCAAAGAATTAAGGACAAGAGTGAATATTGATCAAAAGGATGGAGAAGGGACCCCTTTCCATATGAATGCATTCTGGGAGCTGCTACTTCCTAGTCCAATGTCATAGCTGTGTTCTGTCAAGTTTTATAAACAGTCTTACCTCTTTTTAGGTGTTACTCATCCTGCCATAAAAGATCATAAAAGCACAGCCAAGCAATTATGGTAACAGGGTACCTGGATTAGATATGCAGTGGCATAGCAAATTACTGTGAAATATGTAGGAAAAACATATTTTTGGAGAAAGGGTAAGTTGGAGCTGCCCTTACCATGTGCCAACTCTTACGGGCACAGTCAGTTGCAACCAAAGAGTCTTTATTGCAGTCAATCCTGGAAGAATTCCATTACATATGCAAAGTACATGTGGAAAATGTATGTGCGTATTGCCATGCGCTACTTATGTAGCATCCACATCATAGATGCATACAGTAGTACTACTACAAGGAAAATGCAAGTCCATCAATGTATATAGGAGGGCTATATATAGGAGGGCTAGGAGAGGGGGGAAGCTCATAAAAAAAAATGGCTCCCTTTCCTTGGCCACCTCTCCCCTAAGGTATACACACACTATGTTTGTTTTTCCTCCTTCCTTTTCCCTGGGAATCTTCATGACTCTCTGGACATTCTTTGGCAACCTTTGGCAACCCCTGAGGAAGTCTGACAATCTGTGTGGATCTCTAGCAATACCGTCACAGGTATATGATCATAAAAGATCGAACATGATGTAGCAGAAGCACTGCATTCCCAGAAACGTGGAAAAATGGGGACCTGACAGCGTCCTTTTCTGTAATAATACATATAAGAAAACATATATATATACATAATCGAATATTATGTATACAAAATGTGTATATATAATATTATGTGTGGTAACTACATTTAAATATGCTGATTTTAAAATGTACGAACTAGTATTTTGGAGTACCTCCGGAAAGATTTTCCTTGGCCCACCCTGCCATTTGTATAAATACTGTATACGGATTCTAAATATGAGAACAACCATTTAAATATACGAACGGAACTGGTATTTCATACTACCTCCGGCGCCGCGTGGTCTGGCCCGCCCTCCACATACATACATAAATGTTGTTACCGTATAAAATACTAGATATCCTATTAATTACTATATATAATAAATACTTACACCCGACATGCATAAGATTCCTTGTCCAGCCGACCCTTGCGCGAACGCCATTTAATGTGTTTTGCCGTCACTGGAGCTGGAGCTATTCCGAGATTCTCAAAGGCACTCTGCCAGGCAATCACTTTGCAGCTGTCTTCGGCGGGCACAATGCCAGACAGAATGGGAAGGTTTGCAGCACACTGGGGCCAAAATCCGAAAATGCTGAAGATCACAATGAGGACCAAGTACACCCAGAACAGGCCTATAGAGGCAGAATGTTCATGAATTTTCACTGTCTCCGAACCTGCTAAGAAGATGGATAATGTTCTGGAAGAAACGATTACAGACCTTGGATGTCCCTTCCGAGTGGTGAAGATTTTGCTCCAAACTGCACGTTACACACAATGTGTATCTACGAGATTCCTTAGGGATCTTTTAAATAGATAAATAATATATGATGTATTATGTAATTATATTAAATAATATTATAATATGCCTAATATGACTAATTATGATAATTCATGATATGTTAGGAGACGCTATCCGCTATCTTAAAGCGCAGGGATGATTTGTTCATCCCGCCTTCCCCTGGAGGAAGGCCGTAGAACTGCAAAAACATGACGGGGATGGCAATGGCCAGTGCCAATTGCGCGCACAACGGCCGTCCGAAGCGCCCTCGGCTCGGGGGCGCGGGCTCATGTCAGGCTTTGAGTCAACATTGGGAGGGCATGCTGTGCCCCAAAAATTGTGGTTTTATACTTAAGCAAGAAGTCTTAAGATTGAGAATGTTGACCCCCAAATTCTTCTCATGCCTTTCATAATCTTTCATAGCGATTCATCATCAAATCCTTCCCATTCGAAGCAGACGGTGCGACCTCTGTCGGCATCCAAGGATCCCAAGCGTGCGAAGCAATCCCCCATTCTGCCACCCAAAATTGTGCCCAGCATGGCAGTAGCCTGCAAGGGGCCCGGAGACTAAGTAGACGAAGTAGACAAGATAAACAAGCCACAACAGGCCAAGGCGACAAGGCCAGAAGAAGCCGGACGCCACCCAACTAAGTAATGGGGAGACAAGTATAATCAAGGAAGTATGTAGGGAGAAAGCAAAAAGAAAAGTAAGGAGACAACAAGTGAGACAAACCACAAGCCCGAGACATGCAGGCAAGAGTGACATACAGAATATCTATACCCGCAAAGTGCTTCTCAGGCTGATATTTGATAGATTTTGTATGATTTTGTTAGCATCCTTTACCACCTGGTTACCACCTGAAACTGGGATTCTGCCATCCCCATGGCGCCTTGTTGGCTGCTGGCAAGATACTGACCTGTCACAAGGTGGAGCGACAACACAGACTACCAGCGATGCACCGGGAACGAGACTGGGATCACAATCGGAGACCCCTTTCCAGAAATCGGAGACCATCCGAATATTTCATATTTCTTGATCTTTGCTATGCCATGGTACAAGTATGCCCCAAATTGGCCAACTAATGGGGGTCGTGGTATGACCAACTGATCAACTCCTGACCGGGTCGCCATGGGTCGCCATGGCCTGCCAATCTTTCAAGCCGCAGAGCTGGAAGAAGAAGATCTTCTGGCCGAAGACACTCCACGGGATCCTGGAAGCACCCAAGGCTCAAGGGATCCCAAGGGATCCCTTGTGGGACCGTTGAACGAACATCTTCAACTATTTCATTACAATTGTATATTATATTTGGCCATAATGGCTGCAGGAGTAGATATTCCATGATATTCCCAGATTTCAATTTGTAAACCACATATTCTTGACGGCTCAAATCGCTAATATATCAGATGATTTTCTGCGTCGCGGGCCGTCCCAACTAGTGGTGTGACGTGTTTTTTTCTGCGACTGATTTTCGTCGAGAATCGTTGCAAAGATGCCGATGAAGACCAAGATGAGAAAGGTGGGCATGCGCAAGAATTGTATCACAGCACAAAGCTCCTTCAGAGCATCTCACTCAACCGCAAGAAAACTTATAGATATAGAATGATATAGATTCTATAGATACTATAGATCAGAAAAATTAGCCGCTCTGCTGAGACTCTGTTGGTCAAACATTTAAAGCACATTTAAAGCCACCGTATGAAACATCATTGGCGCAGCGATGTCGATGTCGTGGAGTGTTCATTTACAGCCTTGAGGTGCCAAAACTTGAGGCCCAGCGGGATGATGGCTGGTTGGTGGTTTTAGCCATCTTGAAAAATATGAAAGTCAATGGGAAGGATTATCCCATATATCATGGAAAATAAATTTGAAACCACCAGCCAGATGGGATTCTGATATGTTGAATACAGATTCTCTAGATCCCTGGCAAAGAGTAACTCCAGCTAGCTACTGCTAGCTTTCGCGATATCCGATTCAACTTAAACACATATTATCTTCCCACCATGAAGATGAACAATCGTCACTATCATCAATCAAGGCATACAGAAAAGATCAGGAAAGGATACTTCGCCAAAGTGGATCATGTCGAACCATACGTGACGATACCCCACTGCACCACAATGGGCCATGGGGGGTGTAGCGATCCTTGCTAGTGAGTGCAATATACAGTCAACACCTTTAGTCACAGCAATTTCGTTGGATCCACATAATTCCCTTGCGGAGAAGTCGCTACGACCCCCTCAGAGCAAGGTCGCAGCAACCATGTAAATCACCATGAGAATAGCCTGAATTTATGAAGTTGTTTCTTGCAATCCTTTCCCCTAATTATAGCAGGGTCACAACAAAAGTGCAATACACAATGAAAATGCCCTTGTGAAATTGCTTTTCCACTTCACACCGTTGATCATATTGCAGGGGCAGGAGCCTATCCGCAACTTTTTTCCATTCACAGGTAATCTGGCATCTGGACATACCTGCTTGCGCGGTTGGCTTTCCAAGAATCGTACCAAGCTTTCCTCGAGTCTTTCTTCTTCAAAATATTCGATTTCAGCACTTCGGTCTGGAAAATGAAGCTCAAAGAGTGCGTCTTAGTGCATTTCGACTTCAATCGGTCAACGTAATATTGAGCAATTTTCTCCAGATCAGGAGGCGGAACATTGAAATGGACACAAATCAGCTTCACGCAATTGCGGGGCTCCAACGGGCTCCACCGTTTACTCTTCTTGTGGAGATAGCGTGGATGGAAGAAATCCTGCACCACCTTGGATACTTGAAACTCTCTAAACAAGGGAATAAACCACCTATTAACAGGAGCAGGATTTCTTCCATCCACAGTGTGGCGACACACGCCGAATTTGTAAATGCACCTTGTCAAGATCTGGTGTGCCCGGTTCCTTCTCCACTCTGCGTTTTTTCACAGGCGTCTCCATGGCAAAATGCCACGACAAAATGGTACCTTTCCTCCAACTCACAAAGACCCTGCCAAATAGCGGCCTGGAAAATTACAATTGGCTAAAAAGTGCCCACTCTCAGGGACCAACTTGGTTTGTGGGGATGTGAGTTGGTTTATGTTGAGATATGCTACTACGTGTGTGTATAAATATATATATGTCTCATTGTGCTATCAGCTGTGTTTTAGGTGCTACATATTATTACAATTTGAATATATATATATAGTTATATATATATATATATTGATGTGTCCCAACAATGGTAATGGGACTGCTGCAGAAACGCTGGAGCCACTACCTCTGCAAACCAGGAACAGCCTCCAAAGCACATTCACCCGGCTGGGAAATATGTTTCCAACGCAAGGGAATAACCTGATTTGACCCATAAAATAGAGGTTTAAAACATAGCTAAACCGCAAGGCACAACAAGAATCGCTACGACCCCCTAGATATGCTTTCCTGCACCTAACTGACTTAAAAACATGAAATCGCTACGACTAAGGTCTCCAACTGTACCATGGTTATAACTTATAACCCAGTTGAAAATTGGATATAATATTATAATAATTGCATTGCATTGCATTGCAGGGTATTGCATTGTATGTCTAATGAGTCTAGTGCAATGTATTTATGACCGGAGGTTGAGATTCATCATAACTTCGTAACATGTCGTAACCATTCAACTGATTTTCATGGTGTATCTCATCAGTGTTTAACGGTGTCCGACGGTGTCCTGTCCAACAATGGTGAGGAAACTCGCAGGCTTCACCTGGAAGGCACCAACAAAGCCACCGAAACTGGGTCAGTCTTAGCGGCCTTCAATCATCGACCATCCCGTCTCACTTGGGGTTGATCATTAAAGATATTTGAAGATGTTTGAACCCAGAGGCAGTTTGAGAAATTCATCTTCATGGCATGGTAAAACAATGGTAACACATGCCACTTTGGTTGATTTCAAAAAATCACCTCACTGCGGATGTCCCGGATCTCCCGGACGGATGGGGGTTCCGACAGGAAGAATCTCAGAAGAAGAGCCAGGGTCATCGACAGCACACCGGCTGCTGCGAACAGGAAGCGCCAGCCGGGGAGGTACCGATTGGCGCCGGCCAGCCAGTAGGACTGATTCGCCATGTTTACCTCGGAGAGTTGATGTGACACTGGAAAAAAAACTCCCCACTTTGGCCGGATACAACTCACATAGAAAAAAGAGATCTGATTCAGCAAAAGCAAGATAAAGCATGATAAAGCAAGTATCGGCAATGAGGTCAGAAACGAACATGCCGCACAGCAAAGCCCCTTGGACTCTTCCAAAGACCTTCCCACGTCGGTTCTCACTGGTTAGATCTGCAACGATTCCGTTGCATATTGGCCTCAGGGCTGCCAGGAAGAAGCCACTGAAGGCACGGACAACCATCATCATCGTAAAGTTGGGGACGAAGGCAAAGCAAGTGGCTGAGATGCCTTCTCCCAAACAGCCCACAATGAGAATCGTCTTTTTCTCCAGGGTGCCACGGTCTGCCAAAGCAGCCCAAAAGGGGCCAGCCAAATTGGTCAAAATCATCTGCACCGTAGTCAGTGCTGCAAAGTGACCTCAAAATCTTTGCATTCCGAAATTCGATTTTTCAGCAGAGCCGCAAATGGGACCTCACTGACTTCCCTAGATAGTATAGTGCTTTTTGTAGATTTTCAGGATGCTGGTTCTTGCTGGTGTATGGTCGGAAGTTGTTACTTTGATGATCGTGAGTCACCAAAAAAAATAGCTACAGAATGCCACGGATCCAATTTCAGGCAATTTCTGGGTGCCTTCGTACAGAAAAGAAGTCTTTGCAATCCCACTGTATAATAGTCATTGAAGTCTTTGCAATCTCACTGTAGTCGATTTGGGTTTCTGCTAAAACATGTTGAGACACGGTAAAACTTCTTGCGTTTTTTGGCAAACACGACAGCTGTGCCTGCACAATTGCAAGTCCATTTTGAATTCTACATGTCACAAGGTAAGACCTAGCCTACCTACGCCACTGTGAATTTTGCTGTGTGGTTCTTTGACGAAAAGGAGGGAGAGAGAGAGAGAGAGAGAGAATGGATGAATGAGAATGAGAAGAGTGCCTCAGCATGCCTCAGCGGAGATCGGGGCAAAGCCACGACAGGCAGGCTTTCAACGACACCCACAGATCACTGATCATTTGATTTCACCGTTCCCAAACGGGTAAGCTGAGATATTCATCTCTAGTCATAACTAAGCGGCCAAAACCTGCTGCCCATCTGGTTTCAGACTCTTCAGAAGGACGAATTCAATTCATTTTGTCGCCGGCACTAGTTGGGCTTGACTGAAAATACCATAAATTTACCCCAAATCCAATGCAGTATCATCATATTCCCATATATTCCCTATTCCAACTGTCATTTGTTGGGGAACCAATGGGGAACCCCCTTCTCAAAAAAACCCGGCAAACCTCATTCCAAGGGACTGAGCTGGAAATCCAAATTTTCCTGCAGCGCTTTCTGGCAGGCGAAAATGAGTTGCGTAGCGACCCCCTTCAACGCAATGGTTGAACACAACCAGAACCTCAGGAAGCCGCCGGAAATCCGGCAGGGCTCCTACGACTTTTGTGATCAAATAATAATCTAATCATAATCGGTGGATCGGTGAATGAAACGTCGTTGCAAAGTCACAGCAAGAAATGAGGTATAGAAGAGAATGGCCTGTGTAAATCTAAGGCAAATTAACCATACTGAATCTATATGCAATGACGTAAATGGTGTTGCCTGACTAGATTTCATGGTTTTCAACTTGCAGAAGGAAATCATAGAATGACATAGCATGACTCTATTTTCTCAAGTATTACTTTTTACATCTTTTTACTCACTTCCTGACTGCCGCCCACAATGACACTGGAGCAACAGGACCGTGTTGGAAGGCTCGCGATCCTTGTCGTCACGTAGAGACGCCTTCCGCTCCACCTGGTTAGGCGTTGAGATGCGTTGAGGCTTTACCCATCGCAGCTACAACTGCCAATCCCACCTTGGAAACTTTGATCTTGTCCAAGGCTCGCCCATAGATCACGATCTGGGGTTCCTGTCCAGGAGACGACTCTGGAAATAAATCATTTGAATCTGCGCAGCTAACGTCAGCTCTCCTGATCATATTTTGACAGACAAGGTTGTCCTCATGCGTTCCTGTGCAGTGGTCCAATATATCGAGAGTACATGACACAAACCTATAATTACATCTATAGTGGTGAACCAAATAAATGGTATAATTATCGAATGCGACCGAAACTTATGGTTCTTCAAATCCAAACCCAGCAACCCCACAGCTTCACACCTCCAAATTCACAGTGCTTGTTGAACTTGCGGTGTGGAAACTGAAATACCCTGGACCCGGCAATGCCTGCGATGACAGGGTGCTTCCACCCAGAACAGTGCTGACATGATGTATATATACATACAGCTAACAAGGAACCAGTTGATGAACTTCGGAATGGAGGAATTTCGAACTTCCAAGAAATTCAGCTGGATTCTCCAAATTCCAGTTTCGTTCATTCATATAGCGTTAGATTTTTTGAAGCGACAAATGGTAACTGAAAAAAGCACCTGGTGTTTGCTATGCCCCAATCCATTCAGGGGCGTCCGGGACCGCCTACGAAGCAGTTGCGAAAATGAGGAGGAACCGCCATGAACTGAGGCTAAGCCGCAGTTCAAAATGCATAACATCCAAATCCCAAATGCTCCATGTACGAAGTATAACTGAGTAATTATTTGAAAGGTACAGTAACATCGAAAGCTACACATGACAACAACGACACTCCTGGAGGGATCCGCATACAATTTACACCCAACCAAAAAAAAACGCAGAAAAAAACAACGATACTTCACGGATCCTTTGTTGCTATGCCGTTATTCCCAACTTCCAACAGATCGACGTCGCGTCTGCAAGGGGCCTCACGGATTCTGTTGAAGCCGTTGCTGGTCTCGGTCACTTCCGTCGTTTCCGTCGAAACTCGGGGCAACGGGGTCTCCGCAGAACCGGGAGCCATGGGAGGGACGCTTCTTGGCGTCACTTTCGGGTGGAACAGCGTGAGCCAAAAATGCTGGACTTGCGCGACCTCGACAGTTTTGGAATTGGATTCCAGACCTCATTAGATGTTTCATGATGTTTTGGAATCAATAGGTGTTTATAGATTTTTAATTATTTGTCAAGTGAGTGAACCTCTGTGAACATGTTTGAACCACGAACTTTGAAAAAAACATGTTCAACATAGGCTTTGCAATCTGGTTTTCACCGCCCATGCAACCCATGCAGTGTCCTGGTTGCCCCTTTCAAGAACTGCAGTCAGAAGGACTCCAATGATCAAGTTCCTCGTCTGACTCTAGTCAATTGTGCTGGCTCTTTTACATGGATGCTGGCTGACTGGCTGATCATGGGTGTTTCTAAGTGGTGAAACTGCCAAAAAAGAAATAGGTCTACCGCAATGTATACTGTAACGTCAAAATCCTACAAGAAGATACAAGCAGTATCAAACAGTGAAGTATTCTAAATTCATCTCAATTCAATAGACAGCAATTCCATACACTTTTCATCACACCGTCTTTCACAGAAGCCAGGGCACATGATCCCCATGGACGTGATGGCCATGAAAATGAAAAGCACCGGCAGAAACAGCAAGACATCTGATCCTTCTGTCCTGCAGGTGGGTCAACCTTCTGAAACAACTTTGATCCCAAAATACTTCAGAATTCCAGCTGACCTGCAACAGTAGTTTTGAGCTTTTCATACCATCAACCTAATAGTCTTCAACTCAATCTGACCTCTTTGACGTACTCAATCTGACCTCTGCTTCGGACACAGCTGTGAAGTTGGCCCATCTTCGCTGCTTTTTGTTCTCAACAAAACTCACACCGTGACCCACGGCCGACCTCTTGCGGATGATCTCCATGCCGTTGTAGGTCGCGATCTCTGCCAGCGAGAACATGGACTCCAAGACCTGGTGAAAGCATCGAAAGTTATGACAGTTATGTGTCTAGATGTAGTACTATGTAGTACTATGTAGTACTCCAAGGCCACAAGATGGTCTAGACTGCTAGAGATGTCTAGAGTCGCATTGATTTTGGTTCAGTATAGAAATTCACCGGGGGTGTCCTTCATGGCTACCAGCCATCCAACCCTGCACCAGTAAGGGCAAGCGACCCCACCCCACTGGGCGGCCATCAATGGGTCGCTACCATTTTGGGACAGCGTGAAGACCAAAATGCCGAAAATGTAGCCTTTGGAAACTTTCCCATAGGATCCATGTATGGTATATATGGTAACATTGGGGGTATATTGATGTATATTGATGGTAAATGTTACCATATATACCATACATGGATCCTATGGGTTTGGAATGGATGGAAATGGCTGGATCTGGAGAATCCATGAGAATCCTATAAAAATGATCTTAGCAGTCTAGGAGTCTAGAAGTCAAGCAAAGGCTCCAAGGGGTCCATGGGTGATGGTGAGTGTATACTCTGTCAGGGTATTATCGGTTTTATCCACACAACACCAACAAGACTTGATCGTTCATCACTTATTCACCAGGTATTCACGTAGTGACAGCATCTCAACTCCCAATATCAAACAGTTCATCGCAATGTGTGCCTGCAATGTTCCAACCGTGCCCAGCAAGGATATCCCACGTTTTGGAGATATCTCCATGATTGCTGTGAAACTATTTTTGCTTCTTAAAGCTGCTCCTGTCGGCTTGATGGATTGAAGTAATTTTCTATAAATCACCGGAAAAAACTTGCAACGTGCACTGCCCAATTGAACAATAAGTTTCAGTCAATGCCGGTATCCGTCATTACCAGCCCTTATTGCTTACAACCCCCGGTTGTAGTAACAAAAACTGACGTCAAAAGCAACAAGATTGGATTTCAATCCCAACTAATGAGGATGAAAAATAAACAATAGATGATATAATATGAATATGTGTTATTGAATGCCCAGTTTCACACAAAAATGATGACATCACCTCCAAATGTGGGAGTTTAATTACATGATTCCACTATGGCCAATCTTGGATGCTATTCGACAAATCACTTTATAAGTTGATTAGTAGTGTATATAATGTATATATATAATATATATATATATATCCAGATTGCTAAACTATCCATCCACAAGCTTTGATATTTTTGATTTACACCAATGAACATGGTTGTTTGGTTATAAGACATCAACTAACCAGATCACCCCATAAGTTCTAACTGCAACTGTGTTCACCTTGTTGGCATAACTAATTCTATATAGTTTTAGATAAGCTACAATTTTGCATTTACTTTACCAATCACCCGATCCCATTCATTATTGGCTAAAAAACAATAAACAACTTTAATAAACTACGTACTAACCCCGAAAGTCTTCGGAAAACAACATGTTTCTGGGGGGTTGTCGTCTTTTTTTAAAAAGACTATGGGATACGTCTGGGGTTTATCTCCCAGGTCAGGCAACAAATGGCCGCCAACATGGCGATGGCCCAGAAGAGAACCCTCATCGAGGCAATCATCGAACTCAGCAGTAGCCAGAGCTGTTGCAGGATCCGCAGCAAACGTACCAGGCGCAGCAAACGCATCAGTCGTACCTCACGACGCGTGAAAACGCGAGCCAAATGTGACTCAGCTGTGTTAATGAATGGGCTGGGAAATAAAAAAAAATCAGCGATGATGATATAATATGGGTTTAAAACTAGGGTCTTCTATTTTGGATCCATTTTAGGAAGCCTCCATATATAGCAAACACGATGTATATGTCTATAGACAATATCTCTATACCTTATATTATATACATACACATGCAGACATGTGAATATTATATAGATGTTTAGAATTGTTTAGATATATGTATGATATTTGATATAGAGACAAATAGATATAATATTATATAATATGAATTTATATTCTCTATTAGGATACTATCCAATTGTAAATCCATGAGTTTGGTGCACCAATAATGGAGATACGGACAGATTTGACTCGATCCAACCTAGAATAGTACGTGGGAATTCTAAGCAATAACTGCTGGGGAATTGCTTAGTTCATCATTTCAAAATAAATGGTATTTGGTTGTACTACCACGTTACATCGACATGTTGATACATGTTGATACATGTTGATCGAAGGAAGTTTAGAAGTCAAACTTCCGACAATATGGACAGATAAAAAGCAGAGCAGGGCAGAGGCAGAGAGAAGAGGAAGATTAGAAGAGAGAAGATCAGAAGAGAAAGAGTAAGAGGACAGAAGATACAGATGCGCGAAAAGGTAGGAAAGTCGCGAAACACTGTGTTTTTCCAATGATTTGTGGCTCCGGAGGGTCGAAAAGTAGGCTCGCTAAAGCGGCGGGTGCGGAGCCAGCTGGCCACAGGAGCGATGAAAAATTGCACGCCGTTGTGGCGCGAAGCACATTTCCAAGTCAAAATGTACAAAACACCCAGGTTCGGACCACTTTTGGAAGTTGAGATGTCGAAAAAGTGCACGCCGTTGTGGCGCGAAGCACATTTCCAAGTCAAAATGTACAAAACACACCAGCTCGGACCACTTTTGGAAGTTGAGATGTCGAAAAAGTGCACGCCGTTGTGGCGCGAAGCACATTTCCAAGTCAAAAGTGTTAAAAACTGACGGTCTCGGACCACTTTTGGAGGTTCAGATGTCGAAAAAGTGTCGAAAAAGTGCACGCCGTTGTGGCGCGAAGCACATTTCGAAGTCAAAAGTGTAAAAAACTCAGGGTTTTGAGCCTTTTTTGACGTGCAGATGTCGAAAAAGTAGACACTGATTAACTTAACTAACTTGACTAGTTTAAGTAACTTCACTAACGTAACTATCCTAACTTCGACGACAACAGCAACAGCAACAGCAGCAACAACAACAACAACAACGACAACACCAACCACAACAACTACAACTACAACAACAATAGATCGATAGATGGAGAGATAGATAGATAGATAGATAGATAGATACATCTATAGATGCATAGATCGATACATGGAGAAAGATAGATACATAGAGAGATAGATAGATAGATAGACGGAGAGATAGATAGAGAGAGAGATAGAGAGATAGATAGATAGGTAGATAGATAGATAGATAGAAAGATAGTCAGACAGGTAGACAGCTAGACAGATAGACAGATGAAAGAGAGAGAGAGAGAGAGATAGATAGATAGATGGATAGATAGATAGGTAGATAGGTAGATAGGTAGATAGGTAATTAGATGAAAGAGAGAAAGAGAGAGATAGAAAGATCGATAGATAGATAGATACATAGAAGATAGGCTGGTAGGTAAGTAGATAGTCAGAGAAAGAGAGAGAGAAAGAGAGGAGACCTCAAGCACCTTTCAATCCATCAGTGGCTTCGCTCTGCCATCCCTGATTCACAACAACCAAGCTCTCCTATAGGTTTCCTATTTTTGAAACTTCCGCCACCGCCTTGTGCGGTACTACATGTTGATACATGTTGATACATGTTGATACATGTTGATACATGTTGATACATGTTGATACATGTTGATACATGTTGATACATGTTGATACATGTTGGCATCGTTACAATTTATGTCGACATCTGGGGGTATTCGGGAAACACCTTAGAGAACCTACCGTAACTACTGGCAAAATTGCACAATCAAAATCATTTGAAATGAAGTATTCGTAGCTGTTCCGCAAACCAACTGGCTTGGAATCAATCACCCTGTGTTTCAATGATATCGGCCGCTGCAAAGTCACCACACGGAGAACTGCGAAGGTGGATGTGCCCGCGCCAATGTTGAAGACAAAGGTGAGGAAAAAGTCCAGCCAGGACATGATGACGCACAACACATCGAACTGGATCCATCCATCCTGCCATGGGACTATGGTGGTGGCTATCAATTCCTGAGCCTGACAAATTGGATAGAAATTGGATAGGTGAATAGTTGAACCGCAGAGGGCACGCCATGTTTAGTTATTCTTGTTCTCTGTTTGGGTGCGAGGGGGTGGGGTGGATGTGGGACGATCATACGTGGTTGGGTTCACTGGCACTTACAATTACATGGGGTTAGGGTGGGATTGTTGTGGGGTGGGACGCGGCAACATCTTTAACTTCCACTTGCGTGCATAGCTGATCCATGCTGATCCTACGTTTGAGTTGGGGTTTGCTTGGTCCCTTGGTTTTCTCCTGGCGCTGGCGACAATTGTTTGGGGGTTGCAAAATATTGTTCTCAAATGAAGGAAACAAACGGGTTGGTTGACCAATTTCGTTGGGGCATGTCTTCTCAGCTTCAACCCATCACCAGGCGTCCTTCATAATACGACACAGGCTCCCGCAGCATCCATGGCTGCCACTGCAACGCTCTGCCAACCAATGGAGAAGAAACTCCACCGTGAAAATCGCCATACAAACCTTGGGTCATCGGAGTGGTTTGAAGGAAAAGCATGAACAATTCGTGTCCTTTTGCTATATGTTTTTTCTGCAGTAGGGTTTACTGATGGGCATTTTTTTTCTGGAATTGGTGTTTTAGATGTCTTCATGTTAAGCGATATGCGGACAGAAGTGGTCATGAGGATGTCATACAGTATCCATGGGCACATCGGGCACATCATTCTGCTGATGGTTCCAACTCACCCGACACAGTCATTGGGTGGGTATCAACCATCCCATTTTTGAATTGTTCCACCCCTCCATCGTCACTTCAGGCTCTGAAAAAGACATGGACAGCATGGAGAAAAGCATCAAACAAAAAGGTACCTTTTCGGCAAAATTGGTAGCTGACCAGGCTGACCAGGGCACAAGTTCAAAGATTTGGGCCTCATCGCTACTCTCATCCACCACACCCTGAGTGGTCAAGCCCATCATCGCACCATTCGCCACGATCACCAGACCGAAGAAGATGTCCATCAGAATGGTACTTTGAATCCTCCGCCTCTGGGGAGCGAGGCGTTGAATCATCGGATTCGAGGTGAATCTTGGAAGTTCGGGGCACCAAATCAAAATGAGCTGTCCGCAAAATACAAATCATGCAGAAACAAGAGCTGAAAATAGAAACAAACAATAACCTGGTTGGTGGTTTCAACCCCTCTGAAAAATATTAGTCAGTTGGGATTATTATTCCGAATATATGGAAAAAATTCCAAACCACCAACCAGATAACCTCACAACCGTTCAAGCACATGATTGCCCACGAGTCACTTAGGTCTCAGGCACTGGATTATTTACTAAAGATTACCGAGCCCAGCAAGCTGGTGGTGCGACTTGGTCTTTATTTTGCACAGGATAGCTACAAAATAAACAAAATGGGAAGATTCAGACATCCAGCTGCCAACAAATATAACTATTTTACATTTGTTCATACTGTTGTCTTTCGGTGTTGGCTCAAATTGACCCATGCAGTAATGGATTGGTTTCGTAATCAAACAGGACCTGAGAGTTGTGCCTTACCACCGTTGTTGCTGATTTGGGTGGAGATCTTCCATGACTAGTTCATCCTCCTGTCATCCAGTTCAACCAATGATGTAGTCATGCGGCAAACCCCAAAGAAACAAAAACAAACTATAGTGGTTGATGGTGAACCATAACTGGTGAAACAGTGACCCGAAACTGGATCGAAACTGGTTGAAGGGATTTTTCGCCAAAGTTATATAATGTTAAATTAGTTATATGATAGTTAAACACAACAGCTTTATAGTTAGAGAGTTGGTTGGAAATTCCACGGATTTCCACGGTGCCACCGGGGAAAAACCGGTGCCTGATGGCATCTTCCTCCACAAGCTGATCGATCTCTTCAGCCGACAGCAAACAGCCGAAACGGGTTTCCTCCTGACAACAACTGGTCGAGTTTTCTGCCCAAAAGAGACCCAAAAAACATAGCTCGTTTTAAACATCCATAGGGGACAATGAAATTGAAACACATCATAGAAAAACATAGTCTTAGATGTCTTAGTTGAACAACGTTGATCAAACATTAAGAAAAAAACATGGAAGAACCATGAAACACCAGAGAAAAGCACCCATGATAGGGGCATATGTATGCATATGTATCATAAACATATGATCAACATCAATATAGGTGAATATTCTTGGTAGTGACCCATGATGATGGGGAATAGATTACAAAACTATAGTCGACAGGAGTGGATCATGGTTGATATCATAGTATATACTAGGTCCACTAGGAATGGACATGAAAATAATCTATTTCACAATAGATATGGCCCGAAATCATGATAGCTGACAAATAAAATAAGATGGTCGCGGGGATGTAACGAAGAATACTAGCAAAGCATGGCACCTATGATATTGGAAATGCAAGCAAACTATCCATCTGCAGTGGATCTTGTTGATGTCATCATATCGGACCCGGCAAAGTGAGAGTATTGAAAATGGCAGAACAGCAATGATGCTGGTGAATGCTGGTGATGTCACACCAATGGTTGTTGGAATTACAGCCGAGTTGCCTCGACTTGCTCAGGAGTGATGCTACTCTCCACGTCTAATCGCCTCTGTTGCTCCTTGAAGTATTCAAAGGCCTGGAACGTCATGGTAGCACAACCCAATCTCGTGAGACAAAGCCAAATCTGGAGATGGTTTGAATCTGAGAGGTGTTGACCTTGACAGCAAAGAAAACATGCAAAAAGCTGTTGCGCTGACCTCAGAAAGTTGTTCATTTCAATCCAAGACCATCACAAACGGTGCTTGCACAAAACCAACTTAAATAGCCTCTGTCAGCTGTTTATTTGAAATGAAGCCCCTTAGATTTTAAAATTCTGACCCAACCTCCTGTGGCCAACATTGAAATTCCAGTGTGCCAACACCCAGGCCAAGGGTGAAAAGACAGGTGCCTCCAGAAAGGGGTCTGGTTCTGGGTGCTCTTGGCTCAAACGTCCCACATAGGCCTCCTGGCAAAACTCAAAGACTTGATAAGACTTGATGCATCCGAGCCATTCTACCATTTCATCCATTTTCATGGATATATGATATTTTTGGATATTTTCATGGAGATTTGATGCCTCCTCCATCCATGTTCAAATATCCAAAAATGGTGGTGTTTTGTAAATCATGGCTGAGTCCATCTGAGTCCCATCTCTCCTCAGAGGCGCGATGTCTTTGCTGCTCGCTATCTGCAGAGCTTCTGGAGGCCCTGGAGGCCCTGCCACCGCTGGGGAAAGGAACATGAAACGGGAGAATATCACCGAGTAATGGGAGTTTGATTGGCCATGACTCCAAGATATGCTTGAAGGGCTTGGAATGACAAAGAACAAGGGAGATACCAAGGAGTTTTCATCAGGATCCTTGGGAACTTGGGGGAACTACCCATGGCCCTGGGGTTGCCAAAAGGACTAATTTTGTGATTTTCACCAAAAACTTGTAGGTAAAGGTGGGAGAAACACAGCTTCCAGGCTCCAGGCTTTTACCTACAATGTGGTAGACATCAATAGTGGACACCAACAAGAACTTAGACTTAGTGCATGCTTCAACAAACGACCCCCCCGCGACTTCCAACACCCATGTGTTTTCCTGAAGGTCAACAGGGTTGGTCCAAGAATGGGTACCGCTAAAATCTAATTCTTTACCTTTCCCTCTGAAAATGGCCATGAATTAGGGCATCCCTCTAGTCTTGGACAAACCAGATATCACATTGTTGCTCACCTACAGGTATCACCATTATATACCAGTTCCCATGCAATATGTCCACTATACTCTCAATTTTTGTTGGCTAAATCTCATGGGTGTCATCCAACAGCCCATGCCCACCCTTTCACCCAGCGCCTAAATCTCCTCAGTTGTGGAATGATAAGTTCATGGGGGGCAAGGTTGGTTTGAGGCGTTCTCACTCATTTATTTTTAAATTGGGACCGTTGTCGAACATAAATCATTAAATGCGTTAATTAATTAGTTTCAGAGATCTCGCTGCAAAAGGACATGCACCAAGCATGAAACATCCAGATAATGTTCAGTGAATTCATGACATAGGCCCATAGGCAAACATCGTCGCCATTCATATCAGCAGAACCCAGCTTCATCCCTGTGCAAGATCATCACTGTTCATCCTTAAGCATCTGATGAACATACTTGATCAACTTAAAGCAATTGATCCAAGTGAGACCCAAGTGAGATCCAAAGGGCACGGACTCACCACTCGCCAAGCTCATGTTCGACGCGCGGATGTTGGGGCTCTTGGGCGACCGCGACACGGATGACGCCGAGCGCAGGGCAGGCTTCGGCGAGCGTGCGGTGGTGGTGGGAGATTTACTGGGCATGGGACCACGCCATGAGAAACGGCCTGGGCAAGGACGGCGATGGGCGATCGATTCATCGATCTTTCCGGTAAAGTTTTTCGAGGTAAGGTCGATTCCTCTTGCCTCACCGGAATGACCAAAGTCTCAATCTATGTCTATACATTGTTCCAACATGTTCTACCGTACGGAAAGCACCCAAAATCCATTGCACATCTGGCCTCCCGGTTCCGGTGACCTTTGCTCCGGCGACGAGGGTGGCATGGCGCCAAATTTCTCCGGCTCAAGAGGCTAGAAGAGGCCAGAGCGACAATGGCCAGGGTTGGTGCAGAAGAGTCTTGAATGTTTGCTCAGTCACTCTAGCTGTACGAACGAAATGGGGTCCTTTTTCGTCTGTGCTGAAATAGGTGTAATGCAACTTGTGGTGAAAGTGTTCCAGCGATCGGGCAGGTGTTCCTCAAATCTTCCGGATCCGCCGTCTTAAATCAATACGCTCTGCGCGTCCGTATAGAAATGACCACAGTGGGGTTGCCACTTTAAGCCAAAGCAACAATACGCATTCACTCCACAGCATCCTGGCAAAGAACAGAACTGCAACCAACGTTCCAGTGAACATTCCACTGTCTTGATGCAATGTCTGGAACATATATTATACCAGTGATCATCACTAACAATCAGCGACACTTCATGTGCCACTTCATGCGCTGGTATCTCCAAGACCCGCGGGTTTTTCATCAAAGAGGCAGGTCACCATACAGTCAGCGCCAGCGACTAGATGGTCATGTTATACAACACCTCAGATACTACAACAATATAGATAACTATGCACATAACAATATATCAAATAATGCATAATAATACAACATATTAATTATATATAACAATACATCACATTTGAAATGTTGAGGGTTTAAGCTAAACCAGCGAAACCGCTGCATCCGTAACTTTCACGAACTGGGAGTCACCTCAGAGGGACAGTCCGCTTTCCGCAAGCGCAGCTTTTTCTCGGCGCTGGGATGCGCTGCGTGGTTCTCATCTCAGGCCGGGCAGCTTCCTCACCGTGGTATAGGTTGGAATATAATGGAATATTTATGTATATATGAGCAATCTCGAAAACCCTAGGTTCACGGAAAGGACATCCACAAATTTGGGAAGGTCCCATCGCTTACCACACATTTGTACAATAATGATATGGTAAATTTGGGGGGTATCGCCTGCAGGAAACTGCTACATTTTTATATGTGTAATTCACAGACATCAACGTCCAATTTGGGTATCGCTAATGTGGATATTAGAGAAATACAATGACATAACCTTGAAAAGGGGTATCGCTTCATTTGGGAAGGTCCCATCGCTTACCGTGTGTTTTTAACAATTTCCATCAATTTCCATAAACCAATGTCCGTCCAATACATATTTAGAATTGCCGGGGTTTTTGCGTTGGCTCATATATATATATAATTACATATATATATATATATATGTTTTTTAAATAAATATAGAAGTACATATATATATATTATGTAATTATATAATTATACATAATGATGCAATGATGCATTATATTGGATATATGTGGCTGGAAAAAACATACACATCAGATTTGATTAAAAAAATGATAAAGATACACCTCGCATAAGACTTGAAGAGCTATGACAAGATTCCAATATGCAATCTTTGGATATCTCTATAGTACAAATACTTAGTAAAGTACTTCGTTCCTCAAACTCACGGAAGCTCACCGGTCTCATCTAGACTTCACTGATTTCCCTTGACATTCCGATCCTGTCTCTTCGCATCTCGCCGAGCAACCCGGCATTTGGCACTTGGGTTCAATAGGGTTCAGCAGTTTGCTGGGGCCTCTTCGTCCTTAGCAGTCTTGGTGGAGTAGTTGAAGAGACATTGACAGGAAACCGGAAATCATTTTTTCTTCCAAGAATGGGAGGGTTTGCTGGAAACCATTATTTTTACCTTCAAAATTAAGGTTTTCCTGTGTATTAGAACATCTGTGACAACATACGCAGGCATCTTCCTTATTGCAAACACCTCAAGCAAACTTCCCCCGCTTTTTGAAATACAGCCGTTGCTGATGCGAATCCATGCACCTTTTCCATGACATGATTCGTGACTCAGCCCACCATGGTCTACATGGCCTGAAAAGGAAGTGCGATGCGGCGATGCGGCGATGCTAGACCTGGTAGAAGTGCTGCTTCTCAGCCTCAGATTCAGGTGGCATCAGGTGGCTCTTCAAGGAACCCATGGCATCTGAAAATAACATTGGGCCCTCGATCAGCCCCTTTTGGAGGGCACACCAGGGGAAGAACTAGGTAAGATTGGATCTCCAAAATGGAATCAAAATGGCATCGGAAGAGGATGACTCAACAAACATGCTGATGCTGATTATGGTGGTGCTCTCATCAAATGATCCTGGATGTATATGATCATATTATGGGCCTTGATTGCTGATATTTACAGAGGATACAGTAGAGGATAGTGATGGTGAGCTGCAGCTCCTGCCGACGAGGTGGTCTCCGCAACAACAAAACCAGCTGGTTTCCAATTTGAAGGGACTTTCCTTGATGATAATCACAACAAAAAAACATGAACAATCCCCGACAAAATGCTGCCGCGGCCGCATCTCAAAGTCATCTTGAAAGCTCTGTGTGATCGCTGGAACATGCAAGATCATGCAAGTAAAGTGTCCATGGCTGGGTTTGTGCCATCATTGAGCAGTCTGAATGATTTGACAAATTTAAGGCCAAAAAAGTGTTTCTAGAACTGTCGTTGCTTGGTCAAACATGTTCACAAGTCACAAGTCTGAATTTCCCAGCAAGTGTCACTTGCTAAAGCATAAAAACTCGCACCGAGTGCACAGGATTTGGCAGTGCCGCATTGGATCATGGGATCCATTTTTTCATCAAACGCTGTACACGGTGAGTGAAAAACTGGGAACCAGAATCTAGCTTCTAGATGAATGGTGAGAAGATGTGAGAAGCTGCTTTCCTCACCATGGAAACTTGGCTGACCATGCTCCGTTTTGGACAGTTTCCATGGTCGGCATCTTGGGGTAGCATTTGGAAGAATCCAAGCGACAGGTGTCATAATTATCCTTCCAACTTCAAATGGCAAGTTGCGTACTCCATTCTGGTTCAAGATTGAAAAGAGTTTCTCAGTGGCCTGTTTCCCTCTTTTCAATCTATCCATGAATATTCATGGTATCAGCATCAATGCCTCCGGACAGTAGGAACATAGGTGCTACCTGGGCCAGAGGCGCGCAAACCCTTGTGTTGCGACTACCTCTTTTGTCAATGTGCCAATCTCCTTCTGTGGGGTGCTACCTGTAGAATGTAAATTTAGTTTGCTGCCGACATCCAGTGCTTTGATGACAGCTTCAATTTGGCACCACTCCACACCAACCAACATCAACGTCCATGCGAACAAGCACTGAAGCCACTGCAAGCCACTGAAAATGCCGTCACGCCAGCGTTGGAATGGCTTGCGGCACAGCGGGCACAAAGCACTGCTGGATTCAAGGAGCTGCAAAGCGCAGGTTCTGCAAATGGCGGAATGCCCACAAGGCTCCAAGACCTAACTGCAGTTTCATTCCTACATCGCGTTTTGAAACGTTCCCAAACCAAAACGGAGACATGATAAGACCGGTAAGGAGAAATTATAGTCAAGAGGTCCCTGCAAATCACGTATAACGCCAAGCGCACGCCATTCTGAACCCACTTCCCTACAACCTGCCCGCAGTAGGTTTCGTCATCTCACAATATCAAGGATATATCAATAATTTCTCATGAGAGTAATTACTGTGCCAAGTAGCAGTCTTGGAGGCCGCGTTCATGCAAACCTATCAACAGGTTTGTGCTCTTCCATCATCAAAGTGATATATACACAAAATTGATCAACATTGGCACTGAAGCAATTTAAATGAAAATCGGTCGGGTCTGTTCTGTGTGAATGTGTTTCTAATGTTCTTACTCCATCTTCCATGACTATGCATGGCTTCCACTGCCTGTGTGGCTTCACCAACTGTATAGCCGCTATGATCCCAGCCTGGCATCGTCGATCTCTCTCCAACTGCAGCTGCCTCAACAACTCGGTGGTTTGTTCCTGGAGCTGCAGCTTTTCGCAGGTGGGACCACATTGATGGCTTTCGAAAAAGCTTTTTATGCCCTCAAGCCCCAGATCTGCTCGGCCATACCTGGCAAGCTCGTCTTTTGGGCAACAAGAGGCTCACAAACCACAAACTGTGAAATGGAACTTGACCTTCATCATGAAACATATCCAACATCATAAACACTTACAGTATGTATTAATCCAGGTATATATCCAGATATATCCAGATCCTATTTGCATCTATGCAAATGTATGCAAAGTGGCACAACTCAAATCATGCAATGGCATGCAATGGCATGACGCGGTGCTTTATCAAATCATTCGCCAAATTCTTATTCCTCACTTCTCCGACCAGATACTTCTTGGTTCTAGAATGAAGCTGCGGATCTGTGAGCAACACCCAACCATTGTCAATGACGCCCTGAAGGTCAATGAGCAAAATGCTACCCTTGCTTCGAAAGTAGCTGTAATGACTCAGGGCTTGTAAGATCTCAGTCTCCGTCTCCAGCTTGGCTTCTTCATTTACATATCCGTTGTTTCCGTTGAACTTGACAAAGTGTCCCTCCAGTCTCTGCTCTCCCACGAAATACGATATGCCACACCCTGACTCGTATTCGTACAAGTAGCACGGAACAAACCAAATGCTGATCTCCACATTCACCTTTTTCAAAGCTTGTTTGAAACTCTCTCGGAGTCCAATCGCGATACTTGTGCACCGACAGAAGTGCAGCATCTCCTCTTTATCTGCATGAGGCTTCTGAATGAGACGCTTAGCTACCATTGGATGCTGACTATTCTTTGTCGATGCATCCCACATGCCAAAAACCAGGCGCATTCCTCCGAAGTTGAAGGGCTTCATGTCCACCGTCACTGAAACAACCTCCGCCAGCACCATTTCCTCATCGACATATGTCCATTTGTTTTTCTTCTTGTGCCTCTGTTGGATCAATCTGCATCGTCGTTTGCATTTGGTCTCACGGCACAGGGGGTCAAAGGGAATGTCCAATGCCGCCGATCTCAATGGTGTGGCGGATCTGTCACCCGAGCTGCTCGTAATGGTCGCAGCGATGGAAGTGAAGGCCTGATGCAACTGGAGTGGCTCCATCGAGGAAGTTTGGAAAGTCCCACCCGTGACCTCTGCTAAGGAGCGCAAGTGATGCCAGTGCTCCGATTGAGAACCGAAAGCCACGGCGTGCAACTCGAAACTATTGGCGCGATGTTTCTGCAAGAGCTGCTTGTCAAAGAGAGTCAAAACTGTGCGTTTCTCATAGGGTTTACCGTCTGACAAGAAGACCACCCTCACATCTTCAGGCACTGCGCTTTGACTCAAGAGTTTGTAAAGAGCTTGAAAAACTGATTGAAATTTGGTCCTTGGCCATACCGAAAGCGCAAGGGGTTCACCAAACAAGAAATTTTAATCTCAGTTACTAAGAACAACAAAAGGACAGAAGCTTTGGCAAAGCGTCTCACTCTTTGGGTTCACTTTGGCACCAACCTTCTTCATCATGGTTGCCGCTGCCTTCTTCAACAGTCTTTGGAAGACAATTTGAGATTGGCTGTTGAAGACGACCTAGGTTGGCATTCGAGCTTTAATCCAAACCACCCCCCTCCAACAAACACCTAATATTAATATGACTACCTAGCCTCAATCACTGTTGCTTGTGTGACATACTTCCAAATGATCCAAAATGTTCCAAAGATGTCCAAACTAGCAAAGTATCACCCTAAGAAAATGACAGGTCGCCAAGCTGTAGACATCCTCGCCACTTTCCGGCTGACAAACTTCAAAGAAAGACTGGCAAGAGTGAAAGACTGCATCGATGCGGCGAACCGTTGTCCGCAGCTTCACATCAGAATCATCAGAACCTTTACGATCCATCAGCAAATTTGTGTCCTCAATGCCCATGCCTCATTTTCTTGCCGGAATCGATCTGATTTGTCTGTTGCGAAGGGGGGAAAAAGGCAGTCAGGTAGTTTGTGGGGCACACTCTCAAGGCAAATGCTTGCCTTAAAGAAAAACCAACAAACTTCGATTGACTATCAATTTCAAGGTGCTTAGACTGGCATCAATCACCAGCACCACATGCAGCTGCTGCGAGGTAAACTTGGGCTGACGCTTTTCTTGGGGCTGGGCATAGGACTTGGGCGCCATCTTGCTGGTGACTTCTTGGATTTCCATGACCACATTTGCCAGCTCGGATTCCGAAACATCGCCTGAGCAATTCACAAATTCCAGAGCGGAATGTCTTTAAAAGTGCCCCAACGGTCCAACAATGGTGCAGAATAGGGAATCAGTTGTAGCTCCCAAATATGAAGCTGGCATGAGCTAGCAGCTACGACAGAGTGCGACGAAATGAAACACACAAAAAGTTGTGTCCGTAACTGAAAGGGGCTGTCATCCGACCACTCCACTTCTCCGGCTTCCTCTTCTGCGCGCTGCACAATTGCTTGGTTGCACGACAAAAGCGGGCCGGTACTGCGGAGCAGCCCAGTTTCCATGGCCATGGACCGCACTGCGAAGATGCTCGTGAGTTGTGTCTTGTCAACGATTAGATCCATGAAAAAGTGGAATGGGAGAATCTGTTGGACTTCATGACATCTTCAGTATCTTACTTATCACAAGAAGACTCAGAGCTATTCAGAGCATTCAGGGCTAGTCTTGTTTCCACCTATAACTGATTTACCTCATGCCCCACCCTTTCTCTCTTCGAGCTGGACCAAGAACATCAAGCTGAAGCCATTCCGCCCCAGTCGCCCCAATTTCTGACTGTACTCTCACAGCTGGGGTTGTGTAAACTCTTCCTCCCTTCAAACAGGTCAAATTCTTGGTGAAACATGGTCCGCATGGTTTGAAGGCTATGGAAATTCTGTATTCATCCACCAAAAGCCATGCCCTGCACCTCAGAACAGAGGGCCGAACTGTGATGGTCCTGCAGCTGTGGTACATTGAACGGCAGGCATGGCCTGCGAGAAGCTGCACAAGATGGCTATGAAACACAAGTCACGGATGCAAGGCAGAAAAACAACAAGTGAACACAACAAATAAATCAAATAATGTTATATGATATGTCATACCCTATCCCATTAGAATCCAGTTCCATCCCCATACCGTGATTGATTTTGCCCCAAAATCCCAATGTCTGTTGGTTAAATCCCCGTTAAGTCCCACTCATAGTTAGTTGGTTTTATACCAAGTCGTCATTTTTGTTGGTTAAACCACCATGGAATCCACAACAAAACAATGTAAAATGCATGTAAAAGCAATATTAACCCAGCTTTGCAACCCAACAGCATACCTGAATCTTCCACCTACGTCTTTTTTCAGACCCTGTGCCAAAGTCCTGTTTTTTCAGTACCCAGAAAACTTTTCAGGACCTACTCTCAAATTCGGGACCTGGCCATTTTGGGGTATCAATGGTAATGGCAATCATTGGGTGCAAACATGTGAAACCAACATTTGGTGGATATTCAAGCCATTGGCATTGATCCACGCAAATAAAAGCACTCCCAGCCCAAACTCATGGCAAGGCAGGATCAGAATATAGTATATTCCAGAAAGTATGTCAGAATAGATGCCAGATAGGATGCCAGAAAGAATGTCAAATAGAATCTCAGAAAAGAATGTAAGATAGTATGTCAGAACATATATGCCACATATACGTCCAGATGATATGTCAGAAACTATGTCAGAATAGTGTGTCAGGGTGGGGATCACTCTTAGTAAGGCAATTTTGAAAATATATTTCAGGTTCGGAATTTTCAAACTGTTGTCCTTCAGGCGCCGAAGCTCCCGTTGAAGGTCAGCATCGCCCTATGTCAATTGGTCCAGTCCCACTTCCATTTCAACAAGTCCAACTTCATCGATTAGGGTGTTGGTTGAATGGACTTGGGACTCTAGCTGGCACGGCATCCCTTGTAACCCTGTAGACACTGTAGTGGGCAAAAAGACTGTAACACACAGAATCAGCATCATTTTGATCAGGCATTCTTTTTGCTAATCCTTTCTCCCTATTACGAAAAATACCCCCAAATGACAAAAACTAGGTGCGATTTCCAATTTTGGGAAATGTCAAATTGGTTAATCTGATTTTTAATTGATCCCCTTGAGGAAACAATTTTAAAAATGAAGGTACCATGTGAGGGTTTCACCCCCAAAGAATAAAAAACTAGTCAACACCGGGGTGTCTTTTATTGGGGTCCGTCCTTTAAAATCGTCAATTTTAGTTTTTTTAATTCAGGTGTTGGTGTTTTATTTGGTACTAGGCGAAAGCTTCGAAATCCTATTCTTGGCAGTATTCTATTTAAAGATTATTTTCATGGATTTTGAAATTAGAAACAAAAAACGGTTTAATTCCTTCCCCCTGTTGCTAAACAGTCGCCCCTTCACCCACCCACCCAAATAACAAACACCTGGAGGAGTTTTTAGTATTGGGGGGGTCTTTAGTATTAGGGCACGAAGCTTCCCCCTAATATTGATAAAAAAAACACACACACACATATATATATAATTATATACACATATTTCTATTTCAACATCGATCAGATTTCTTTCTTTTAAATCCAATAAAAATATGGCAAACAAGTGGATTCCGAAGCTTAATATCAAATAAAAACCCCCAAAATAAAAATTTATGTATGTTTTTCTATTTCGAAATCGATTAGATTTCTTTTTAAAAATTAAATAAAATATGGCCAAAAAATTGGATGTCGAAGCTTTTCTCTTATATTAAACCCTAATATCATTTTGTTTTTTTTCCTGTTCCAAAATCGATTAGATTTCCTTTTGAAATCTAATGAAAAAAAACAAAAAATTGATTTTGAAGTTTTCCCCTAATATCAAATTAAAATCCAATTATTAAAATATGTTCAAAAATTGGATTTCGATGCTTCCCTTAATCTTGCATGAACAATTCCAATATAAAAAACTAAACTTGTTCTATTTCAGAATCGATTAGATTTCCTTGTAAATTCAAATGAAGATATTGCCAGAAATTGGATTTCGAAGCTTTCCCCTCATATTAAACCCTCATATCAAAGACTATTTTTTCTATATCAAAATTCATTAGATTTCCTTTTGAAATCTAATTAGAATATGGTCAAAAATTGGATTTTAAAGTTTTCCCCTAATATTACATTAAAAAACCCTAATATAAAATATTATTTTTCCTTTTTTGAAATCGATTCGATTTCCTTTTAAATTATAGTAACAAAAATAAAAACAAAAACCGGATTTCGAAATGTTTTCTCTAATATTAAATTATCAGCCCTAATATATTTAAAAAAAAATATTTCAAAATCGATTAGTTTTCTGTTTAACATATAATTAAGATATTGCTAAAAATTGGATTTCGAAGTTTTCCCCTAAAATTAAATTAAAAACACTAATAAAAAAAACTATGTTTTTTCGATTTCAAGAATCGATTAAATTTCCTTTTGATATCCAGTAAAAATATTGCCAGGAAATGCCAAAAAGTGGATTTCGAAGTTTTCCCCCAATATTATATAAACGTTGTAATATAAAATACTTATTTTTTCGACCTTAAAAAACCCTAGTTTAAAAAATCACCGGGGCTGACTAGTTTTTATTTTTTGGTGGTGAAATCCTGAAATGGGACCTTCATGTTTAATTTGTTTTTGAAAAGGTATCAATTAAAAGTCAAACTGGCCAGTCTGAAATTTCCCAAAATTTAACGCGGACCCTAGTAAAAGGAATCAATGTAATATTTTAGTATTTGGGGTACGTTTAGTAAAAGGAGGTGGGGATTAGTAAGGTTTTCAATTTAATATAAGGGGAAGCTTCGAAATCCAATTTGGCAAGGTTTGAGTTAGATTTTGAATAGGAATTCAATCGGTTTTGAAATATAAAGTTCATTTTTTAAAACGAATGTTTGCAATTTAATGTCAGGGGGAAGCTTCGGAATCCAATTTTGGCAATATTTTAGTTAGATGTTATTTAAAAAATGTTTTCCAATTTAGTTTTTTTAACCAAGGGGGAAGTTTCGCACCCTCATACTAAATACCCACTACATACAAAAAAGTATTCCGTGTGTTCATTATTGGGTGGGGAGGGGCAGACGGTTTATTATGACGCAGGGATTGGTCAGGCATCACTTGCTGGAAGTATTGGATTCTTTTGGGATGATTGGTATGATGTTTAGTCAGGCATGGTTCCCTTCAGTCATGCACGATTTTTGCAAAAATCCTATTTAGGCACGACCCCAAAATCCCAGCCCGGCAAATTCCGGCCCGGGCCCGGCAAATTCCGGCCCGCGCCCTGCAAATTCCGGCCCTGCGTTTTTCCAAAATCAGGCAAAACCAGTAAATCAGGTATTAAGTCAGGTGTAGTTACCTTTTAAGTCATTAAGGCTAGTCAGGCATGGTTCCAGTGGGTACCTTTTAATTGTGAAGGCTAGTCAGGCATGGTTCCCTGAATTCAGGGGCATGGGTACCTTATGAAGGCTAGTCAGGCATGGGTTCTGTTAAGTCAGGCGTGGGTGGGTACCTCTTAATTATGAAGGCTAGTCAGGCATGGTTCCTTTAAGTCGGGTATGGTTACGCTTTAAGTCATGAAGGCTAGTCAGGCATGGGTACCTTTTAAGTGATGAAATCTGAATCAGGCGGAGCTCCTATTCTAAATGTGTTAAATCCAATTGTTCAGTGTGGAAAATCGATTTTTTGGCTGGTCTACGGGCAAACCCTGTGTCTTCCAATACCATAGCGTGCTGATGTCGCTTGCCTGCATAATAGTTAAGGCCAAAGCTTAGGTCATCAGTGTGATCCTGAAATGGCGCCACGACCAAGAAGATGACATGTGTAAAATGGGCCCTGGATTAACAAAGGCTGACTAATGAATTTGGAGGATGCCACTAAAGTATGACATGTAATCACTTTTGAGGAGCACTCTATGGCACGCAGCGCGCGCAGCCTGCTTTACGGTTTAGCGTTTGAAAGTTTTAGGCTTTGCCTCTATGGCACGCAGCGTTTAAAAGTTTAACCGTTTACCTCTATGGCAGGCTGTGCGCGCAGTACGCGTTACGGTTTAAAGTTTGAAAGTTTTAGGGTTTATGTGTGTGGCACGCAGTGCGCGCAGCGCGCATTAGGGTTTAGGGTTTGGAAGTTTTATAGTTTATTTTATTGCATGCAGCGTGCACAGCGTGGGTTGAACTTTAGGGTTTCGAAGTTTTAGGGTTAACCTCCATGACACGATGGCTTAGGGTTTGGAGATTTTAAGGGGTACTTCTATGGCACACAGCGCGCGCAGCGCGCGTTAGGGTTTAGGGTTTAGGATTTGGAAATTTTAGGGTTTACCTCTATGACACGAGAGTTTCAGGTTTGAAGATTTTAGGGTTTATTTCTATTGCACAAAGCGCGCGCAGCGCGCATTAGTGTTTAGGGTTTGAAGGTTTTAGGGTTTATCTCTGGCACGCAGCGCGCACAGCACGCATTAGGGTTTAGGGTTTGGAAGTTTTAGGGTTTATTTTATTGCATGCAGCGCGCACACCGCGGGTTAAACTTTAGGGTTTGGAAGTTGCATAACACGATGGTTTAGGGTTTGGAAATTTTAGGGTTTACTTCTCTGGGACACAGCGCGCGCACCGCGCATTAGGGTTTAGGGTTTGGAAGTTTTAGGGTTTACTTTATTGCATGCAGCGCGCGCAGCGCGCATAGAGTTTAGGGTTTGGAAGTTTTAGGGTTTCAAGGGTTCCAAGGTTCCAGGGTACCAGGGTCACCAGGGTTCCGGTTTCAGGGTTCCAAGGTTTCCAGGGTTCCAAGGGTTCCAAGGGTTCCAGGGTTTCAGGGTTCCAGGATCCCAGCAGGGTGCCAGGTGTGCAGGGTTGCAGGGTTCCAAGGTTCCAGGGTTCCAAGGTAGCAGGGTTCCAGAATCCTTGAGGGTTCCTGGGTGCCAAGGTTCCAAGGTTTCAGGGTTCCACGGTCGCAGGGTTCCAAGGTTCCAGGGTTTCAGGGTTCCAGGGTTCCGGGGTTCCAGGGTTCCAGGGTTCCGGGGTTCCAAGGTTTCAGGGTTCCAAGGTTCCAGGGTACCAGGGTCCCACGGTTTCAGGGTTCCAAGGTTTCCAGGGTTCCAAGGGTTCCAAGGGTTCCAGGGTTTCAGGGTCCCAGCAGGGTGCCAGGTGTGCAGGGTTGCAGGGTTCCAAGGTTCCAGGGTTCCAAGGTTGCAGGGTTCCAGAATCCTTGAGGGTTCCAGGGTGCCAAGGTTCCAAGGTTTCAGGGTTCCACGGTCGCAGGGTTCCAAGGTTCCAGGGTTTCAGGGTTCCAGGGTTCCAGGGTTCCGGGGTTCCAGGGTTCCAGGGTTCCAGGGTTCCGGGGTTCCAAGGTTTCAGGGTTCCAGGGTTCCAGGGTTCCAGGGTTCCGGGGTTCCAAGGTTTCAGGGTTCCAGGGTTCCAGGGTTCCAGGGTTCCAGGGTTCCAGGGTTCCATTCCGGATTTTGAAGGCTGCAAGTCCCCGCGAGCCAGCCCCAGCCCTAGAGATTGAAACCCAACAGGCCCTGCTGTTGGGAATAACCCCCCATATAATGGCATATAAAACCACATAACACATATAAAATCATATAAGCATGTAAGAACAATTTGATTTTAAAACCATATAAGACTTTATAAAACCACATGAAAGCCATGTAAAACCATACAGCAACCATGTAAAACTATATATACATATATGTACTGTATATAATATATACATATATACACATAATTACAAAACCATTTACAACCCATAGAGAAACCATGTAAGAGCCATTTAAAAACCCATAAGAAAGCCATATAAAAGCCATATGAAAAGCCATATCCAACCCATACAAAACCCATAAACATACAATTCCCATATAAAAGCCACATAAAAGCCATGTATTCTCCCACACATCCCCATGTATGGGCCTTTCTTGGCAGTCAGGCAGAATGCGGTGGTTTTTTGCCTGCCCGGGCCTGGCCAGAAACGCCAGAAACGGCAAGACAAGCTGTTCGATGCTCTTCGCAGCCCCAAAAGAAGTGGCAAATTGCGGGAAAATGATGATAAATGATATGAGATTTGTTTGGAATTTGGAATACCAAATTTTCAGGCACACCCCGATATCACCCATATATTGCCCCTTTTTGGTAGATGTGGATGTTCACAATCGTAGAATTTATGACGCAATCATACTTATTTGATCAAATCTAAACACACTTTCTTCGGCACATGGTTGGTGTTTCTCTCCTTCAGAAGTTTGGAAAGACATTTGGATTTCTACTCCGTTCCAATGCTCAGGCTTATGACATGATGTGACCAGGACACAAATGCCACACTTTTTTCAGGCCACAAAAGGGGTCACTATCGGTCATCAAAAACATGTGTTAGACCTGTGAAGTCGACCCTGCGGTAAGGGCCTGATGGCTGTTTGATGTCAAGTTGCCAGAGACAACCATGGAAGTGCCATCGATCATTTCCTTACTTGAAATATGATGAATGTATGTGGATGTCAAGTCTTCATTCCACTTCTATGCTTGCCTCAAACCAACGGTACTACTATATGGTACTACCTTCAGGTAATTATAAAGCATTATAGCACGTTTCTTTCATTCTGAGATTTGGACAGAGCCTGTGACAGTAACAGCCAGTAACTAGCATGCTCCGTTCCTGACTCCGTTCCTGGCAGGGTCGAACTCGCATTTTTTTTCACATCTCTGTCTTTATGTTGCCCACCCTACGGATTCATGCAGAAGGAAATGGTTCAGTTTTTTAGACCTGATAAGAAAACTATCATTCTTATTGGCTCTATTATTGTTATTGTTATTGTTGAATATTGTTGATGCAAATACATCCAAACTGCCTAAAACATCTGAAAACTGAAAACAATCCTTGAGACTTTAGTGCACATGTCTAGAACTCTTGGTTTCCCCATGCGCTATGCGTCGGCATTTACCACCCAGCCCAACATGTTGCAGGCCTTGCGCGAACTTGCAGGATTCTCAGCATTGGCGGCGGACTTCACGTTTTGGTGGCCTGCAAATATGGAACCGTCCTGTAAATACCAGGAAACAAAGTGTCATTGAGGTCTTGATGCTCCAATACAGAACCCTTAGGAATGCAAATTCTACTTCAGTTGCATGTTCTGGCTGTGGTTCACAAAACTGTTGCCATCAGTCATATCCTCTCAATCCTCCCCTCTTGGGCCCATTCCAATGCTCTGGCCTGATTCAGGTAAGCTCATGTTGGGATGGGGTACAGTGAAACCACTGTTTAAGAACCTACTGCAATAAGAACTTCAGGGGCTGGATTGCTGGATTCAACCCTTCCTGTCAGCTATTTGAAATAAGAACCCTACAGTAATTTGGAATTCTAGGTGCTGGATCTTTTTCCCCTTTAACGGCCACCAATATACCAAACATATCCAAACATTGATTATTAGCAGCTACAGTATCTCCCAAAAGAAAGATTGTGTACCGCGGAACTTCCACGCCAATGACAAAGATGGCGCGGCCGCAGGGAGACTCGATCCATTACGTGGTCACCAACCCCCCGCCCCCTTTGCAACCTAATACCATGCCAAAATAAACTTTCAAGCCCTGCTATGGTGGAATATCTGGCCCTTAGCTCTGTTCGGAATGCCTGCACCTGAAAAACTTTTTGGGACCTAAAACGATTTTTTCTTCCCCCCGCGTCCTTGGCAACCTAAGACCACGCCAAAATGAATCGGCAAAACCCTCACCATATGAACCCGTTAAGAACCAACTCATTAAGATCTTGAGGGTACCCTCGTTCATAATTTCCATATGTTCCACCTATAGCACTTAAGAACCCCAGGGTAAGCTGGAAATTCTTAATCCGTTCTTATCTAACAGTTCCACTGTACCCCAATATCCCCAATCCAAACCATGATTTACAGTGATGTCGCAGATTTTGGTCGCAATGAAATTTAATCATATTTAATCCATCCAGATGATTTGCCAACAATTCCAATCAAATTCCCAGGATACTACCATTGGTCTTGGTGAAATTCCCCTCGGCCTTTTCCGCAGCTTCAAAGTGACGGAGCTGCCGCATGAAACTGGCCTCGGCATCCACAAAATTTGTAAAAACGTTTCGGAATGGGTTTGGAACCTTTGAGGTACCATTCCAGTGGTGAGATGCAGTCTCTTACAGACTCCCAACTGTCAATCATCTAGATCCATGATGATTATACAATAATGATTAATATGATGACTAATATGATGATCCATGAAAAATGACATCTCTGAGTAATGCTCCCATTGTCTTGGCTTGGCCTAATGACATCCGGAAGGATTCGTAGCTATCCAAATGAGAACCAGCTCCAACTCCATGCAATTTCATCTTAGTTCGGAAACTAGATCCTGATATTCAGAAATTAGATCCTAACCACTTAAGCCAGTAATTACTACATATTACTACTACTGATAGCCACAGCTAAAGTTCTTATTTGTAGTCGAAGTTCCTACACCCACCGGGTACCTGCGATTTTCCAAGGATTTCCCACGTTGGGCCGACAGGTGGAAGTCCTTCGCTCACGAAGCAGCTCCAAGGCTGAGTCCAAGGAGAAGTGCTGGAACCTCCGTGGGAAATGCATGGGAAATCCATCGGAAAATCGGAAATCCGTGGATTTTTTTTGGGAAATCCATGGATGAATCTCTTCCCCCTATGAAGCAATATAAAATATATTAAAATATCATCCAAAAAAGGAGCCGCCGATTCATGAATAGATCCGATATCATTGTTTCATTTGGATTCATTTGGGGTGTTATTGTTTACGTTAACATTTGGAAGATGGGATTCTCATGGATTCTCAATCGATTGGTTTAAGACAACAAAACTACTGGAAACTGGCGAAACCAGGCTGCAGTTTGACGCCAATAGGCGAAGGAGTTGAAGTGTTCAACCAACTTTGGGATGGTAGGAATTGATGGAATGGATCTCAAGACCCTCATGATCTATTTATATGGCAGTGTGTCAAAACCTTGTACCCCTGGTGAACATCAAAATAGCTGGTAAATGGATGTTCATTCCCCTAAAAATGGTATTAATAGGTATTGATCCATAGCCATATCTATTCATCATATCAAATGAACAATCTGTTCGACAACACCTTCCCAAACTCGGTGACACATGCGGCCTAGAACTGCAACTGGCACCAGTCTGCATTTACTTTGAGATGGCCGAACCCAAGCGACAATTTCATTCCTTTACAGATCTGTGCACCAATTATACATATATATATATTATATATACCTTGATCTTCCTGCCTTGTCTTTTTTTAGACCCTTGGGTTTTGAGCTAAAATTTCTGCCCCTGAATTTGATTTCAGCCCCTTAGCAAAATTTCTGCCCCTGGCTATTTTCACTTTTGGGCAAGTACCATCTAAACACATATAAACACACAGTATGTGAACAATTGTTTCACAATTTCATATATGCTTGGTTGGGATCATGATATGGTTTCCAGTCTTTGTCCACAGCCAGTGTCTCACATACACACTACCTTTTCCCAACCACAAAAGCATCGTCAAACTCAAGAGCAGCTGGCAATCCATCGTCACCTCGTTCTGTTGTTCTTCTTGAACCGTTTGATCACAAATTTCATTCTGATCCGGTAGGCAAGCAATGTGTTGTGAACCAAATTCTTATAGCCAACTCGCCTGGATTGGCGCCCAACCTGCCCCACAAAGTCCTCGCTCATTGATGTGTCCCACACACCGGCATTGAGAGTGTATTGGTTTGCCCGGGAACTTTCAAGATCCACATATATGTGCCCAAGAGAGTGTGCCTTAGGCACAAGCCCAAACAATGTCATCTGCCGGCCATATGCATGAGCTGCTAGGCGACTGTAAGTGTGACAAAAGCCCCGGCACATTTTGCAGATGTAATCCCGACACTGGGGGTTAAGCCACAGCCCATGGCGATGAAATCCTTGGAAGTTCAAACCTTGTTCAGATCCCTTTTTCACAAGCCGCACTCCCTCCGATGTGTTTCCATGACATATTTGAAGTCCAGAGAACCATTTCAAATACTGCAGCAGTAGGATGGTGTCACTGCCTTTGCAGCTCACAAACGGAAAGCTTGTTGTGGTGCTGTAGTGAAGCTTTTCCTTTGAGAAACTCCTCATTGAAGCTGGCTTTTTGCCATCCGTTTCGCAAAATAGAAGAAATGACGCCCATGCCCTACCCAACCGTCCAGGAACACTGTGATCATCACCAGGGAAATCATAAAGACCCTCATTGCAAAAATAGACGATGGCACTTGCGCAAAAGTTGCGGGCGATACCAAGTCTAAAAACATGAAAAGGATCATAGCGGAAAAACTTCGCCGACGATCCGTTGTCCCAAGGCTCAAACTGAATCGGTGCATAGGGTGGCTCCAATGACCATGGAACAGTTCTCCCAATCGTACTCTTCCATTCAGCATCTGAACGAAAACTTTCAAAAGGAATACCAGGTGCACCAGCATCGCACTGATGGCAACAAGGTATTTGGTTCACATGTCCAACGTTTCTGTATGAACGATTCAACACTCCAGTTTTCGAATGCCACTCAGCATCCCCTCTCAAACCAGTGATGCCAATATGATATGGTCGGGGGTCACCATCGACATATATACCTTGTTGACAACATTCAGAAAGATCCTCCGAGATCCTGCGAAGCATGGATTTCAGGAGGCCTGGCGTGGCCTTGTATCGTTTGCCAGGGAAGCAAAACATCAGAAAGTGATGTAGGTAGCTGTGGTGGCGATTGTTCAACTTCTGAACCATAGGGTCATCAATGGAAAAGTCTTTGGAATAACAGAATGGCCTTGGACAGTGACAATTGACATCTTCTTTTGTATCTAGGCCCAGAACAGCAATCAGTGAAACAACCTCAAGTGGTTGCTTCTTGGCAGTCCTTGCTCCATCCCCATGAATCATCATAGGAATCGTTCGGGCCATGTCCAAGCCCATGCTGAAAATCTTGTGAGTTGGGTGTTGAATTTTGTATGTCTTCCAGAATGTAGATAGCAAAGAGTCTGCATCCGGCCCTGGGTCCAATCCACCAAGCAGCATCCAGGGCTCTTGGTGAAGCAGCGTGGCCAGAATGGTTCTGGGTCGATGGTATGGCATCTCGACAAGATTCGCACCTTCTTGGTGAACGTGTACTGTGGGGCGAAAATTCCTCAGAAAGTGACCGGTAGTGACACCCCAATACAAAACAACCTGTAACATTCAACCTTGGTACCCCACACATTTGTGTCATAAACATTTTTTTGGATACCAATGGGCACCGAAAACATTCAAAAAAATCAGGGGTTGCAAAAATAAAGATGTTGTAAATATAATCCTGGGTTCATAGCCATATTGAAGCGTCTCACAGACCTTTGGTATTGTCTGGAAGCGTTTTTGAGTGATCCTTTGATAACAGATCTAGTAGACTGATGCAGCATCGACGTTGAAGATCCAAGTTCCAATCGCAAAGCAGCCCCTTGTTCAGCAAATCTTTTTGCAGGGGCCTAGGTGAAGGCAACCCCAATGGTGATTATGATAGTTGGGGTGAATATGTCCATGATGGTCCATCATATGAAGAATTTGCAGGTTGCATGTATAGTTTCAATGCCATTGCCCCAAACCGTCATGTTTGAGTTTTGACAAGGTTCACCATCCGCAATTGTTTCCACCACATGCTCCAGCAAAGGCCCAGCAGTTCGCGACGCATTTGAGTCACCTGGCATGAAGTGAAATAACTAACCCAAACAAATGAAAGTGGCTACCTGAGAACATTGTTGAACCTTTTTTGTCGTTCTCGCTTCATTGGGACATCTGCAGCGGTATCATGCTGCCAATCCAACGGAAACACCCATTGCTCAAGTAGCAGAAATGAAATCCCACGGTCGCAGGATAGTGGAATGATGGATGTTATCACCCACCCATGCAAGGCCACTGTAGGTCTTGCTAACCCCAAAAGATTGCACTCTGGAGACAGATCTATGGATGAAGACAACAATACTACAACAAAAATAGCGGAAATTTTCAGAGCGTTCCATGATGTTAATTGATGTATATATTTGCACAGATCATGTCCCTGCACAGTGTTGGTACTCATCTACGAGAGCGTGAACCTGGTTCGGTTTTGATAGCCCTTCTTCGAGGGGTTTCAGTCTCCTCAGCCTCAGCCTTTTCACGCTCACGTCGTTCCCTGTTCATCTTCGATTTGATGTGGCTCATAAGTGGCCTCAGGTCAGAATAGGAGGAATAATAATTGCAATATTCGAAGTATTGCAATATGTATATATGAATGACACCAACCAAATTATATGATATAATGTATCGATCTGGAATCATACTTGGTAAGGGTTGCAGGGGTGGTCCAAAACATCAGACAAAGGTTCCACCCTCGAGAGCCAAGAAGCTGTGTCCTCGTGACCATGTTCAGTGCTGCAGCGCACCTTGGCGAAATTGCAGATCAATATCTTTGAAAAGTTGGTTTTAAAGTCAAGTGTTGCTAAGCATTGCGTTACTTTTTAACCCCCTTCTATTTTATTGTAAAGCTCCCGAAAAGTGGTGTGGCTATCCAACTCTATTGTGTTGGTCAGCCCGGCCACCAACCACATATACAAAGAAAGGTGGATCTGGGGCAGTATGTCTGTTCAATGCCCCTTCGCCGCCCGTGTTGGGCTTGTTTCGGCAGCCACTAATCTCACAGAACAGAGCTATGAGACTGGCCTCCAACATGTGCACTAAACTTAAGTCATCATTCATGAAGATGATCCACATCGCTGTAAAATTGACTTTCAAATAGAGTTCCCAGCGTTTTGCTGGGTTGGCAGTCACCCCGATTTTGAAAACACACAGACCATCACCATGACGTGCACGGAAGCTAGAAACTTTCTGCCGCGCATGCTGCAGAATCTTTCCACATGTTGTGAACTCACTGGTGTTTGCCCGAATGTGCTTGTAAATCAAACAGCGATGTAACTCTTCCCAAGGAGGCTGGACAAATGACATTTGACCCAGATGTTGTAGATGTTCCAGTACTTCTCTGCGTTTGTTCTCCTTGTTTGCCCAACTGTTTACAAAATTATGCACTATTTTTTACCCTTGTAGGGGGTGGTAGGGACAAAAGACAACAAAAGTAAAATTCTGACAGCGTACATTGTGCTTCAGGCTTCATCCAAGTGCTCTGGTGTGTCTTTGCAGTCAGTTGGCTGTGGCATTGGATACTTGGAGTGACAAAGGGCTTGCCTTTTGGGAGGATGGCATATCCTAAGGATTCTCGGTTTTCAGTTTGTGTTGGAGAAAATGTTGATACCAACAAGGTTGACAGAAATGAAGAACAGCAACAATAACATATATGTATATCACATACAACATACAATTTGTTAATGTTGCTAAGGCTCTCATCAGTGGAAGGTCTGTGTGAGGCCAGTGAAGCATCAACAGCACACCGTGTTTGTCCAGACAACGGGCACTTGTACGTGAGAAGCTCTACTAGCCAATCGCCTTCATCATCACCCATGGCTTACAAAAAAGCTGCCATAGCCGTATCACAACACGCAAGGTGTATGGGAGATGTATTTCTTGATTAAATTTGTATATATTGCCTGGACCAACCAATTGGTTTCCACACAACTCAAAAAAGTGTCAACGAGTCAGGAGTCTGGTCTATGTTATACATCGATGTCATATATTATACGGTTCTTGGCGGGTGCTTCCCCAAACCCACTTTCTGACCCGCTAATGGCAATGGGACAAACAATCAATACTACATCTCACACTGCATTTGACAGCCGTGTCAAGGACAAGGCACTGCTGGCGAGACTCCTTGTACAGCGTTTCCAACTCGTCTTGGTGCCTGGGCGTTCAGCAAAATCAATGATGGTGGGCAGGAATGTTGTTTCATGTTTGGAACTGTATCTTCAACTAGAGCCTAGTTACTGATGCGAATATCCATCAACAATGCCATCCGTGTTGACCTGATTGATTTTGTCAATGATGCCCAAGATTGCAGCATCCACCTTGCCGGTTTTGTCCATGATCCTGAGATTGCAAAGATCAAGAATGTGACGCTGTTGGAAAATCTTCAAGGATATAAATATAATTATGGCCATGCAGGTATATATATATATATACATATATATATAGTAAATTCATTTATATACATTAGCCGTGACCCATGCAAACTGAATGAAGATGAGAAGCACTTTTGTGTTAGCAGTTGGATCTAACCCACCAAAAAAATCAGTCAGCGATTGGAGCTTGGCTGACCATTTGCCCAATGCAGTCAACACCTTCGTGATGTAAGAAGATGGCAAAGCATCAGCCTCATCCATCGTGGGAAACATCATGGCCTTCAGAGTCTTTTGTTGCGAATCAACACCACCTGCTTCGATCACTTCTGCAGGATCTGGCAGGGGACAATGGTATGCAATACAGGCACATTGGGGACATTGGGGGACATTGGGATGTGGTAAGGACAAAACAATTTGAAGATGTTTGAAGCAAGTTGGGATTGGTGGCAAACAAATATATATATATATATATACATATATATATAATATATAATATATATATATACTATACAACCGATATGTTCTCACCTGAGTTGTCTTCCGGAAGGATAAAATCATTCGGAAGCACATCCTGCAGATCTGCATCTACTGCTCCTTCCTCCACCTCTTCCTCCTCGGTGAAGGTTGTTTTCCTTCTCTTCCTGAGCGCGAAAACAGTGGATACCAATGAAGAACTATTGTTTCGAATTTGATCGGTTTTCCTTTGCGATTCCTTTGGCAATCATGGCATTGAAATATACTTATATATATATACGCAATTACCCTTAGGAACACTATATCACACAAGTTGACAAAGATGCAAACAAAGGTCAAACGTCGACCAGCCATCTGGGATTCCACCCAGTACACTTGGAGGTGCTTCTCATAGCGATCACGCCTGACATCAACTGCATGCTGTCATCAGAGCGAGAGGGCGGTCTGATGGTGTCTTAGCTGCAGTCCAGCTACCGAATCCATCCTTTGTTCTTCTTGCATTCAGCTTTGATCGCGTTAATGCGTGCCCTGATTGGAAGACATATGAAAAACTTGAATCATCACATTCAAAAAATGTAGAAGACTAACAGTACTGATGAGCATTTCCACAGAACAACACTTGGAGTCAAAACGAAGCCATGCAAACATTTTGTTCCAGCAATGAATATTCAGTCGATCCATGCATGTAGCAATCAAAATTTCTATAGCCAAAGGACAAATCGAAGTTCTCGTCAGTCATCATCTTCTCAGTCATGAAGGCACCATCGACCCACAAATCATTTTCTTGAGTGGATTCTACCACCCGTTTGGCTTTGGCTATGAAGGCTTCCTGCGCTGCAAGAAAGACTGCGAACAGAAGGATCGAGGACCATCAGCGCTAAAAACATAAACTACCTTAGACTTGGGGCAAGTAGGAATTATATTATATATATATATATTATATCGAATAAATCTATATAATATATATCGATGGAACCGTCAGTTATCACCAGTCCTTGTTTCCTTGAACTTGAAGCCATAATTTTTTCACTTCATCTCTTCCACCATCAGCTACATCTTTCCACATGTCAACAATCTTCTTAGGAACTAGTAGCGTTCCATCTTGTCGTGGGGTCAACAATCTGCCAATGCGCTTCATCTCATTGGCACTGACAGCCTCAGAGTGGAAACCAGCCAACACAGATCAACAAAACATGTTTTTGAGTAATGCATTGTGTGTGGATCGACAAACATTAATGGATTGCTGGGCCCATAAACATCAGCAGGGTTTTAGGGTTTTATGATGTTTTATGCATGTATAAGCCACACCAATGCCAATGTATTCAGCTCAGGATGACTGATGGAGGTTGTGCGGTTAAGTGGTTAACCAAGAAACATTGTCCAGGTTCTTTGTATTCTCACGGTTCTTCGCATCATCGCACATTGTTTCCTGAGAAAGGGCTATTGGGAAGAGTGTCATGGCAGGAGACTTTTCTACAGGCATATGCCTATTCACATCAACTGAGCAAAGCGGCCACATGACGAAGCATATCTAGAGTTGCTTGGTCAGTCTCGTCGTCGTCACTGACGCTGGATGCCTGCCCATGGGGCCACAATCTAAGGCTTCGGAATATCATATGTTAATTAGTTTGCATGTTCAACTAGTTTCTGGCAATTAGAAACATTTTCCGTCCATTTAGTAAGCACCGAATGTACCTCATAACTCTCAAAGAACCCATAGGGATCGTGGTCAAGGTGAGCTTCCTCATCCATGGGAGCGTCCAAGTGATCATCAACAGTATCTAGCCCAGCATCTTGCAAGGCCAAGAGAAGATCCGCCTCATTTTGCAATCCCAAACAACATGTTGAGAGACATAAATTGATTTTTTAATTTATATGATAATTAACATATTACTGCATGTGGCAACATGACCCCTTTCTTTTGGCACTGTTTAGATCGATACACATACCTTCAACATCAAGCCGATCAACATCCAAGGCTCTGCAGATGGCTGTGAATCAGCAGCATCAGCAGTCTTCACCATGATTCGTTCCTCGGCAGCATCAGCAAGATCCACCGTTGGTTCCTGGGCGCAGGGAGAGGGATGGTTGCAAAAACAGAAGAACTGGTCCCGTCCACACCATGGTTGAGACAGTTCATGCTTGAAACCAAATGTACTTAATTAAGTACTTCAACGGGGGTCTTGCTTGGTCTGCTCACCCAGGTCAGCAGGAATGGTTTCATCTTCAGGGCCACTGCAACCACCATGAATTTGAGGAGGACAGGAGGGTGTTCGAGCTGGTGTTGCCACCGGAACTCTGGTTCCAGCCAATTGCATCTCCTGCCAGAAGTATAACTGTTGGATTTTGATCACCTTATATAGGTAATTAGAACATACCAGGTTGCTACCAAGCTGATAGAGTGTCCAAAAAACAAACACAACCAGTCCTTCAAGGCATCGATTTCTTGTTGAATATCATAATCACTGCGACTGGACATGGAATCCGGTAGGCCAGCCCCGTTTTCCACCATTTGCAAACCAATTTTCAGGGTTTCTGTGGACCAAACCCGTGATGGAAGTTCCATCACAACACCAATCAAAGTTCCTGGAGCACCTTGAGAAATTAACAGCGACAACCAAGATATCCGTTGAATTCTGTTCATGACCTGGGGAAACCGATGAGCATACCAAATCATGAGTAGGCAGCTTGACCCCATACTTATGAGTAAGTTGTCTTGTAAAACCCAAATCATGAGTTGTGGTCTTTAACCCTGACTTGCAGAGATCCCAAAACCAGTGACCGGCGAAATCCGCCCCTAACCCGGGCAAATCCGCCCCTAACCCGGGCAAATCCGCCCCTGATTTGTCATGACTTTTGCTCATATGAATGACAAATCATAAAACCCATAGTTACTCATATGAGTAAGTGCTCTTGGGGAATTTTACTCATATGAGAGGCAATTCATAAAACCCACGTTACTCATATGAGTAAGTGCTCTTGGGGAAAATTTTACTCATATGAGTGGCACATCATAAAACCCATAGTTACTCATATGAGTAAGTGCTCTTGGGGAAAATTTTACTCATATGAGTGGCACATCATAAAACCCATAGTTACTCATATGAGTAAGTGCTCTTGGGGAAAATTTTACTCATATGAGTGGCACATCATAAAACCCATAGTTACTCATATGAGTAAAGCTGTTTTGTTTTGTACAATGTAATCCTACTCATATGAGTATAACTGGTCTTGTGATATACTAAATAATCCCACTCATATGAGTAAGTGGTCTTGAGATATATTAATTATAATTATAATTCTACTCATATGAGTAAGTGGTCTTGTGGTAATAAACTCTTACTCATATGAGTAAATGGTCTTGTTGTGAGTTTCTGCAAGTTTACTGCATGCATGGGTGCACATGTGCATGTAGGAAAGTAATCCCACTCATATGAGTGTAATCATGCATGATCCGTTCAAATTTTTGGCAAAGTTGCCATCCATAAACATGAGTATAATGGCTGCATGCAAGTATTCAAACCATACTCAAACAAGTAAACCTTGGGCAGTTATGGTTCCCTAAACAGTTCCCAGATCGACCACACAGTTTTCGGCGCAGGACATCAATTGATCCACGGTGGACATCCGAAGCTTGGTAGACCAAAGCTATTCCTCACAGTGATAGCTATTCTTGGAACTATCCTGTACCTCAATGATATCGATATTATGTTTTGAGTTCAGGGCAATTATATGAAGCATCTTCCATGATGTATTATAGTCGTCCCTATGGAATACCATTGTGGGTTTAAGTGGGAGGAATAGTTTTGGGTAAAACTTCTCTCCAAGACGGAGGGATCTGCAACTTTGTCGATCCACGGGCATAGCGGATCACTTCTCTAAGATCTGCCTCCTCGTCCCATTTGGTGCATTCGTCACACCAGGGCATCGCAGAGAACAATTGGGGTAATGATCCAGAAGGAACCTTGCGGTCAGATAATGGGAATTAAAACACTGTTTATATTATATATATAGATGCTGATGGACAACTAACATTGTCAGTGACCAAAATTGATATAACAGCAACACCCAAAACATCCTATATGTCAACCATATGTTTTCAACCCATTGTCGGTATGTAAGGTACCCCAAGCCATCAAAACGATTTCTCTTGGGTTTTTGTAAGTTGTTAACGTTTCAACAACTCCCTCACCTTTTCTGGCTCTGGTGCTTGAACAACAGCTCTTACCTTCGGAACCAAGGACACCATTTTGGCAGCGAATCTGAAGGTGTACTGCCTTAGCAGCATGGCTGCAGTGACAACAAGATAGGCAAAAGATTAACATAGTCCCAAAGTTGGTGAAAGACTTTTGGGAAAACAAACCATATACTACAAACATTCTGATCAAGAAAAGGTACTGGCTTGTTTTCAACGATTTGTTCCCTTTGAATCGTGTTCTACCTTTGGAATCTTTGTAGCGGGTTGTCAAAGTCTTGCTACCAAGTCGTTCTTGAGGAGTCATTGCCCCCAAATCCAAAGAAGCGATAAGAGGAGTCGTTGCCCAAACCCAGGTCCGTTTCCACGATAGGGATGCATACTTTCTCATCCAAAAGGCCACTTTATAGGTCTAAGTGGCAGCAACCAGGGAGCTAATGACCAAATCAAAAATGGTTTGAATCACCATGTTCCAGGGGTATGAGAACTTGCACCCAGAAATAAGAGATAATAAAAGTATATCCATGTTAAAAAATTGTAGCACATGAATCCAAGCAACTGGAACCCCAAGTGCTCTCAATGTTTCAACCAGCCAGATATAGCGGGGGTGCATCGCAATCAACGAATTGAGTGGGTTCTCCATGAAGTAAACCCCACCAAGCACAACTGTGAGGAGCATCAGTATGCAACTCCTTTGGGGGAAGCCCAAATGAAAACACCAAACCATTGCATGCTTTCAGTCCAAAGTGCATCAATAAACTTTATTGATGGGCTGATGTGAACCATGAACTTTGAACAACCACAGTTTAAAAAAACACAGTCCTAGCTGTTAGCTTGTTGCCACGTCTGACACTGGGATAATCTTCATTCCCCAAAGGAGTAAGAATATCCCGAAGTGTGGATCCACGATTCACAGGCACCCAGGAGCTGCATACAACAGCATAAAATGCTGCAACTGAATCGCTGCAAAGAAGTAGATGTATAGCCAACCTGAGCGATTCAAGAACATACAAAGGGCACATGCAGTTGGAAAGGAATTTTCCAGAAACATGTAGTAGCGGGAGAACCCAATATTGAAATCAGTACAGCATGTAACAGCAATTCTTGGTGTAACCGCTATAATGTAAGCAGCAACTTGTGTTGTAAACTCAACATGCATAAAACAAAAACAACAAATTCACTAAGCATTTGTCTAGTAACATCAGGCCTGCCGACCCATTGAGATCCATAGGTGGTCTGGAATTGCCTCTTTCTTTTTTCTGGGGATATCCTTTCCATATTCCAAATCTACAGCTGCAGTTTTGTATCCCTGGTATTTGGCCACTGCAGCAATTCTTCCCACTCCAGCAAAATATTCTATGACCTGATACGGTTCATCTGGAGCATGAAGGTTGTGCCACCATACGAGGAGCACCAAAAGAACGATCACCTCAGCAGACATGTTTATGATGCCATATGGCGTATGTAGATCGATCTGAAATAGCAGGTTCCAAAAACTTATTCCTTGATGTCAACTATCACAATACCAAGTAGTATTACAATATTCAGGGCATGTATATCTGCTTTATACATATATATAGTTATCCCCAATGTATATGGGTCTCACTGGTCAATCAAGCGTCCTTAGGCAACTGAAATGCAATCATCTTGCGGACAAAGGCTTCGAATTGGTCAGGAGTCATGGCTGCAAACGGTGGCCAAGATGTTTTGAACTGAAAGCCCCAAGCAGGAAACATTAAAATGCAATCCTGGTCATACCGTTTGGTTGTGTCCAATCAATGTGAAGTATTCCGCAATATTTCATTGTACTATGTGTTCGGGATTGTTTGACTTTGGTGGAACAGAACCACTATGCAGCAGCAGGAAATTTAATGGGTGACACAGTCTTGCCCAAAAGACCCAAATGGAAAAGGCACTCACATTCTTGGATTTCAGGTAACCCATAGCCAGGAAGACCTTGTTTTGGGCCAATCCCGAACTTGGCCATATTGACTCCGCCTCGCAACCGAAACTCCGCCATGGTCAACCTGGCAATCCAGGGGAAATTGAAGGCTGTTTACTCTGTAGTTGCTATACTAATGATCGATATAGAGTACAAAACGTTTTTCAGTGGAACCAGCGGTGGCACTGCTTGACTGATATACATTGAAGATAAACCACCATAAACCATATACCACTCCAAAGATAAGATGATCGAATTTCAACAGCATAGTTTGTTTGAGTATTCATTCAATAACTGTTTCAAAATTAAATGGTAGATCATTCCCCCAAAAAAGGAAGATGAATTGTCAAGACAACAAAAACCAACGGGTTGCTTCAAGTTGTTTTTTCCCCAAGCCAGTAGCCGCACCAAGCAGTCAATGTGAGGCTTGCAATGCGACTCTGCCACATCGAGATCACGTGATATCACGTGCCTGGACTGCATGTTGAAAAAGCAACACGCACTACCGGAACGATCATTCAATGCACCTTGATGCACTGATTTGACTGGCCACATATTTGGCCGCCACCCCCAAAAGCTCATCCGAATTGCTGCTCCTAAAAGAGCGCCAGCATACCAAGTGACGTCCCAAGAAAGGAAAACTGCAAATAGCTGAAAGGCAAGAAATGATTTTAAAGCATTCTGGTTGCGTTCGAAAAGACTGCAGTGTGTATATATATATATCTAAGTTGCACATGTATTCAAATCCACTTGGAAGGTATGGCAAAGCAAACCTATGGGGCAGTGAGGCCACGGTTATCCTTGAACAAACTCACCTGCTGGTTTGCAGCAGCCACAAATGCTCGCAATGCATCCGCGCTTGAATCTGAGCGGCCGAGAGAAGTCAAGTGATCATCGTCCTTGAAAGCTTTGGCGCACCAGTTCCACCATTCCACCTGCATGCGCAAGTGTTGCACATTGTGCACTGGTCTTCCCAAAAGTTTTTAATTTGTATGTTCTAGTTCCAAAGCAAGAGCCAGTCATAGTCTTACACATCCCCATCCACATGTTTAAAAACAAGGGGGGCACACAGGAAATCTCGTGCCTCCACAGGGTAGGGCTTGAAACCAAGCTCCTCAATGCAATCCTTCACATGCTGGTTGAAGACATCTCGGACTGCTAACCAACGCTCACGAGCAGGTGTCAATTTCGGGATGAATCTCCTGGCAAAGGATTTCACATGCTCAGCTTTGGCATCACCTTTAGCATCACCTTCACGTCGATCATCATTGCAACTGCCGGGACCATCGGTCTTGGGTTTCTCAACATGTCCAGAGCTTCCAGAGCTGCCCATGGGCTCAGCCGCATCATCCTTGGGAGCTTCAGGAAGAACCTTATCATCCACAGCTTTGTCCTGCACAGGGGCCCATTTGAGGTTTCCGGCAACCACAGGAGCAGCTTCTTTTGAAACATGTGTCCAAACAATTTTGTTTTTTTCATCTTCCTTGTCCTTGGCAGACAGCGGCTTCTCACCCTCGGAGGCAGCAGAAGCTTGGCGCTTCTTCTTAGAACCAGAAGCCTTGGCCTTTGCAGCCCTCTTACGAGGCTGCTTCTTCTCGACTGCCTTTGGAGGCACAGCACCGTTGCCATCAGCAGCAACAGCTGGTGGTGCTGGGGTCGGGGGAACAATGTCATCGATAGTGATGAACTTGCGGGTGTTTTTGCGGCCTCCAGTACGCGGTGCCGTCTTGGGCTTTGCCTCCTTGGCTTTGGCTGCAGCCTTGGGCTTTCGCCCTCGAGGCTTGGGAGCAGGTCGCAAAGACCACTGATCTCTCCTCGGAACGACAGGAGGCTCTTCATCATCTTCACCCCCATCACTGATCTCATCAGCAACCACCATCTTCTCATCTTTCATCTCACCCATCTCTCCATTCTCATCTTCAAGCATTGGTTCATCGTCACAACCACCAGCCATCAGCGCACCCTCACAAGCATTCACAGGCTGTGAAGGTGCAGGCACTGCTGAGCAAAGGGCCTCCACAGAAGGAGTGGTTTCTGGATTTGCAGGTGTTGGAACAGCCTGTTGTTTCTCCACGAAGGCATCCTCAATCAACTGACAATCCAACTCCTTTTCCACAGATGGAGGCACATGGTCAGGCATCTGGTCCAGCGCATCGCATGCAGCCATAGGAGCTTCATCGGCCTTGGCAACAAGGTCACCAAGCTGATCCTCAACTGGATTTGGCACCAATCCCAATTCATGATCCGGGACAGCACCTTCAAGCCCATGATCAACTGGTGCGGCCTCTTGTGAGCCATCAGCCACACCCCCAACTGGTGTAGCCTCCTGTGAGCCATCAGCCACACCCAAATGCTCCTCTGCCGAGAACTGGCGCTGCAGAGAGCGCCTGAGACCATCATCGCAACCATCATCAGTAGGCATCATTTCCTGAACCGCTCCTGCATGGTCAGGCGAAGGGGTCAAAGCCAAAGCACCAGCCGAAGCAACAGCATCGGACAGAGAGGGTGGCAAAGGTTGTGTCTCTGCATTGTCCATGGCAAACTTGGAAGCACGTCTCTTTGCAAGTTCCAACCTGAGTGCGCAGAGTTCTGAGACAGGCAATTGGAAGGAACCTTTTTAGAGGGGAGAGATGTTACCGTTGTGAAACTTTGCCATACAAAACGTAAAACATTGAGGTCACACTGCAGTCAATTAGTTGATGCTATTCTATATCACAAATTAATTAATTATTGATATAACAATATTCATGGGCTATCGGTAAAGAAATGGATCCATACACTGTCAATAAAAATATCGAACAAATAAATCAAATACTGTCCCAAAAACTGAAGCTGCGCAATTCGGGCTTTGATGTCGTCAGCAGTTGTGGGCTGGTCTGGAGTCACGCAAGAGGTCTTATCCTTATCCCCCTTGGTGTCTTTCATGGGACTGTTGTCATCATCAATGGTAACTACAAGGGGAGCTTTCACACCATGTTCCGAGCACTGTGTAACATTCCCTGAAGTAGCGGGCTCAACCTTCACAGGTTGTTCACCTTCCACAACTGGTTTCACTCCCGAAGCTGGTTCAAGGCTGACAGAGGTGGAGAGGTTCTGTTTGCTATCCTCTATGTATGGGTCCATCTTGACCTGAATGAAATCTGAAAAGTCGGTGGATTCGTCATCAGAATCTTCCACCTCGATCTGAATCATTCTAACACCAGGCCGAAGACGAACGTACCAATGTCGGAATAGTTCATCAAAAAAGGGATTGGTGGCAACTTCCTGGTTTGAAATGGTTTGGCTATGTTTGGATCGATGGAGTTTCACTTTGGAATGAACAGGTCATGGTATATATATATATATATCATTAATTATATATATATATATCATGAATTATAATATATATATATTATATATATATATCAATCACTGCAGAATCGTGCAGAGTGCAATATCATTCACTCCAGTTTGCCAAAGTTTTGAAACATGAATCCCTTGCGCAAACCCAAGGCTGGTCAAAGATAAGATTCACGGCGGTTCGGTGATCTGGAGGCCAGGTTGTCCGCTCCGGACTTGCGAACACCATACGTGAACAACTTCTTCAGCCCCCATGAATCATGATGCAAAGCCACCAAATCCGTGGGTAGCTGGCAAATCCCTCTCAGATGATTCACCTGCCAGGGAAGTTGTCACATAATTAGATCTATATATGACTGGCCAATTGTGATGTAAATTGTCAAAGTAACCAAATCACATAGATGATCACTAACCATGAAATTGGATTTGAGCATTTATGGTATGAACACTATTGCAAAACACATTCTATGGTGTTCTTTTGGTGTGCCTCTTTCTTCAAGTCCAAAACGCTAGGGCTCTTTGGGGATGTTTGACGCTTGCACCACCAATTTGCCAAATGTGTCAAAGCACAACAGTTCAATGCTATGCCGGCCATAGTCGGCTTGTTGATGAGCTCATCCGACACCCATTGGACCATTTTCCCACCATTGTTTCTAAGACGATCTCTCACCTGCCGGTCAGATTCCCACAACTCTGCCAAGTCTCCCACTGGAAGGGTTTGCCTGCTCGCCTTCCGGGTGAGCGGGCCATTCCCAGCACTTGCCAGGCTGGAAGCAACGGTAGGCATGATTGGCTCAGCTGGCCAAAGGCAGCAACAATCAGATGATGCAGTGCTGAACCCCAGAAAATGGCTTCAGGCCAGTATTGGTACATCGGGTCAAATATCCACTCCAATTCATGGCATCTAAAGTTCAGATAGACAAAGCATTCTTCCAATGTATGGTTTGAGAATATGTGTTAACTATGGGTCTTTGACATCAGTTTATTTGAACTTAGCATCCAGTGATCCATCCTCGAGACGAGCAGTGCCTAAACAGGGCAGGCGCACTTGGAGGATCTGCATGATAAAGTCAAAGAAAAAGGATGGTGCCAGCATCACAGCATGTGGACGGCGCCGGTGGGGCTTGATGAAATCCGATATGGTTTGATGACTTTCTAGTTCATCAAGCTATAGATCTTATGTTATTGGAATGATGGTGTTGCAGTGAAACCCTCAGCATTGTTGATGTCGAACTGAAAGTTTGATTGAACACTGAAACCACCATGAAACCATCAAGTTCATCCACTGGTCAGTTCTTTCCTGAGCCCCATGGGAGCTATTTTGGATAAATCATGAAATCAGCCCCTGGCTGGATTTTCATTCCCTTATTTCACAGGGACACTTTTCCCATTAGGGACTAAAATTATGCAGGCCCTGGAGGCTGCAGGTATATTATATATATAAATAATCCAGTGCAATTGGTTGCAAAGACCTGCAAAGCAAACAAAAACGGTTCGTGCTAAAGCCCGATGGCTGGACAGAACATTCAAAACTATTCAAAACTATTCAAAACTGACATGTAAAGACACTTTGCTTGCTTATTGAGCAGCCTGGCACACAACCGCCCCTGGAACCGGCACCGGCACCTCATCAAATAGGCCACCACAACTGCGACAGACCTGTCTTGCAGCAGCAACTATTACTATTCATATCTATCAATGATGAATATCTCACAATGTCTCCATTTTTTCCTACTGCAAGAGTCACTGCAGAAGCGTTTGGTCGAACTTTCTTCAATGCAGTGACCACCTCGAGACGCCTTCACGGCAGTGGATCAAGATGGCTCCATCTCCCGGACCTGGCTGCAGGTCACCACTGACAAATGATTTGACCAGATCCCACTCGCTAGGGCATCAGCTAAGCAAGTACCCTCTGGTAAACTAACGTAACTATGGAAAATCACCATTTTTAATGGGAAAATCCACCATAAATGGCAATTTTCAATAGCTATGTTAAATTACCAGAGGGTAGATCTCAGGCTCATACTGAAATTCTTCCTGGTTTCATGAATGAAAGCCAACCTGCAGCTGCGGAGTCAGAGGTGAGGCCAGTGGATGTCTCAAGTTTCATGTGGTTTCCTAAAATGAGGGCTGCCCAAAAAATGGATGGTCCATAATGGACACCGCCATATGTACAGTACACCATATGAAGTAATACATGTTGCAGCCAAAGGACGCAGGTTCCAGAGCATCGAGTAGATTTTCACATCGACTGTCCTGCGACATGTGGTATCCAGTGATCCACCCTGGCAATGGAAACTCTCCCATGTGTAGATTAAGAGGTAACCCTGCAGGACACCCAGCTTACTAGGCACCCAAACGCGACTGGCCGTGTTGGGATGCTACTGGTGCAGTACTACAGGGTGGCTCAGCTGAAACAGATATCTCCTTTGCTATCTAAAATGTGGTTTCGTTCTCTTCATTTAATGTGATTTTTCCTGATGTCCTAGACTCCTAGACTCCTACACCCGTTCAACTTCCTCTTTAACCTCTTTAACCTCTTTAACCTTTGCACCTCCCACATGGAGAACAGCATGGGGCTTTTGTTGTGGTGCTCCTCAATGGGCATCTGGTGGTAAGTAAACTCTTCCTCAAAGAGGTTGGGCTCCTGTGCTGCGCTGTGAAAAAAGGTCATTGCAGGCTTTATCTGCTGTCGAGTAGCTAGGTGTGGCACAAGGATCCCCAAAAGGGGGTTTAAAATGGTTAAAACATCTTAAAACCCCAACTAACTCATATTATATCCATTTCAAATCCTAGCGACTTAGCGCATGTATTTCGAAACCAGCCAACCTGATCATTAACTGTATATGGGATCCCCTTCCTGCAAGAGTTCATTATTTTGCCAGTTCAAACGCTCAATTGAATTCCCAATGCCAATGGTCTCTCGACCCTGCTGCCTTGGTGGCGTTCAGGATGTGGGTAATCTTCAGCTGCCTGCAACATATACCATGGTCAAAGCGAAAGGGCACAGATGGGCACAGTAATATCCAATATCAATATCCAATATCCAACCAAATTTCTTGAGTCTTCCGGATGGTCTGCGGCATGAATAACGAGTCCTGCCAGCCCGAAGGCATGAATAACAAGCAACCATTGAACAGTTCCAAGATTGGCTTTACTAATTTACTACGCCCGTTGTTTCTTTAAATTTGAAAGTCCGATGGCTTGAAATGGCTAAATCCCAAAGTTTGGGTTCAGTCAGGTCCAGTCTCTCTCCCAGTGTTTTTCCCCTTTGTTTCCTGGGGTTTGCGCCTTAACAAGGGCAAACTATTGGCAACATGTCGGCCACCTCAATGCTGGTGTCCAAAGGCTGCATGAAATCCATGACAACTCCAGAAAATCATGGAAAATATAGCCTGGGAAATCTCTGACAAACCAAACAGTGTTCGATATGTATTTTCAGGTTTCAGCTGGGTTATCACTATAATCCCAAATAGACTGATAAACCTAAAGGTGGGGAAAGAAAATAACCGTTAAGCGCAGCAACTCAACCCTTTTTAGCCTGAGCCGCATAGCTGTCATGTATAGCTAGTTTACATAGGGTTTATGGTGGAGTGCAAATACACCCCCCTCAGGTGAGCCGGACACGGCAAGGCTGCCCATTTACCAGGGCGAGGCTTTTAAAGCCTGCCTTACCGATCCAACTCTTCGCACGACCTGAGGAAACCCAAAACAGCGGCTATTATACAAAAACCGATCGTCAATGCAAGCAGTGTCAAAATTTATCCCTCTTCCCATTCGACTCGGCCATGCCTGATAACCTTTTGGTACCAGCGCCCATGCCACTTCTGCCACTCATTGGTGAACTGTCGATCTTCACGGGAATGACTTTGCTGAGGGCGATTGAGCCACTGACTTGCTGACGTGGATGATGAGGCTACCTCTACGCTTGTGGATGGTCGGGCAACCGGTTTGGCGGTGCCTTTCTTGGAGGGACCTTGGCCGTACGCTCCAGTCTGCTCAGCTTTGCGCTTGGCCTCGTTTTGCTCGCGGGCCCTGTCAGACTGCTTCTTCTTCTCTGCTGCGTTCTGCTTGTACAGCTCTTCATTTTGTCCCTTAATCCACCTCAAATGGCGTTCAGCATCATGAACAGCAATGTTGTCAACACCAGTGCAAGACAACAAAAGATTGTGTCCAGGATTCCTGTTGAGGTAGTCAATGTACTCTTCTTCGGAGTAAATCTCGGTTCGGTACATGTAGAACCATGGCTGGTCGATGTACCTGAAAGACTTTGGGACATCATAGCGACTGGCCAAATCCAAGTAAACCAGCCTCATTGCATTGTGCTCCAGCTGGGATTGCTCAGAAATACCCATCTTGACCTGAGCTTTGGTGCGACCAGGCTTTGGCAAATGAGCGGACTTGAGGAGGTCGTACCTTTCACAATCGTACTCGTTCTCCCCCTCGTTCAACACGCTCTCTGCGAACGTGGCGTCCTGGGCGAACCTGTCAGCCACAGACACATAGCCCAAACTCAAGGCACGGTCGAAGCGACTCTTGGCCCTTGCCAATAGGCCGGCTTCCGGACTTGAGCTTCCTCTTGCCTGATCGTCCAACAAACCCAAATTTTCAAGTTGGCCATGTGTGATCTGCTGTAGGTACTCCCCACGGAAATCGTAGTACAGTCCCAGCTTATGAAGGGCGGCCTTTCTTCGTTCTGCAATCTTGGTTCGATCGGCCTTGTTAATCCCTTCAAGTATCAAACCACACACATCGCACTCAATCTGTCCCTTGAAAGTCTGTGCAAAACATCTTGAGCATTGCGTGACTTTGATCTTGACCGGCACCGGCTTCTTGTCCTCCTTCTTCACCTCTTTCTTGGAAGGTTGGTCATCGCCTTTAGGGCGAGACTTCTGCTTTGGCACCAGTGACTTTGATGTTGCTGCTGGCGTCTTTTTGGGCGACTCTGCAACTGGAGCTTTTGGATCTTTCTGCACTGCCTTTAGTGGTGCAACTTTTGGGACAGGCTCCAAGAAGGCTGCAGCTGATGATGCTGCAGGCACAGCTGTTGGCACGCTTGTTAGGGCGGCCTTCTTCTTTGCAGGTTCGTCCTTTGCCGCTGCATCAACTTCTGAGGTCACAGCTTTTGGAACTTCTGGTGCATGAGGTGCAGAAGTCCCTTCCTTCGGTGGTGTCCTTGGAGATGTCTTTGGAGGTGTCTTTGGTCCTTCAACCTTTGGCGGTGTCTTCGGTCCTTCAACCTTTGCTGCAGGAGGTTTCGGAGCATCACCCTTTGGGGGAGGGGGCAACAGTCTGCTGCTTGCATATCCAGGCATACCGGCAAGTTGGGCCACATTTGGTGGCGGAGGCTTCACCTTCCCTGGGAAAAATGTCTTTGCAGCGGGCGCGCCAGTTGAGGCGGCCGGAGATGTTGAACCTGTCCTTTTTGGTGCCTTGGCCTCAAAGGTCTCGACAAGCTGTTGGACTCCAACTTCTCCCCCACTGCTTGCTGCAGACTGCGCAACCTCCTGTTGGCGACGATAAAGATTCACCTTCTTTGCCGTGTCGTCCACAGAGATGATGTATTGTGGCGGGACGACATCACTTGTGAGAATGCCGTCAGAAGCCGTCCTGAAAAACACAATTCCAGCCTTGACAGCTTCTGCCATTGCAACCCTGATTTCAATGGGTCGCTCAGCACGCAAACCATTCACATACTCTTTCTCATCAACACGAACGTCGCTAAAATAGGAGTGAGCTCTTCCTGACGAATTTCGTTCTCCTCCTCCAGCCACGAAGCCATTCTCAATGATGCCCTTCCAATTGCCTTTTGTAGTCCTGTGATAAACTACGCCAGGGCACATCTGAGGAGTGGTAATCTTTTTACCTTTGGCGTTCATTTTCTGGATCGCTGCTGCTCCAGACAGAGCATAGATTTCCACTGCATTGAACGTGTCCTCAGCTGAAGCGGCATCCATGGCACGTTTCGTATGCCCCTGCACTGCACGGATCCTGATGGGCCAGTAGGCTAACCCTTTACGGGTTGCCTTCTGGTACCCGGCAATGCACTGGAACTCAAAACGGCACTTGCTGTCCCAGTAGAGCAATGAGATGAGCTCTTCAACTGTCATTCGGGGCAACTTGGCTGGCAGCATTTGGTTGAACATTCGAAAGAAGTCATCAAGGTCAAGCCACATGTTTTCATCAAATCCAGAGGTGTCCTGACCCGGCTGTCCACGTGTCACTGCATTGACCTTAGTCTTGTGTCGGTCCATGCGATCTGGGAACCTCAGCTCTTCTGCCCCATCCATCTCCCAACAGGTTTTGACGATCAATTCGTAGGGATGGGAATCAACGACGCAATGTTCAACTACTTCTGCATTAACATTTTCATCCAAAGTGATGCGATATTTGTCAAGGTGTCCAAGTGCGTGTTTCGGAATGATGGTACCCTTGATCTCGTTTTCTTGCAGGGGCTCACCAGCTGAGGTGGCCTGAGTTGAATCCTCCTGCGTCGTCTGAGGCTTCGCCTTGGGGTCAGGCGGAGCTGCGTGGCTCGCCTTGGCTTTGCCAACAGATGGGCCCTCGTGCTCATCGGGATCCAGAGCATCCCATGGGTCGCCTTCCTCATCATCATCTTCGGCGACACCAGCATCAGTCGGGCGATCCCTCAACTCCTCCGCTGTAAAGCTTTCCGGGGTCGAGACACTCGGTGCAGGCTTGTTCACCTTCTCCCTCAAAGAGTTCAGGACCTGCACAAACCTGACAGGAAGATGCTCCATCTTTGGCGGCACATCACGCATCGTGGCTTCACCTGCAGGGCGCCTGCGCTTGTACAAAGACAGGTTGTACTGAGGGATCAAAATGTCCGTCATGTGCAGCATGTGGAGAGCATGACATATCCGATCATCTCGCTTCGGTTGAGCTCGGTCTCGAATGCGTGAAAGTAGTCCCTGCGCTCAAGCCTCGGTGGAAGCATGTCATTCTTGATCCACCGAATCCGATCGTTGTCACTGGCAATCTCCTTGTGGAACCATTCCTTCAGACGTTCAATAAACGTCGTGAAGATGAGACTCAACCCATAAGTGAGCGGGTCGGGCTCGCCGATTAGGGCGGCCTGATCCACTCCCAACTCCTTGAGCTGATTGTTCCACCAAACAATGTTGCCTTTGACCCTGTCCATGATGGCATTCCAGTCACCCTGTGGCTCCCTCTGCCCCCAAATGGGAAGGGGTTCAACACCATATTCCCCACAAATTTCATTTCCAGACCAAAAGATCACCGAAATAACCCTGATGGCTGATCCATGAGAAGAATATTTTGCCATCAGCTCCTTGACCATGGAAATATTTGCTTTGCAGAGCTGTTGTAAATCCTTACCCCAGAGCATGTCATGACCGATTTCGAGAACCATGTCTGATTTTCGCAATCCCAGATCCTCCTTCAAGGTGTACTTCTTCAAAGTCTTACCCTTTCCAGTGATCAGAGCCAAAGTTGAATCGGAAGTCACCACATAGATGGTGGGCACGACGTCTACCGCCGGCCTTGATGTCCCAGGGACGTACTCAGTAGGCAAGCTCAGATCCCACAGTGAGTCATGCTCCAACTCGGACAGATGGCGGATCTCCTTTGCCCACGGCACGTTCGTCAGGGCGTCCGTAGACATTGACTGCGCAGTGAAACACTGCATAAATCCTGCAGCCAACTCAAGGTCTTCTGTTCTGTTGCCCTGTGCCAGGATGGTTGACGAAGCGAGGATCGTAGAAAAGATGTCCTCCCACCCTGCGTGCCTATCCCCCTGAACATCAAGGCACTTCCGAAAAGCAAGCCACTCCGACATGTTGCTTTGTTGGGGCACGGTCTTTAAACCGGCCGACTTGAGAGCCCGCACGTTCATCTTTTCAGCAATTGACAAATTTGAATCATCAGAACGGCGGCTCATGGCGGGCAAAGCTAACCTTTTCCTGTTCTTGGCGGTTTGTGCCCGGTTAGCTCTGGAACGAAAACAATCATGGATGAAGTCAGTCAACTTGAATGTGTAGTTCTCTGCAAGCTTCAGTGCAGTACCCCGGCTTTGACCATGAGTGTGGGAACCATCACAAACGTATTCCGATAGACTTGACAACTCTTCCATGTTTGTTGCAATCATCCAACCCTTTTTCATGGGATTCCCGTCCAAGTCAATAACCCCAAACTGGCAACCGTGGAATGGATACAATTTCAACTCTTGTCTCTTCAAAAACGATTGAACCATTGGCCATTTCCAATACTTGCAGTTCTTTGAGAGTTCAAATGCAATTGAAAAATGTGGCCCATCGATTTCACTGATAACCTTTTGAAGTGATTTGA